ATTTAATTCACGCTATATAATTTTACATATAGCTGAATATAATTATCCGAAGACAATTTTACCTGAGATCCACCGATAGTTTCTTCGAGGTATTTACACTGTTTAGTGGTACTAGAGTCCATCCAAATCGGTGAATTCACTATGGAAAAACACGACGCCAATTGTGTGTGCAAAAATCCGGATGGGTTCAACGATTTTAGCGTTTTTTCTGAACCATTTGTCCAATAAACTGTGCCGTGTTGCTATTAAGTACATACAGAATTGATTTTAATTTTCATTTGTATTCCATATTTTTGAAAACGATAATTTATATAATTAAATTAAAATTTGTATTTTATATATATTGTTATCAGGGCCGTATTTAGGGGGGAGTTACAGGGTGCCGTTGTCCTGGGCGGCCAAATTTTTTATATTTTCAATATTTAATGATCTAAATTTAAAAAAATTTAAATGTATTAATAATATACACAAATACAATATATATACATAATATCATATATATGTATATACAATATACCTATTGTTTTTAAATATGTATTTGATATAATGAGGCGTTTTTTTTTATTGCCCCCTGGTGTCAAATTCCTAAATACGGCCCTGATTGTTATGGAATCTTACTAACAAATCTGTACAGAGTGTACCACTAAGATAATATGATTATTGCGATATCTTGGATAGCAATACATTTTTTCAGATTTTAGATTCTGAGTAGAGCGAAGAAGATTATGGTTTTATAATGTTTATTTTTTTTTCTCAGTTTCTTTATGTATTCAAAAAAACAGGAAAATGTACGAATGTATAATAAAATATTACAGTTTATTTTTCATGTAAAAATCTATTCTACAAGAAATCTTGCTCCGATTTATAATAATAACAATTTTTCTAAAATGAAATTTGACGGGGTAGATATGTATGTTAGAGAAACCATTTTTTAATTTTCTCAAGATTTTTCTCAATATATTGGAAAAACAAGTAAAAAACAAGACGAGAAAATAGGTACAATATTAAATTAATAGTAATTTTACGTAAATATTTTATGCATATGTAATTATTTTACCACAATACGACACATACCTAGGTATATTGTTGACAAAGTAACACTATCAACTGAGCTCCGTTTAGAATTGTTTTTTCATTAGTAATGGTTTATCTTTGCTTACAGATAAGGTACATTAAATTCCCGACTGTATCCTACCTTCCCAACTTTCTTTTTTAATAATTTAAGAAATAAGTAACTTTAAATTGGTATATAACCATTACTTTTGGAAGTGAACCGGCTACCTAATTTTAATTTTCAAATGTCAACCTATATTAAAAATGTCATAAATAGTCTGAGCTAACAAGAGTTTTCATTTTTACTCGTAAGTTTTAGAAGGGGGGATTGGTGGAGCGTGGAGCACTATTACTGTGCTACCACATAAATGATGCTCCACTACTTTCCACTACTCAAACTTAAAAGAGGAATATTTCGTCATTATTTTAGAGCTACTTGTTTCTTAAATCGTTAAAAAAAAAATGCTAATAATTAACAAGATGTAATGATCATATCTTCGTGGAACATCATCATAAAATAAATTATATTTTATATATATGTTATTTTTTTCTTTCGCTTGTAGCTGCAGGGGAAAATGAAAACGATCAAAGTGATATTACGTATGTAAAAGATGCATTAATTATCTATAATCTGAGCGCTCAAAGAACTTTAAATAGGTAATATTTCAAAAATGTAAGGTAGGTAAGATAGGTATATCCTATACTCCGTGGCGAACTAACCTAAAATAGCCCAGAATCAACCTATAATCTATCTACCCACCAATATTTCTTAATATTCCCACTATTCAAATTGTTTTACATATTTTTACTAAATTTCATAATTTAATAAAAATATTTGTAATAAGCGACAACTAATATTAAATTATTTTCATATTGAACCCATCCCTAAATATAAAAGTCTAAAAGCAACCATTTCTCAAAGATAGCGTGTGGTACCTATCATAGTGGTCGGAACCGTTCTCAGCCAAAATGAACCTTTACTTTTTCGGCCAGTACTTTTTTTTCACAAATTTAAAATTTAAAATTTAAAAATCAAAGTATGCATATAATTTAATTATGTTTTATTTTTTTTTTTGATGTTCATGATGTTTACAAGAGATAAGAAAAATATATGAAATAATTTTAAAATAAAATCAAATTATTGAATTTACAACACTTATTAGATTCGTGGGATATATCAAATTTTGTTCAATATAATCAATTAATTCTTATTTACTTGTCATTACGTTTGTATTGCAAGATTGAAATAAATTAAATGTTTTTCAATCATGGTATTCTGATAACTAGTAAACTTTTTTTTATAAATCGTTAAAACAATCTTAAGTTTTTTTTTTCGTTGAAAAGTATGAAAATACACAAATTGTACTTCAATTTTTTATTATATCATACCTATACACAATCAATATACTAAAATAATAAATAGTTACATGAATACAGATCCAGAAAGAGCGATCATCTCTACTGCCCCCCCCCTCTAAAATACGCCCCTACAATTTTACATTGGTAGCCAAAATAGTATCTAGCTACCAATACTGGCTGGTATAGAAAATGGTTATTATGAAATGGCCGAAAATACTCGTACTCTCGTACTACCACGGCTATACTTACTAAAATAATCATACCTATATATTAGGAAACGCATTTAAGATTCTGAATTTAAAAATTGTATTATAATATAACAATGTTATATCGGTATACGTATATGTACGTTTTTTTATTCAATTTGAACAATAATATAGCCAATTGAGTAGGTTTAAAATGTTTATGTATAGGTACCTATAATATATTTGTTTTATGGTTCGCGTTTTAAACATCATTTAGATATAGAGACGGCGACGACAGGAAGTAAAAAGAAAAAGAAAAAACATTGTTCACCTGTCCGGAACCAGAAACCGCGGCAACGGTACTCAAATCGGCACCGCACACTTGCAATCGGTCCAACAACACGTCCAAGGCTTTGACCCACATTACCGTGGGCGCTGTCACTTCGCGCTGCTGTTTATCTTTGCCCCTGATCACTCCGCCGTGAGTTTTGAACTCCTGGAGCTCCGTGTCGAAATGCACGGTGGCCTCGAAGATTACGGTGGTCAGCGAATCGTCGACAATCACTCCTTTTAACTACGGCAAGCAATAACGTTCAAATTTGAAAAATAAAATTATTTTACTACACCCCCCCTCCCCCCGGTATTATCAAATTCTGCAGGTCGTTGTATATTCAAACAGTTACCGACAAGAAGCAGGGGCGGGCGGACGATCGTCCGCCAAAGGCCCCTAAAGATTTTTTGGCCTTTACACTACATTATATTGAGCTCGTGTGCTAATACAGCGCACATTTACAATATTTGTGACTATGTCTTAATAAGCACAACGCTAATAACTGTGGGGCCCAAAAGTAATAGGAGCTAAAAAGGGCAAAATAAGCAACAAAAAAATGTTAAATATGCAAAAAATGGTTCTAAGTTATTATTCAAAAACATATAATGTCATTATTAATGTGCACAAAAAAGATAAATATTAAATGCGGATCGCCGCACTGTTGTCGTTAAATTAATAACAGACTGAGACGATAAGAAATAACAATAAATAACTTCGTTGAATAATACTGAGTTTTATACTCAGTATTAATTAAAATACAATGGGTCAAGAAAGAAAAAAAATCACTTTTTTTTATCAAATATTAAATATGCATAATATGCGAAAATCAATGAAATATATTGGTACTTTTTCTCTAAAATCAGCAAAATATGCAAAGTATGCACATTAAATGTCCGATTTTTAAACTCTACATTGTATAGAAAGAATTTCTAGCTTGCAGGTCCGCTATAAATTCAGCGCATACAGAAAAATATGCAACTCTTGTAACTTCCGAGTCCAACTATTAACACTTAAATATAGAGTATAGGTAGTTATTGCAGTCATTGCAGAATATAATTTGAGACATTCGCTTGTTGGTACCCTTGTCATAAGATCTATGCTAGAGCTGGTATTGGTGTGATAAGGAGCCTTTATCTATGAACGCCCGGGCCAATTTTTTCATTCCCTGATAAGAAGGCAGCGTTGCGTTTACGAGTAATTAATAATACTCTAATTATTAAAATTTATAATGAGCACACGTCATTCGTAAAATTGTATATTTTGTTTTTTTTTACTCGCATAAATAAGTAAGTAGCCTAATCCTAATATGTCGCGTGCGATTCCGTTAAGATTACAAAATGATTGAAATACGCGATATGGCCTAGATTATTGTTACATAAATTAATATTAGAAACAAACAAAATTGTTATAGTACATTATATTATTATTATATATTATATTATTACCCGCGCAAGAATTTAAATGCTCTAAAAACTATTCAAAAACAGACAAACACGTCTTTTAGCGAAATGATAACCCCGAAAATGCTCTATGCATAGATTAACGGCGAAAAATGCGTAATAAAAGTTAGGTACGCTTTTATTGTTATTGTTTTAACCAGGTAACGCACTATAGTTGTTAATAACGATAAAACAAAGGACATTATCGAAAACATAAATAATGATTAACAACCTGTAAATCTAAAATCTAGTAAAGCCAATTTCATGAAAACAACAGAATTGCTTGAGATAATATTTCGAATAACTTAAATTTGAACTATTAAAGGTATTTAAAGCGACGAGTGACTGTCTTTGTCTTATATACGTGAGATATAGAGATTTCAACATGTTTTATGTCCAACGTACCGAGATTGATTTCCCCAATTTTGTTGATTTTTGATTTTAATTTCTCAAAAAATTAAAATATTTCATTTTAGATTCCGAGCGTATGGAGGGAGCTATTGGTTTTGCAATGCTGTTAATTATTATTTTTTTTTTCATTTTTTCTTTGTTCTAGTCTGTGGATACGTATATTCCTAGTAAACTTGCTCCGATTTTTACGTGTAGCAACTTTTAAGAAAGCTCAAGATGTATAGATACTTTAGAGAGATAATTTATTAAATGAAAACATTTAAGTGGGAAAAAACGTAAGAAAATGTAAAATTTCACAATTTCATTGTTCTATAAAAACACGGACGACGTTTTTTACCAGAAAAAAAATTTAATTGAAAAATCACATCATATATTTTTTGTTGCCCTTTTTAATTACTTTCTTCATCGTCTCATCGTCATAACTTTTGAGCTTTTAAGGAATTTTAATTTTTGGGAATTGTTTTGCTGTAATTCGGTTATAAATACATGTAAAGACTGGAAACTTGGTAATAATACTTATATTGGACTTATCTAGACGTGGTAAAATTTACAAAATCATAAGACGACTTTTTTTTTTTAATAAGCGTTTTGAAATCAAATTTAAACGAAAATCGCAAAATAAATTACGGCACTTTAAATTATGTATTACCGAACTGCGCTCGGAATCGTCTTTCGTCAAGCAATGGTTTATCGTTGCTAACTGATATAAATGAAATAACCTTACGTATCCTACCTTCCCAACTTTCTCTTTTTTTTTTAATTATTCTTTTATTAGTATGGCTTTTTTTTTAAATTTAAGGAGATAAATTTAAAATTGGGACAGTCGATCTCAAGTAGACATCACGAAAAATTCAAATCTGTTTCAAGAATTCTTATTGCTTCACTAGATTAATCGGTACGTTAGAATTAAAACACGTCTAAATCCCCTGTATCTCACGTGTGTAAGACAAAGACGCAAATCTCGTAGCTTCCAATCCAATCAAATATGAAAAATGCATAAAATATGGGCTTAAGATAAACAAAATTATCGGAAAATGTTAAAAATGCGCGAAATAAAAGTCTTACAATATTGAAGCGACTGCGTTTCATCGGACCTAAAAGAAAGCATCGTCCTAGATCACGAAAAAAAAAAAGTAAAATTTCCATTGAAACCAGGGCCCTTAAATATTGTAGCATAATTCTATACGACGCTAAAGCCCTGCAGCGAACACGACAGCGCAGTTTATTAATACCACCCACCTAATTAATGGCACAATCGTACACTGACGTGCGTACGTCAATTAAATCGTTAATTTTCCTAATCGGATTTCAAACCGATCGTTCTAGTTTAGGGGTTTTATTTATTATTTTTTTTTTTTGTTGTTGTTGTTCTTATCGTTCATAAAACATCCAGTTAACGCTCCACAACGTTTTGAATTCGAACGCGGGTACAGAGCGCAATGATTCTACTCTGTCTCGCACCATTGATTAGAAAACTATACCTATAATAGGTATAGTTACCTGCTTGCATTATTATCGAAAAAATAGTCATAGGCTTACACACAAGTGGGGTAGGTTTGCGATTGGTCAATAATTGCGCTGGTTCCACCGTCTTTGTATACACCGTCATACTTTTATGATTTCGATCGAAAACGGTAATCGCATGATATTATTGTAACCGGGGTTCGAGACCGCGAATATCATTGTTTGCTTATTTTTTCGGCTTGACGTGGAATCTGAAGCGGAGTGCTTGTGCAAAATGATGTCAAGTTACGAGACGAATTATGAACGCGAATTTTTTTCCGTTTGCTTATTTCGAATGTTATTTTTTTGTTTCTAAAAAAACTTTTTACAAGTTTTTTTTTGCATATTTTCTACAATGCGATAACGTGAGTCGGAGACGAAAGTCCGTACTTTCGAATCATTCTAATGGTTTTTGATTATTTTCGTCTTTGTATTCTGTTATCCAACGCGTATTTACTTTTGTTTTTGTTATTTTATGTTCATCATGTCGTGTCGGTGATTGCTGGAAACACGGGTAATACTGATTCGGGAGTATAGTTTTAAAAGATACAAGAGTTCTGATATAAAAATTAAACGTGGTTTTTTTTTTGCAAATTATTATTATATTTTTAAGCGCTTATAATAAATTGTTTACGTTTTTTTTTTATTGGTTTTACAAGACTCGAACCCTGATGATAATATAATATAAGTTGTATATGTTTAATACAAATCAACATCGAAATAAATCTGAACCATAGACGCGCGTCTACGGGTCGTGCCTGTATTATGCATAATACAGGCACGACCTGCGAAATTCGATCTAACTTACATTATAAATTGCAGTGCATAATATAAACTTTCTTTTTTCCTTAGCTTTTGATTTCATATTAAATTTTTTCGACTTTCATAATCTGGGCTTTATCTATAATAATTGACAATACCATCACAGATTACATAAGTTTTATATAATCTGTGATATTATCCCGTGTAAGGTTAGTGGTGTTACCATAAATAATATAAGCGTCTATTATCTACGCGTGGTCCTAATTGTTAGTATAGGTCTGTTTTCTATACGTTAGATTTTCGCGATATAATAACACATGACAAATTCTCCACCATTGATAGCATTGAATATCTGCTGTAGCGTTTCTATTCATAGAACAACAGACGAAAAAAATGATTAATTATGACGGAGTAATTGGGGAAATTAAAATGGTAACACCAACATAACGAAGGTTAGAATTATAAAAATAAATATTTTTAAAACGTATTAGAAATCGTGTTTTAAAGTACTAAATACTGTTTCATAAAATATGTTGTTTATATTTAACCGATAAAAGGAAAATCGTATTTATTGTTCCTAGTAGAAAAAAAATTAAAAATTGATTTAATTATTATTAGATGATAAAGTTTATTTCGAAATTCGGGGGTCATACTACCAATTGTTAACCTAATTTCGGCTGTATCTCCCTCAGCCCCTCTCCTGGTTGCGCCACTGTCGTGCACGGCCCGTGGTGAATGAGGTCTGAACACGCCTGCATGGCCTGAACAAAAGTGAATAACTCAATTATTACCACGGTGCCTATCGAAACGCGCGTTCGTCCGCAGTCATTTTAATATGGCCGGAGGGGGTGTGCCATTACAGCTGGTTTCATTACACTATATAGATGGGAAAAAACAAAAGAAAAAAATGTACAGAAAGTCAATAAAATCGTCGTACCTATATTGACAATAGTGGATTTCGATTGGATTGACTTCATTGATTTATCGATAAATTACGAACCCAACGGTGAGGATGGTGTTGGTTAGGTGTTGTGAACGCCGCGCGTTACCCTTTTCACTTTCTTCCGCCCGTCCCCCCGTCCCCGAACCCGCGCTACAAAAACCGTAGTTGTTGATAACATTACGGCGAGTGTGTGCGCGCGCACACTAATGCGAGCGAACGAAAATAAACGGACACGTTGGCAAACCGGTTGATAAAAATACTGTAGCACAAACCATTCATCATAATCTATAATAATAATATGTAATAATTACGATAATCGCCTACAGATATCGTGTTGCCGCACCTAAATACCGGGAACTCGTCATCGAATAGAAAAAAAAAAAACGTTTCCGCATACACCGCGGTCCGCGAATGACTCGTATTTTGTATATTTTATTATTATTTTTTTTTTCTGTAGTAAACGGGGCCACGTTAAATTGCGAAAACGTACATTCACAGCGTAGAAAAAAAAAACAAAAACAAAAACGTTTCCTCTTTTTAAACGCTCAGTGTAATACTACGTTCCTATTCGATACTCCTCTAATAATACACCGGCACGCCGCATGGAAACAAACACACTTAATCATTTCTTTCAATACGCGCGTACTCGGTCCGTTTGTCGGTGCTCATTATAATCGATACGCGAAACCTGAAAACACAACGTACGGCGTAAATACTGGATACACGTGTCGTAAAAACGGAACTGAAAAAAAATATACAAATTCAAACTGCAGTTCGGTACAGTCAAACCGACTTTTTCGTATGGTGACGTTACGGTAGCCGGCGCCGTCGCGTAAAACGAACCTCTTTAAATAAAAAAACGCCGAGTTTTCGTGGACGCCTGAATACCATATCGCGGACGACGGCGCGTTGACAATCGCCGACGTTTGTTTTTGAAATGTTCTTTGAGATTAAATTCATTATTGAATCTATTTAACGCGCGTAAAATGCGATTCGCGCACTTTCGGCAATAATGTCCACAGAAACGTCCACAAAAATCGTTTAATCGATTACAATAGACGGCGGCGGTGTTACCGCATTAACGTGCGCAAAACGTGATTTACAGACCTCGCCGATCGGTTTACGCGTAATTATATGTGATATTACGAATTACGATAATCAATGCGCGTGATAATACCGCGGGGCGATGCTATGGCTTATCAAAAAAAAAAAACATCATTTCGACTCGCGCCGACGTGCGTGACGTGCGCGCCTACCTGTTGCGTGCTAAAGTCCAGTCCCAAGTACGTGGCGGAAGTGATCGCGTCCGCGGCCGCGGCCGCGGCCAAGAGTAGTCCGTCGTCCGCCGTATTCATTTCTACGGCCGCCGGCCGCTGTAGCTGGTGGCTCGTCATTATCGCCGAACTGCGCCGGCGACGGCGGCTGGTTCACGTCGACGACGACCGCGTAACAATTATCTCCCGGGCGGCGGCAGGTCAGGCACGACGACGACGGCTGGGCGTCTGCGAAAAAACCGTAACCGTTAAACACGACGGCGACGTCCGGGTACAGCAACAATGATAGCTAATCGGTTCGGAGTGGACGTTCACGCCGCGATGTTCGCGATTGAGAAAAAAAATAAAAATAAACACGAGAACCCCGGTAACGTACTATGCGCCGGTGCGGTTATCGCGCGACGCGAAACAACATTCGTGATCGAATACTTTAATATTATGACGTAGAAATTATTATTTATGTGATTTTTTTCGGACTGACCGATGGTAAAATTTTTAACGTTGCGCACGCGGTGCACCGGTTCGGCTCGAGTCGAACAGCACGTCCGCACAAGACGGGCGCCGGTGCGAATACTGTTTTATCTGTTGTGCGGCGTCCGGTGAACGGCGTACGCCGCGGTTACTGTGCGCGACGGTAGAGAGCAGAAAAAAAAAAATCATCTAAATATCGAAAAACGGACCGTAACGCCGCGCTACGGTCCGCGCGATGTCTACAGCGGTTGTAGCGCGCCGAGCAGAAGTTCGATCGGTTCGCGATCCGGATTTAGAGGGGAAAAAAAATCGACCAAACGGAAAAAAAAAATCCATTCGCCTGATCATGGTGCAGGTTCACGGATCCACGTAAATAACTCGTAATCCGGATATGGAGAGGACGCTCTACACACTCGTTAATAATGATTCGTTGTCGTCTCCGTCTTACAAACGCGCGACACGGTGGATTTGCGTTCGGCGGAACCGACTTGGTGCTATTATCGTGACATTAAGGGAAGAACATGCGTTTTTACGACGGTTTCTTTCGTAGTTTTTTAAAAAAAAAAAAAACCAACGTACAATGTTCTTTCCTATAAGTCTAATAAATTAGTCAATTCATTCTATACAAAACGAAAACTAACAGTACGAAATCGGAAAATTTTTTCTTTTATTTAAAAATCGTCAACGATAAACGATTCTGAGCGGAGTGCGTTTATAAATGTTTTAAAAACTCGTAATATTTACAATTTTCACCGAAATTTGATATTAAAACTTTTATACAAATAATACTCTACATTGCACTCAATTTTTTGTTTTTGACCACAAAATACGACTTATAACGAAACGAACCTCCTGGCATTTCTGTTTGGTTAAACAATTTTATCCACTTACTGAATGAAAAGTACGTAAAAAAACGTGTAAAATTAAAATATCTATAAATAGCTCAAAAATTGATAAAATGTTTTGAAAATTTTACCACATCTAGAATAAGCAATTGTAAGAGCTGTGTCCAAATTTCAAGTCCACGATTATTTTTAACTGAATCACAACAAAAAATAAAAACAACATTGCATAAAAACAAAGGGCATATTTTAGGATTTTGTAAATTTTTCAGGTGTATTTTAATTTTTTTTTTTAAGTTTACTACGTATATGTACATATAGCTCAACAAATCGACACCTACAAAAAAGTTACAAAGGTTTATAAATACATCAGCAAACGAGTTGTTAACTTCAGTACTCGTGCGAATTTTAGTTTTTGTAAATCATATTTATATTTATGTTTTAATATTTCATATTATGTAAAAAAAAAAAAATTGAAACGTTTGGTTTTTAGACTGAAGGCAATTAACTCTATGTACACTATATATACTTCACAGCTCAATAATATGTTAGATAATATGTTAGTATTTCGAATTTTGTATTCGATTTTTTTTTTTTTATTTGTTAAGAGCGTATTTCTGTAATTTTTAGGGCATAACTGTTCGTATACGATAAGTAAATGCATACTTAATAGGTTTTCAGGGCATACGATGTGCCTTAGTCATCACGGTGTAGACACCGCCGATCGCGGTTTTTAATGCATCTGTTGCAGGCGAGACGAGACGCAACGGTCCGCATCGTCATAATAACAACATTATGAGCTGCATGTCGTTCGCGATGCGGTTCGGCGATCGGCTTATACGCGTCGAGTATTTGATTTTACTAGGTACACACAAACGAAAAACTTGACATTTCCGAACATTATTGTCGTAAAACTGCGGATACCCTCCCCCCCCTACATCCGTTCTACCGGACGCGACTTGTTCGTTTTTTCCAGCGAATACACTAATGAACGTACAAGACTATAGTGCACACGAGTATTTTGATATGGAAAAAAAAAAATTTAAAAAAATACCTAACTATACCCACCAGTGGCATTTATATGACGGTTTCGAGTAATGCAACTGCATGGGTTGTCACAACTTGGAATGGGTATTTTTATTTTCGCTCATCATGAATTTTGAGTGGAGGGACAGGTTTATAAAAGAGAGATGGCCTTTATTTTGTGTATATTCGTTTCGCTCGGCACTGGGCGGGTGGGTATACTTTTATTAACTACATGGGCTGACAAAATTCCACTGTGCACCACTGATATACCCGCCGTCGTGCTTTAACGGTAAAAGGCGATAGAACTTCACTGTACAATTGTGCAGCGGTACGCGATAACGTTACATAAAAATTTCAATTGACGACTTGTGGCGTTTTTCGCGCTGCAGTCGATTACTGTTAAAACTCAACACTTTTACAATACCTGTGAGTTTTTCATAAAACTGTTATATCGAATAACTAAACGGCTATAAAGGTTAACGACCGATTGTAGTTTCATTATGTTCTTTATACAAAGCAATTTACTGTTTACAGAGATGATATCGAGTTAATGAAACGGGTATGAATTCAATGAACAGAAAACGGCCATTGGGACGACCCAGGACCGGCTGGGCTGACCTCGAATTGGGTCCCGGCATATTTTAACGTACACGTAATTATTTTTTCTCATAAAATTAACATTATTACACTATTTTTTTTCCCGCGGTAAATATTTATGTTAACAAATGTAAAAGATAAATCTTTCACAAAACTTAACCGGATCAATTCTACATTGGTAAAACAAAACATCCTCTCTCTTAGAAATATTTCTTTTCCAGCTGTTTTTTTGCTAGGTTGTTTTATTGAGCTCGATAGGGCGATAGGCAAATTTCACTTTGAATTAGTCCGGCGACAACCGATTTCGTCGTTATCGACGATTATTATTATGGATTTAATGAATTATTAACAATGTTATTACCGCGGATCCAATTCGAGTACTATCAAGTAACACCACGGACCCAACCAGTAATTTAAGTGATAAAATATCCGAGGACTCAACTCGAATATCCCAAACTCACCGGGCGGATGTTATCGCTCGTGACATAGAAGACGGAGAATTCGACTTTTGATATGACGTACAAAAGTGAGAAATGGAAAGGCTTCGTGATGACATGCATTGATTGCTAATGGTCCAGTAATAAAATGAAAAATAAATATGTCGAATAAGAAAAGATCGCGTGTGGTTTATGAATTAAAGCTTTTATATTATAGACATTTTTTTCTTTTGTGTAACTGTGAACAACTTTCCTATGACAATACAGATTTTTTGCAGTATTTTGAATCTAGTTGGTGCATTAGAGAGGTCATTTTTTTTATTTTCCATGTAGTTTTAGTTATATTTAAGAAAATCGTGTAGAAAACACGGATAAATTTATTGCAATACAAATTTCATTATTTTATATTTTTTCCATTTTGTTTTCGATTTTTTTTAAATTTTTATTTTGATAAGAGGTATTACTTAGCCTAACAGAAATTATTGAAAATTGAATACGTGGTTCATTATAAGAAGTGCATAATACTAAAAAAAAAAAAATTAAGCATAATGCAATAGTAATAAATATTAGTTATTTTAATGCTGTTAAAGACCTAGAGGTGGACTATTGATAACATCAAAAAATTGCTTCAAATAAAATACCACCGTCCGGAAACATTGCATCTTTCAAGGAACTGCGTGAAAAAACCGAGAATTTTCACTAACCGGAATGTTATTTTTAAAATATAAAGAAAAACACATAAAAAGAAATTTTTTAGAAAAAGTATTGGGAATTTCGAAATATTTTTAAATATAATACATTTACGGTTAAAAAAAATGTGCATATTTTAGGGTACGGCTTGCACAGTATTTTAACAACCCGAAAAAGTTTTTTCCGGAAAAAATAACAGATATTTGTAAAACTAATAATAACTTCTTCGTTATACTGAGAATTTAAAAATATGGATACCAAAATACCAAATCCTCACAATTAGTCATGAAAGCCTATAGTGTAAACCGATTATCGTTTTTTTACTTCAAGATAGCGTGTGCGCCATGTACTTATAAAGGTAACAACTTAAGACGGTCGTTTATATTTTATTATTTTGTTGTTTTTTTTTTGTTTTGTCAAAAAGACAACGGTGCGCACACATCGTATACTGTTTATAATACCTAACACACTTATTATAGGTACACACACTAACCGCCGATCACCAAAATTGTTCGTATAAACGGGATTTTTAGATTTTGAGTGGAGCGAAAAAGCTTATGGTTTTACAAAGATGTTTATTTATTTATTTTTTTCTGTGGACAAATTTTCTACTTTTAACGGTAGCACTGTTTCTAAAAGGAAATTTCACTAGGGATATACGTAAGAAACGTAATTTTTCAATTTTCTCAGGATTTTTCCCAGAAAATATGAAAAACCGGGATAAAACATGGGAAAATGGTTATACAGGATTAAATAAATAGTATTAAAAAAAATATATAAAGCCTATTTAATTATTTTTACTATAAAATGACATATATTATTGACAAAGCATCACTATCAACTGAACTCCGCTCAGAATTGTTTTTTCGTAAGCAATGGTTTATCGTTGATATACATTTAAAGGTATACATTAATTATCTATAACAGTGGCTGCACCTGTTCCCATTATCCTAGGACGTCTTTTTTTTGTTTAAATTGTTTGTATATTCATATGTAAATTATGGTATATTTGTTTTGTACAATATTAGCTTGCGTTTTAGAAATCCGACAACTTGATTCACTATATTATGTAGCAGAAACGGCAAATATATCTTTCTATATTCAGTCTATAGACCTGGTCTCTGTATTATGCATATGAATAATGTATTCTAATGCGATTGCCTTTATTAAAATATTTTTATTGTTTCATACGATTTTCTAAATTTGTTTAAAAAAAACTACTGGCACTGCTGATGAGTGCGCCACCAATGTAGGTGGAAAGTTGTATTGATAAGATACATGTTTTAAAAGACCGTAACATTTACGATTTTGGTCAATATTTCATGTAAAAATTCTTAAAAAAAAAAATACTACTGTAGAAAAATTTTTTTTGGGCACAAAATACGACTTACAATGAACTTCCTGTTAAATTGTCAAGCATTTCTGTTTAGTTCTAAAAATTGTATCCACAATGTATGTGTCAAATAAAAATTAAGTATAAAACACGCAAAGTTAAAATGTCTTGAATAGTCCAAAAATGGATAAAATGTCTTGAAAATATTACCACGCCTAGAATAGGCAAATATAAGTTTTCTGTCGTGGCCACTATTACGGGTAAGAATTTGGGAAGGTGAAGAGGAAATTTAATGTAGACCTGTACGCAAAGATTAATGATTGTTAACGAAAAACGATTCTGAGCGGAGTTCGGTTGTACGTGTTTTGAAAGAACGTAAAAATTTAATATTAAAATTATTATACAAAAAAACACTACATTGGACTCAATTTTTTTTTACGGTTTACAATTAGTTTTCTTTTTTTTTTTGGTTTTTCCCAATTATTATAAAAACTGCTTTAGATATCAAAAAAAAATCATTAACTCCATTAGTAGTAATTTATTAAAAGGAATAAAATCGATTTTCTGTTATTTTTCGATTTGAGCATTATTTTTGGTAGAAAATATCGTTTAGGCATACTTAAATTTTAAGATAGTAAAATTGATAAGGCCGCGACGCGCCGTAAATATCGTTTTATTTATAATTTTCTTACGTAGGTAATTTGTATTCGATAGGTACTCTGTGAATAAAATTATTAGACTAAATAGAAATGTTTGAAAGAAGGTTCTTAATGGTAAAAAAATATTGAGTGTAATATATTTTTTTTTTATGGTTTTAAAATTAAAATTTTGACGAAAATCGTAAATATTATATGGCCTTTCAAAACATGTAAAACCGAACTTCACTCCGAATTGTTTTTTGTTAGCAATGGTTTACGTTGGTTACAGGTATGTATGCAAATTAAATAACTTCTTGCATCCCGCCCTTCCAATTACCCACCTACAATGGGTGGTTGCATCTATCCTCAATATCAGTTCTTTTTTGTTTTTTCGTTATTTCCAATTATTATGAAAACTCTTGGGAAAATCAAAAAATTATGTCTTTTGGACACGTCAACTTGATCCAAAATGCAACAACAAATATCTCTAGTTATTTTTCGATTGATGCATTATTTCTGATAGAAAAGTTGTTGAACAGACAGAAAAAAATAGTAAAAACACATTCACTGTCCAATACTATACAACATACATCAGTTCAAAATTGGCAATGATATTATTTACAAAAAAGTTTTTGTTTGGCAATTATTTATACATTTTTGGGTCCATTCAAAATCATATACCTATTCTATATAAAAACCACTCTGGGTATTTAAACTAAGTTGGTTTACATACAAACTTTAAACAAACATAACAGCCGTCGTTGACAAAAGTGTAGGTACCTATACAGTTTTATACCTACCAATACAGTTTGTATTGAAACATTTGATATAAGTTACTGATGTGACTACAATACTACTTATTACTTATTTACTTATTTTGGTGTTTACCTGTTTGTATCTTCAACATTTCATCCAAGTGGCTGTTTTTTCCCGTCGACATTAAATTATATTAAGCCATTAAATAACATAGGTATTGGTGTAAAACGTAGTAAACCGTGGTACATAAGTAATATATATAAGTAACATAATATAAACTTATTTCTAAAAAAAAAATAACAGAAAATAATAGGTACTGTTGAACTGTTATTAAGTTAATTTATAATACTACTACTGGGTGGCAGAACTATAGATAGTTATATCTAGCATTAGTGTATAGCTTAGCGTGGATATCTAGCGAAGTAGTAATACTGTTGACTGATAAATGATAATATAACATTTTAAAATGATAATAATATTTAGCTTTAGAGCTTTGTGTTTATTTCGGACGAGCTTACGGGATCAATTGTTCAAAATCAGCTGAAGTTACCAGACCGTGTAACCATGTAGGTATCTACTACTTTATATTGTGTGATAAGAAATTTGTTTTTCCTTCTACTACGGTTCCATCCATAGTTAATATATTATTTATTATCTATGATTCTATCACAGACTATAATATTATAAATTAAATATAATATACATAATATCATCGTCTGTGGTTCTATCAAAGATACCTCTCTGGTACCTTGCATTATGCATTTGTATCACGGCTGTAGATATAAATTTGAATGCCTACTGCTGGTTCCGGTGTTTAACGAAGGTACAAGATGTTATATTCGTGTTTTTGATACAATATAGACATCAATACGAACTAACAATGGTTCCTGTGAAAGCTACGTGCATGCAAATGTGTCCGAAGGACGAAATTACTATGTGAGTGTTATTCGTGTATAATATTACGATCAGAATTGGATCATGCTTAGTTATGTATATTTTATTTGTTCAGGAGGAAATCCCGAAAACTTTTGCACCAGTTGGAACGTGACCCGTACCAAATGGTAAAATGTTTTAGCCGTTCAGCTGCCGGATGTTCATTAAACAAACCTCATCTTTTACGACCTCCATCAGTATTGATGAATACCATTTCCTATCTTTTGAATGAGTAATAGAAAACTATATTTTTTTATTTTTTATTATCATCATTGTATTTTTCAATATTTTTAGTGTGCTAAAAATTGTCAATGTTCCATTCAATATTATTTACGATTTCATAGATGACCGGTTAAGTGCTATTAAACAAGATGCAACCATACAAGAAGTATCTAAACAAAACTGGATGAATATTTTGCCACCTATCATTCGGTTTTATGCATATGCGGCTTACATGTGAGTAATAATTTTACATGCATTGTTCTAATAAGTACAAACAAAATGGTTTACAATGATGATTTTGTTGTGCTATGTTTTTTTTTTTTTAATCTCTATTCTAATTAATATCTATTTTGATGTAGAACATATTAGAAATGTCAGCTATCAAAAGTTGTCTAAGAATATTATGATGTATTATAAAACATAATAGAATTGATATTGTGGCATCAAGTGTAAATAAACAGTGAAAATTAGAACTTGATACTAATTTTGAGTTTTCCCTATTACTAAGAATACTCCAGAGAATATTTCAAGGAAAATCAAAAGCATGAGCTCCTCGTTGCATCAACTAAATATAATTGTCTACTAGAATCTGTTGCTCCTAAAGTTAATGATTGGAGTAAGATTTCTTGTAGAAAAATTATTTTTTTTATCTGTTTAGAGACAAAAAAATAAAATAAAAATAAATACATTGTAATCTAAAATATGTATATATGTAAGCAAAAACTTAGCCTGTAGTGTTGTTATTAGTATTTGTCTGTAAATTATTAACTACTGAATTATATTTAATTAGTGTAATATGGTGTGGTGAGTGAAGCCCTTCATGGATAGTTAAGTTCAGTAGTTGCAATTTCAGTATTTCAAACAAATATAGCACAACACTACAATCCTTTTACGCATAGTATATTAATTGATGATATGATTATTTTATTTTATTTCAGGTGCTATGAATATAATATCAATATATATGATCCATATTTAAACATGAAACACTTTCATGAGTGTGTTTTGAAATTTATTAAAATTTGTTTAGAAGATTCTAATGAAACGACAACTGATGAACTTTGTTCTGAAATGGTATCTCTTCTAATTGTAGCTAATTTAGGCGATTACAATGTTCTTCAACAAGGTTTGCCATTTATATCAAAAAAGTCAGTTTATCAAATTGAAAATTGTATAAAGTTTACAGTTTTTATTACAGTAATACTAAAATCACTAAAATGCTACATTAAATATCTGATCAGTGATTACTAAGAGAAATTATTATTATAAATTAAACAAGTTTGTCTTTTAGTCTTTTAGTGTTTTTTAATTATCTAATTAAGGTAAAACTATCCAGTACCCAGTTTGATATTAAGCTTCACATCAAATTTTTTTTAATAAACTAATTTTAAAATGTCAAAATTTTATAATAATCATGCTTTTAAAAATTATTTCCCTAAAAACATCTTTGCGCTGTATGCATTAATACATCGTACAATTAAAAAACTAGGTTAATATTTAATTTCTATGTTTTTATATTTAAAACTCATTTTTAATACATTTGGGTAACACAAATATTATTCAACACTTTGTGATCTTTTATTTTTATACTTACTAAGTATTGCCGAGGAACAGAAACTAGAACAGATCCAGTTATAAGTGTAATTTGTATACAAGATGGGACACTTTGTATACAAATACCCTTTTATATGAAAATAATTTTTTTTTACCTAAACACAAATTTAATTAAAAGATTTTTAGTTCTTATCCCCTCGAGTAATATGAAAAAAACATAATTTAATGAACTTTATTATCTCCTGTGATATTGCAATAGATATATTTTTGTGGGACACTTGTTTAATTTATATATTTTTTTATTTTTATGATCATTTTTAATATATTTTCAAATATAAAATAAATTTTTATTAACATTTATTTTTATGTAGTGAATTAAATTCTTCTATTTTCAATTTATCAAACTTGTCAATCTTTGTATGATATTGAATTAACTTTTAATTGAACTCGATACGTGGTATTATACTTACGGTATATTAAACTTTTTTGTTTTATCATATTAATAAATTACATTTCTTTAAAAATAAATCATAAGATTTAAAGAAAAAAACTAATTTAGTCATTACTATTTAATGGTTCAAAATAATCAGGGTAGGCTCGTACCTACTGCAGATGCCACTGTAGTATAGTAATTTATAATACCTACATACATAAGTTATGTCCAATTATTTATAAACTGTGAATTTTATATTGTTATGTGTATTTTATGTTTAAAATGTTTTCCAATTTTTATAAATTTTAATTTTTAATTTTTAGAAATAATTTGGTAAAAAAAACAATGTTGTTATCAGTTAATATTATGAATGGCAATTTTGGAGACTTATTAAAAGTATACAATGAACTTCCTGCAATACACCAGTGTGTTATTAGTGTACAATTACCAATACTAAGAAAGTATATACCTATTGTATATTTTATTTATTAGGTTTTTATAATTTAATTTAAGTAATATTTTTTTCAGGTATATACTACAATCCATGTGCTTTGGATTTAATTGCAAAAATAATTTTTTTCCAATATCAATTTTAACTAACTGTCTGCTTCTAAATAATGATAAAGAAACGACAGAAGTATGTAAACATTATGGTATATTGATGATTGACTATAAAGCAGAATTATCTAAATCTTTGTTCAATATTGAAGTGGATGAGGTAAAATAATTATTCTTAATTATTAAATTAAATTCTTTTAGGAGATGAAAACTGCTGTTTTATATAAATACAATAAATTAATTATAACTTAAAAATTTGTAATTTTATTTGATTCTATTTTCAAAACAAATCATATCTTTTCTTTTTTATAAATTTTGTAAACATATATGTTGTTTTTTACATATATTTATTACAAATCAATGTTTAGACAATATTCTATATATTTACTACATTTATATTTAAATTTTATAATTTTCAAAATTAAGGTATCCTTTATTCTATTAAATATCCTTAAAGATAATTTTTTTTTGAATAGTAACTGCATTAGGTAAAGAAAAAAATTAAGATTTCACATTACTATTTGTATGTTTTTCATCATATTGATATCAAATTTATTCATATTGATTTACTTATTAAATTTTTTGATAAATTGTATTTTTTTTTTTTTGTTTTAGCCACGCATACGAAAAAAGATCCAGTTCAATGTAAATGTATCAACTATGATTCTTCATAAACAAAAGTAAAGAAGTATATAGTATTTTATGGAATTGTGTTGTCCAGTGTTCCCTCTAAAATAAAAATTATTCTTATACTTACAACATAATTTTATTATCATAATTTAACATTAAAGTGAAATGTGAAACATTTTTTATCATGGTGGGAAAAGTCAATTGTATTGTATGGTTTTTAAAAAAAAAATAGAAAAGTAGAAAAACTGAATATTGAAATAAGAATTTATTTATTTAATTCAATCTTAGTATTTTTTTTAGATCCTAATTGTCCAATTTGAAAAATATACTGATTTAATTATAATAGATACTTACAATATTTTAAAATCCATTGTTATAATTAACCAAATACATAAGCTCACTACAAATATTGTTTATAATTTATTTATACATTAATAACACTGATAATATTACAAACATTTAGTTACTTAAATTGATACAAATATTTGATAACTATTAAATTGATTTTACAATTTAACACAACATTCTGTACCGGGGAATGGAGGCAATTGTAATTTGTATTTCTCCTCCAATTCTTTAGGAACAAATCTTCCACCCAAATAGTGATATTTTCCCTTGAAATTTTTCGCACATTCTTTTGGTGCAGTCAACGAAATCAAAAGCTCTGGACTGATTCCATTGCTTTCGGGAACACCTTCTATACTCCACCCACTGGGTACATCTATGCTACAAATAGGCTTATTGGTTGCGTTCAATGCATCAATGGCTGATACGAATTTGGGACGCACGGGAGGCTTGAAACTAAAACCAAATAATGCGTCCACCAGTATGTCATATGTATTTAAATTTTCGGGCAAGACATCTGACACTGGCACGCCAGACAATACACATTGATGGACGAGATTATGGTACAATGCCTTATCGGTGCGCACAGGATAATACACTTCAGGCAAGTAACCAAAAAGTTTCATATGTCTAGCACAAACTAAACCATCTCCACCATTGTTACCTGGTCCGCAGAGCACTAAAACTTTATTATTCTGATTGCCATTTGGCGGGAAACACTTGTAAACTGCCGTTGCGCAGCTCAACCCGGCAAGTTCCATTAACTGGTCAACGCTAAATTTATAAACGTTGAACAGTTCTTGGTCTATATTGATGGCTTCGTCTTGTTTCAAATATTTTACCATCGTTATCCAACGTACAGGAACAACAACGTTATTTGATAATAACTTTCGAACAACTTTCGAGGTTGGTAAATTTTTTAAAAAATTAAAAACCATTAAGGAAAATAGAAAAGCCGATTTCGTTGGTTATCACTCGCACTGTAGCACGATTGATATGATACTATGATAGTATCTGCCAAACTTTTCCATAATATTATGGTTATAACGGTTGCCCGACGGGGAAAAATATTTGACCGTGAATACTCTTATCACAAGCCATATTGAAAACCGGTGAATGGCTCTTGTTCGAAAGTGATAAGAACTGTTTTCGGAAAACCGGCCTGGTCGCATGTTATACCTACTACTATATCATTGGTTTCATATAAATATTATGTTATAAACTGTATAGACGTGCTGCGCACAGTGCTCACGAAATAGTATTCGACGACTAGACGTGGTTTCGCATAAACCACGGTTTTATTTTCAATTAATTTCACCTATTTGCCAAAGCCATATTACAATGGTGTGTTTGTTATTGTTATTTTTTTTCTACCAGAAAACTTGCTCTGAAGTATAGACTATAGCACATTTTCTGAAAGGTGAATTTGTTTCTCTAATTGGTACATCGGGAGGTCATTTTTTGATTTTCCCATGAGCTTTCAAATTAATTGGGAAAAACCGAAAAAAATTATCGGTAAAACACTCAAACGGGAATAATTACCGGGTTCCGCGGCACACAGCGTTACCGTTTTCATTATTTTCATTGTGTTATACTTAAGTTTTCTACCAGAATTATTTCTTCCGTGCAAAAAAAAAACAATATATCGATATTTTCCTTTTTCAATTGTCAAAGTCATTTTTCGTTTCATTTTTAATCTAGTTGGTGAAAATAAAGATTTTTTTTTTAGTTTTTTTAATAATCGAGCGAAATCGAAAAAAATATGTATATTACGGGATATTATAAATATTACGGGAAAATGTACGAAAATAATTCTGAAATAATTTTAAATTTAGTTTTTTTTTTATTTAATACAATTAAAAATATTCGCAGAGACTTAACATGTTGACAGAAAACTTATATTTAGTTTCTCTAGATGTAGTATAACTTTCAGAATATTTTAGAAATTGTTGAGCTATTTATAGATATTTCAATTTTGCGAGTTTTTTACGTAATTTTTATTTGGAAGGTACTTTGAAAATAAATTGTTAGACTTAACAGGCATGCTTGAAAATTTAATGGCAGGTTTATTATAAGTCAATAAATTTAGTGAACAAAAATTTAGTTTAAAATTATAAAAGTATTATTTTCGTAAATTTTCTCATTTTTTTTTTACGTTTTTTCCTCTTTATTGGAAAAATCAAAAAATGACCTTACAGTATCTCCCCAGTCAGATTTTCTTTTAAAAAAAGTGCTACGCTTAAAAATCGGAACAAGATTTGTAGTAGAAAAGTTGTCCACAGATAAAAAAATAAAATAATAATACTAATAATTCCAAAAATATCTTATTGTTGACTTATTACTAGTTAGTATGACCATGCCTTAAGGTAGTTTCCTATGTCTCGCAAGTTTAATTATTATTACTTACAAAACAATTACCTGTTCATCGAAAATATAGTCAATATAATGATTTTGTTTTCATTATTCGCATATAATTCCTAAAGGTTGTTTAATTATGAGCGCTTTGTTTTCGATTATTAATCAATAATCATAAATATTAGATGTTCGATAAACAATTTTTTTTAAGAAAAAGGTGACTACCTATTTAATATTAAAATATTAAAAACCCAGAAAATTAATACTGCGCCATGAATATAATCGGGTAGGTAATTATATTTACACGAACGGCAATGAATTGAAACAACTATAATTGTATATGATTTTTGAAAAATGTATTTATTCTAAATAATATATTTTTCAATGCCATTTTTTCCATTAAACATATTTTCTAATTCATACTTTTACCTCCGATGGTTTTTTTTTTGGTTTCAAAAAAAATGTGGAACAACAGCCAATTTCCCTTAAAAACCTGTGGTTCAGCAGTGTGATCTGGTGCAATAATAATTAATATATTAGAGCCCAACCATTAATATAGACAATATAGTCATTAATTATGTTTCAGTAGGACACACATTATTGTTGTAATATAGGTACACCTATTACCTATACAAACAGTAACAGCGTATCTATGACTTACCCCGGGAGGGGTATAGTTAGACAACTTTTACAGCAAATTAATCCACCTAAATCATAATATTGATAATGATATTGTGGAAGTTATGCGCTTTTGGGGAGAATTACCTATTCCCCCGTCACTGCAGTATATATCGACAATGCGGATAATCTGTAACTTGTAGAGTAATTTGAGTAAAAGTATTTAAACCAATGTGGATATTTTAGTATCAAATTTTGACGAAAATCGAAAAATATTTAGTTTAAAAACTCGTAAACTCCGTTCAGAATCGTTTTTCGTTAACAAAGATTAATTTGTATGTACAGATATACCCCTCTATATCCTCTACCTTCCCAACTTCTCTCCTACAACAGTGGCCCAGCCATCGTGAAAATTATATCCATATCTTTTTTACGTATTAGATTGTCTATTGCCATCTTGATTTGCAATACTTTTTATGAAAAAAATGTTGAGGAACCTATTATTAATCCGTTTATACATAACAAATAAATATTAAACAAATAATTATTGCTAATCGAGAATTTCCCGAATGCCCGATTCTCAGTCTCAAGTCCGAAGTACCGTGTTTTAAATGCGTGTAACACTACCAAATTTTGATTTCTTCATTGATTCGCATATTAAACTAAAATTATTTGTACTGAATTTTATTAAGCTATTAATTATACATAATTTAACAGTTAAATTCATAGGTATGTTTTACATAAGTACCACTAACTATATTCTATGCTGTAGCAATACCTTTTTGTAAACTGAACTATTTACTCCTATAATATGTAGTATATTAGTATATTACCTATGTAAAATGTACATATAGGTAGGTAATTCTTAATTTGTAACATCCAAACTTTTGGAAAGTTGAAATTTATAACCCTTTTTTACGATACAATTTTTATAAGGAAACCTAGACTATTCACTTAGGTTTTTTTTTAGACACACAGTCAGTACATTTTTAACCACTTTGACGAATACGACCGAGTATACAGTAGTAGTTTATAGTTTGTAGTACCTATATTATACCGACTTCAGAAAAGTTCGACAACCACGGGTTGAAAAAATAACAAACGTTTCAATATACTTACTCTATATAGATAATTACTCGGCAGTTATTATTGATATTTGAAAGAAAGTACAAATCAATATTTGTTTCACCCTTATTACATTTTCGAAAACTAGTTACAAACTGAAGATTTTTAAGCTAACTCAAACTTATATATTAAACAAATATTATTTTAGAAAATAACATCATCGCAGAAATAACATTAATAAATAATAATTAATATTTACTATTAAATTAATGATAAATCTTTAAATTTATTTGGTTAAACTATGCGTCACGTGTAGAAACTATGCATTTAATTGTTTATTGTGATCAGATTAATCTATATTGCATTTAATACATTAATAATCGAACCGATATATTCGTACGGTAAGTGTATTAAAATATACTTTTTAACATTTTTTTTTTTTTTATGTTGTACATTATTGAAAGTAGATTATAATGTCAATATAGTTTTAACATTAATTCGGCCGAATATCGAACTGTGAAAAAATGTCGCGTATTTAATAGTAAATAATCTGTATATCGCACATAGTATCAAATCAAACTATTAACCAATACTGTACGACGTGGTTTGAATCTATCGAACAATTTTTGAGGTCACGTCGTAGACATACGGTTTACAGTTTATTATTATAGTACCTATATTTAGATAGGGACCGTGGCACCAAAACTGATATTTTTGGACGAACGCAATAGTTAAGGTTGGTCAAATAATCGTATATTCCGAGACTGGGGTGACTGATAATATTATTATCGTTTCTGTTGTACCTAATATTATTTTGTACTTTGTTCGCACTCAACAACACTGACAAAGAAATAATATCACGTGATTGAACTTAAAATGTGTAAGTGTGCTCATTTAGTATCTGATATAATATAGCTGATACAGTATCATAATAATTAATACTAAACACGCAATGTTCGTTATTAAAAACCTATCTGTGAGTTATAGTAACGTTGTTATTTCTAATTTAAAATTATACGATAAGTATTATACTATTTATTTTACTGTTGTAGGCGCCTAATATTTAAAAATTATTATTATTTTATAAATACCTATGTATATTATATTACTGACATTCCATTTTATTTTTCATACCATATCGAAAATATAATATTCATAATATGAATGTGAACATTTTACTGTGGTACCTATATAGAAAAATAATTATTGTATGTGGTAACCTACTTTTTTATTAATCACTATTTTTATGTTTAGTTTTCAATTCTCATAGGTATTGATCGACATTTAACAGTAAAATGATTTCTCCACGTTTTTTTACAACTCCTGCATCTTACATTATTTGACCTATTATAACACTATTCAGCATATATAGTCCACCTTCTTGTTCTTATGCGGTTTAACAAAGTTATTTTTTCTTTTACTGTGTCTATCAATATTATGCTACTTTATTTCTTTTCACTTCTGTCCATTTTTTTTACATCACCCATTTTCAGAATTTCAAGCATATTTTCATATTTTGTTATTTAACGTCCACATTTTATGTATTATAGTTTAGCATACCTAGAGTCAACACGGAGCTGATTAATAATTATTAATTCAGTGCTTGGAAAATTTCTTTTAAAAAAGAATTTAGTTAATAATTGAAGAAAGGAATTTTTTCTTTTCCTCGATAATAATAAAAAAAAATAGTTTTTTGTTCCTCAAATAAAAATCATTAATTTGTATAGATATATTTATTAGATTGAATTTTAGTATATTATCGACTCCATAAACACCTAGTTTGCAGATGTCTTTCATAGAAAACATTTGGGATAGACTCATATGTCATTGATAAATAGGTATACATACAAATTTATAGGATAATTTAAATTAGGTAGGTACATCAAAAAAAAAAAATAAATCAAAAAATAATCATACATGTTTCTCCAATAAATTAATAAAATTTCAATACGTGTTCCTTTACAGATTCGTTTCCGGTGAAAAACTTCTGAAAAGTAAACGAAATCAAAGGAACTCGTTCCTTTGATTTTATTCATTCCAAGCACTGTAATACAATAAAAATTAAGTAGATGTAGTACCACATCTATTACTTAAGTTAAATACTTACCATAATTAGGTATTATGTGCATACAATCTAAAATAACAATCTATTATCAATGTACCTATTTTGTCAAATTAATAAAAAAAAGGTATACTCGAGTATAATTCAAATTATTTATAAAATAAAATCAATAATATTCGGGGTGATATTTTAAGCATTTTCACACTATGTTTATGGGTGAATTATGCGTAAATCCAAATTCTGATTCATGAAATTTTAAAGTGTAGTGAAATATGGTATTTTCGCATACTACTTAGATTTTTCATAACATAAGGAGTATCCTACTTTGGTTTTTCAAATGAGAACCTATACGTTTTAATGCAAATTGTCAATCAAATGATTTTTCTGAACATTTTGACGTATATTGTAAGTGATATTTGAATGAAAAGTTTCTGAATTATTCTGCTTTAAATACTTAGGACAATAGTCTTTTATAGGAATTGGATGCCAATCTTTTCATAGGAGTCGTATATAAGCATTTTTTTTTTAATCATATCTATATCAAAAATTCGGTTTATGCTATCATCTTTAATATATAAAGTATAATAACTCAGAAACATTTCGTTCAAATTTCGATTACAATACGTCAATATTTTCAGATTTATCATCTTATTGACAATTTGTATTCCTTCATGTTTATTAAAACATGATATTTCTCATTTGAATAACCAAAGTTGGTATTGTCACAGAATACTCTTTAAATATTGTGAAAAATTTAAGTATTCGAAAATATTGTCCTTCACTACATATTCAAATTCCAAAAATCAGAATTGGAATGTACCTATGCATAATTTAACCACGAAATTGGGTTGAGCACTTTCTAAAAAATTTCACTGTATATATAGGTAGTTTGTAGATGGTAATAGTTTGGTAATAATAAGGATTATAACGCTGCGATAATGATGAACACGAACAAAATGCATACAAATGTCTATTATAGCTAGTGTATATAATATGTATAGAATACAATTCACAATCGAATTAAACTTAATTGATAAATTATACCAATAATATATATATATATGTATATAGATATTTATAATAATACTGTTGATCGCTAATTAGGTTTGGTAAGATTAAACTTATTAAGCTTGAATGTCTGAAGTTGGTACACAAACTGAAAAAAAAAAAAAAAAATGTTATTTCAAAAACGATCGTTTGGCGATTTACGTTGTACGATTTTTAAATTGTTTTTATTTGATAGCAATAACACAACATTGCGTAACAAAAAATTGTACCTAATAATTTTACCATTTTATGAGAAAAACGTCTGTGCAATACTTATAGGTAAATTTTTTGATTGTTTTCATTTGGTTTGGTTGTTAGGAAAACTATATGAGGGATAGTAAAAATCGAAAAATACAATATTTTATGTAACTTCCTTAATAAATAAATTGTAAATTAATCTCAATAATAATAATTTGTTTAATAACAAATGTGCTCTATACACGAAATTGCTCGAGTACTTAACCAAAACGAATTTCTTGAGGAAAATAAAATCTGTACATTTCTTACTTATGGAGTTAGTATATATAAGTATTTTAATTTCTATCAATAATACCATATTTTTGGAGTATTAGATTAGGTGTCAATGAAAAATAATGTAATTAATACATATGCTATTATTCGTATAAACATAAATTACTTTTTTTAGCCGCTTCCCAACCAAGTTGTTCTCCAGTCTTTTTATTTTCATTTTTAAGCCATTCGTAGAGAGGGTTAAAATAATTCAATAAAGGTCCAGCATCCATTTCCCGTTGGCCAGTTAGGAGTTCCATGGCTTCAAACCACGGTTTTGACGATCCTAATTTTAACATTTCTCTAAAAAAATTTTAAAAAAATTAAATTTATTCACAATTATTTTGTTTTCTTTTTTTTTTATGTAGATGTAATATGTAAAAATTAAATGATTAAAAAATAAAATAACAAATCGAAAGTGTACACTATACAGAGTATAGAAATCGCATACAAGTTAACTCACTTGAAGGCGTTTCCGGCGTTCGTACTTTGATAAATATCACATTCATGTAACGGTTTGCTTTTTGGATTACTTGGGTCGAATTGTCCAGCTTTTTCACACAATGCTTGATGAAACTGAAATTGGATGATATAACTCACGAAATATCTAATATAAGGTACGTTTCCGACAATATGGTATTTGGATCCGGGATCAAAATCGTTTTCGTTCCTAGTCACTGGCGGCTCAACTCCTTGATAAGAATACCTACAACAAGTATCATCTCGTGCGTTTATAAAATATACACAGGCACGAATAAATAATATTTATCTAATAATGAAAACACTCACCTAAGTTTCCACCAGTCGCAGTTATAATTTTCTTCGGTCGTGCGTCCCTTAAATACATCCCACCTCCAAAGGTCTATTAAATAGCCAAAGGGCAAAAACACTATCTTGTCCAACCCCATTTGATATAGATAATTGATGTTGGCCTCGTACGAACGGCTTGGTTTGGGCAACAAACCAATCTTGTTCATGTGTTTTGGTGTAGATACGGATAACGATATTGTATCTCCGATCGCTTCATGAAAACCTACGCAAAACATTTTCCGTATAAGTATATAAGTAATAAGTATAATATTGATACATATAATTCAAGTAACTATATTATAATTATAAATAAAAAATTTAAATAACAAAATGCTACACAAAAACTCCCTTGTCGATTTTTAATTGGAGTAAAATATTTCTGGTAAAAAAGTTGTACACAGATAAAAAAAGAAGAAAATTGCACAAACAGTAAAACCAATTTCTTCCCATCTCTACTCAGAATAATTTAAAAGGTCGATTCGAATAAAATATGAACTTTTTTCGTTCATATATTTTGAGTATTGAATTGATAATCAAGTTCATTTTAACTTATTCATTCCGAAGTTTGATATTTATACTGGCATGTTACTTAAAACTGCAATAAGATTTTATTGTAAACATAAATATTAACCGTAGATTTATGAATTTTAAATAACACATTGAACAAATTATAACTTAAATATTACTTTCTCGAAAAACGGTGATATAATTAATAAAATGTACTGATAATAAGCAACGAGTATTTCTTATTGGAATATTGCTAACAAGTACATAAGGTAGATTTCATAATTGATAAATATATTATTGAAACGTCTGACGTAAATGTTAAAATTGTTATTTCGATACATTTATAATGGATATTACTACATTTGCGTTACCGTATATTATACGGTTATTTTGACAAACAAATCAAATGAAAATTAAAACCGTTTTAGCTAGTACGGTTAAAAATAAATAACCTACGAGTTTATTATAACATGACATGATAATATGACGTACTTTGTTAGGTATATGCAAGGTGAAAAAAAAACTAATGGAAGCACTGTTAAAAGGATTATCGATTTTAATTTAAAAACTTAAACCACATGGCTGTTCAACTTTTTTAAAAGCATAAATCAATCATTAATATAAATATAATGTTATTACTATCACTAATACTACTACTACTACTAATAATAATATGCATTACCTTCGTTAGCTCCATCGCGGTATATAAACGGTTGGTCTTTATATTGCAGATAATATTGAATGTGTCCCATTTCGTGGTGAGCCGTAATAAAATCGATAAAATTAACCGACGTGCATTGTTTAATTCTAAAGTCCTTGGAATCGTAAAAGTCCCAAGCCGATGCGTGGCACACTAATTCGCGCCCATAAGGTTTTTCCAAAATCGATTTATCCCAAAAAGATTGCGGCATCGCGCTTAAATTTAGTGACGTGAAGAACTCTTCAGCGATTTTGAACATCTTTTTGGGGGTATAGTTCTAAAATCCGAAAGAAAAAACAGCTTGTTTCAATTGCATCTATTGTAGTTTTATAATGTTTCCTTTTTAGGGTTCCACCTCAATAAGTAATAAAACAAAAAATCCGCATTTTCATTATTTCATGTAGTATGAATACTAACACAAGAACATTAAAATATTAAAATATATTATAATCGATATGGTTCTCTTATCTATTACACGATTTCGTACACTTATTCATTAGAAAATAATTCGATAGAAATAAACAACACAAATGAAAATACAGATTAGTTAAATAATATTATAGGTATTAGCGATTTTTGAACTAGACGTTACCTGATTTATCATGGTTGTAGTAGGGTTAACTTCGTCAATAGTCGGGTAAGGTCGGGTAAAATCGTCCACTCTTCCCCAGGTTTGTGCCCACATGTCCCCTAAAATAAATATTTGCATTAAAGACATTAAATTTATAATATCTACGCAATTTGATCGAGTTAACATCAAAACTTACCAAGTAAATGTGCTGGTATGGGTCCAGTTCTTGTGACCACCGAACTACCGTATTGTTCCCAGAGCTTTCTGCGCACATACGCATGTATTTGTAAATACAAAGGTTTGATTTGCGTCCACAGCTTTTCCATTTGTGGGCGGAAATCGTCAACCTCATAGCCTCTAATCCAAAAATCTGCAGCATCCGTATAATCTAAGAACAGTGATTATAACGTTAATATATTACGAAAGTATATAATCAATTATTCATGATACGCATCATGCTGTAAATTTATAAATTTTTATTACAATAATATAGTAACATTTTTACATTAAGTGGCTATACTCGATATTTTGAAGAGTATTGACTTTTTTGAAAATGTAATATTCCCATCAGTAGATTAACGAAAATTAACAATTTTAACGCCAACATGTAGTTAAATTAGAACTCCTTCTATTTATGCGATTTTCAATATAGGTTTAATAATCAAAATTAGGTAGTTTCGTTTTACCACCAAAAACAAGGGATAAAAAAATTAGTATTATTATATTATTGTATTATAAAACATTTTAGAACTAGAAAAATCTTTTCTTTTTTTTTTTGAAAAATGTCAATACTTTTTGAAATATCAAGTATAGCTACCGTGTATATAATATTTTCCTTACTGTTTAATCTGGCTGCTTCATTAGACAGCTTTACGTATTCTGCATACATAGATCGAACTTTTTTTCCCGTTGCCTCTCTCCATTTTATCCATACGTGTTTTAGTTCATTTACATCATAACTTTTATGTAATATATCATTGATATCTTTTGAAAAACAATATAAAATATCATAATAATTAAACTAAAAATAATTTCTATGTCAAATGTCAGTAATACTAATATCCATGTATGTATTAACCTGGTTCTAAACTTAATGTTCGATTTGAATTGTTATCACCGTATTCGGGAATTGTTGCTTTGCCATACAAACTCTCCATAGTCGCAACTGTTGCGTCTAACTAAACGAAAATATATAATAATTAAAATACTAAGCATTTTAACTATTATCATTGACAAACATCTGTAGACTACTGACTTTTTTCATTTTATCTTCGGGTAAGGCAGCCGTTCCTAATACAGATAGTAATTTAAATTGTCTTTTGATATCCGCATTTGTGTAAGTGGACCAGGGAAATTTCACTGTTTCTTTCCACGTAGTCTTTAAGAAATTGCCAAATTCCAAGTTAATGGCGAGCTAGTAAAATAAATATTGTAATAAATTAAGTATTATATCAAGATATAAGAAAAACTAAAACCTAGATAAAACTGACATACATATTTTTAATTTAATATAATATTTGTTTGTAACTTTTATCTTTCTTTCAATATTTTTTTCTGTTTGCCAAGAAGTCAAAGAATATGAATGAATTACCGTTGTTAATTTGAATAAAATTTAAAAATTTCACATAACATTTATGTATACATGGATGTATCAAAAAACTATAAAATTGAAAATAATTTAACCATTACATGTACGTATCAATGTTGCCTATATAAGACCCCTTTAAGGATATCTACTTAGTGTAGATAATTTTATAACAAAATATAACCATTTCATACAACAATTTGACTCTTTATCTCTTTTTATGTATACATATTTAATTATTTTACAAAATATGCGAGCTTTATGCTCAATGCATGTATTATTTATACAATATAACAAAAATGAACAGTGTACAACTAAATACAAATATATAAAAATAAAAATATATATTATACATATATTTCTCTTTTTTTGTTTGAAAAACTATATTAACGATTAAAAGAATATAGAGAAAAATGGTTTTGGACGTTAAGAAAGAGATTAAGAAGGGTGAATCAATTTCAATCCAATTTGCCCGTTCAACTATTTAGCTAAAAAGCCGACGTTGTTTGCTTGCATACAATTGGCTAATGTTTCAACCCAAGGAACCGAAGGACAAGTGTATAATCATGTGGTGGACACTCAATTTTAAAACCATAACTAACATAGTTTAAAAATTTCACTGAACACACTCAAGCATAAGTGAGTTATCCGCCGTGAAAGAATCCCAAATAACAGATCCGTACTTTAAAATTGTGGCCTAACAAGCAAACTATATAGATTCCCTAAGGGAGATTTTAGCTTAAATTATAAACAAACATGCTTCATAATTCATAAGTCCTAAAATATTAAGAGCTTCGCAGCATGCCCATTTACGTGCAAATTAGGACTGAGAATCGAACTAAATACAAATTCAAGATCAGTGTCGGATTCCCAGAATGTATCACGAGAAGACCCATTAATAGAAAAGTTTAAGTGTGATTTATGACGAGTAAAAATAAAAGAATGATATTTGGGTACATTAAATTGTATTAGGCGTAGTAATGATGTTTGATTTTTCGATATCTCACAAACCATTAATTGTGGTAATTTTTTTTTAGGCTTATTCTGGGCCATGTAGGTCCATTACCACTTTCACAATCTCCCTCCAAGATTTTTTATGTACAAAAATCCTTTTTCCCATGATTATGAGAGAAATGGAACTAGGAACCACTAATCGCAGGGATAAATGGAAAGGATACTCAAATTTGAATCAACTTGGATTTCCTTTCCGTGAAATTTTTATAATTATATTGTTGTATATTACTGTATTTTTAGGTATTTACAAAATGCAGTTTACAACCGAAATACGTTGAGTTGCCATCATATCTATATGACAATAATGCTATATATATATATATTTATCAACCCGTTCACGAGATATTCTACTTTTAAGTTTGAGTAGGGGAAAATTAGTGGAGTTTCATTTGTGTGGCAGTATACGACGTGAAACGTTTGAATAGTGTTTCACTATTCTAACCCACATTACCCCCAAAAATAAAAGTGAACAAAAATAATGGTGATGTAACAATTTAGATTTATTTGTTTTCTAAATTTATAAAACATTTTTTTTTTTTCGAAAAATGTCTATACTTTGCTAAATAATGAGTGTTTAACGATAAAAGAATCATCTTGTATACATTTACTCATGCTTAAAACTATATTTACGTATTTTTCCATATTTTAAGTATAAAATAAGTTTTTATGTACAAGAGGTACGAAAAATACAAAAGGACATTGTCCCACCCCAATAAACGTCTATATGATTATTTTGAAAAAAAAAATGCTTATCATATTATAAAAATATTATCGACTTTTTTTTTTTTCATTTTCACGATCTCGTCACGTTTAATCTACGTTTTGATTTAAATAAACCTCGAGAAAAATAAGTATATTTTAATGTTTATAAATGAATTATAAATCTTGAAGATTTTTAAAACTTTATGTCGGAATATTGATCTGACATATTTTGATAAAAACGATACACGGAACCATCTTTTTTTTGCATTATAATATTATTTTTAACTTAACGCAATAACATTTTAACGACGGGCGATTATGAAGAGTATTAATTTAATTCATTTGACAGCGCGAATCTACGGGTTTATTAATTTTCAAAAGAGGTGTTTGTGAAAATAGATTACTATCGACTTTTGATTCAATTAAAACGTAATCCATTTGCGCTCGAGCTGTGCGTGTAGCCGACGTTAAACGGGATGTTTGACACTTGTTTATTTTACATCTCGTTTTTATCGAAAATCGTAAACGCATAACTTAATAATAGAAAAAACTCTGATGTGTCCAAATAAATTATTATCATAGCATTATCATCAATTTATAAACCCACTTGAAAACCAGCTCATTAACGTATGTATGTATTTTTGTGTATGTATGTACACATATATATGTGTGTAGGCACGTCAGTTTGACATAGGTCCTATATATATACACATGCCTGTTTGAGATATTATAATGCTAATGTCAAATATTTTTGTTCAATAATTATTATGATAATATGGGGGTTAAAAATATACCTTTTTTTCAGCATTTTCGTTAGTCAAGTTCGTCAACCAATTCCAATCGGCATGGATAATCCTATTTGTCCACTGGGCTAACGCCTGATTTGTGCTGTCCAGATACTTAGCGGCTTCAATTTCCGAGTATTTGTTTATTTTCTCGGACACGACTGCCCTCCAAATGACCATCATAATTGACAGCCACAGGATAGCGTACGACTGAGATGATATTTTCATTGTTATTGATCTGCTAAAATAAAACACAATTCAATTTAATCTAGAAAGGAAATATCAAAATATGTGTAGAAACGAATTCAAGTGTAAATATAATGAAAAATGAAAATAAAAAGTCTTAAAAACATACTACAGCTAACCTAGCTAAAATTCATAGAACATAAATAGTTTGATAAGATTTGATAAGGTTGATATTAATTTTTTTTAAGCTTTTCAGCCAGTAAACTGGTTTTAGAAGGCATTCAAAACTAATTTACACTCCCTTTTTCTTTATAAATCCACGTTCTCATTACAGTCCAGTTTCAATTCCATTAAATATTTTACAATCGAATCCAGACTTTTCTACTTCACAGGTCTTATTCAGTTTAGCAGTACCGTCTTTATACGATTCGCACCTACTCTGCACATGCATGTTCTTACTTTCATCATTGTGAAATGTGAGGTCACTGACATACCAGTAAGAATGAGTTAGGACTCTGACGTTAATAGGTTGAAAGGCTTAAAATTTGTTTAAGTTAGATTTTTTTGTAGTTCCCAAAAATAAGTTGTTTGTAACTTTTCTATAGTATTTCTGGACAATAGCTTAGACCGAAATAAAGAAGCCAGAGCGTGATACGCTTTGTTAGCAGAGTCTAGGCGTGATATTTTAATATATCTTTGTGCATATAATTGTATTATTTAGATTAGCACTTAGATGCCCAGTCACTAATTTTCCAAAAGGAGAGGCCATTAATTTCAGTCTTTTTTTATCATTATGGCTTTTTTAATTCCTTGAGTACGTATGGTATATATTCAATGAATATAAATGAATAAATAAGTGTTGAATGTAGATTTAAAAATGGCCCTATAATCCATTAACCGTAAACCATCCATCTAATTATATAACATGTATAATGTACATTGAATATTTATTACAAATTATTTTAAACGTGTCTCGTATAACATAATCGCTTATAATAATTATATATTTTTTAATATATAAACTAAAAATTATTACACTTGAACACACTACTTTTTACAAACATTACTCATTAGAAAAAAGTTATTTGGACGAGAGATTAAAAATTAACTAGGTAAGAAAATATTTTATACGATTATAAGAAATAAGATCTAGTATATAAAAGTGTTCAATATGAAATTTAGTTGAGTAGAATAATATGATAATCATAATTATAATAATAATATGAATAAAAAAAAAAAAAAGAGAATTAGTGGAACGATTCCAGAATCTAAATATATTTAATATAATCCAGAGTAGGAGGTTGCAGTCAGAACCTACTATTGCATGTCACGGTGTTGGCAGAGAATCCAGAAGTGAAAAGACATCTTGGACGACTTCGTTTAAGACGGGAAGATATGGTAAAGAGAGGCGTAGAGTCATTAAATGGAGGTCCAGGTTGGAAAACAAAAGCAGCTGACAGTGACAGAAACTTGGAGAATTGGTTGTTTGATGGGGTGGTCCTAATGATCATTAAGAAGAAAAATAAGAAGAAGAATTATAATAATATTTACATGTAATTTTATTTTTATTTTAATACACTATTATTATACCAAATGTCTAATTTATGAGAACCTATATATTCATTATTATTATTTTAAGGATCATAATTTATAATATTAATTAAATATTGTTAATAAGAAATGAATAAATTAATTTTTTCATAGACACCCACATTAGTTCATGGATTTCAATTTTGTTTTCATACATGTTACCATGGAAACCAATAGTTCAACAAAAATAATTAAATGTTTGAACTAAAATTACCTATAACTTGAATTTTAGGGTATGGTATTCAATAGGGATGGATTTCAATAGCTATAAACTTCTCAGGACAATGCGGAATATTTTACAAAAAACCGTGTTAAAATCGCTCTTGGTGTTCTCACGTAATGCGATGACCAAAGGAATTAGGGATTCATTTTTATTTATAGAAATAATTCTAATAATATACGTATTATAACGATCCACACAGTGGTGTACCCAAGGAGAAGGTTATTTAAGGGCTTTATCCCTCCTCTTTATTGACTCATTGGTTGAAATACAAAAAAAATGTATAAATTATTAATATTCAATAATAACCATTGTATATGTGCATTATTTATTCAACTGAGTATTAATAATTTAACTGCACAATTATGTATTTTGCAATCACTTTTTTTAGTAATTTGTTTTTTAGCTTAGCCCCCCCCCATAATTGAAAAATTTTAGGTACGTCACTGGATGCATATATAGTAAAAGTATAATATATATTTTTATATTGAAACTTATACAACGTATACCTAATCTCTTTTCGTTGTAGCACGGTGTTCAATACAATCAATTTTAAGTTGTAGTTCTAAAACTTGAAAAATTTAATTTATTACATCCGGCAATAAGGAATATTCAAATATATAACCAGTCAAATTATCCCTGGGACTCAAGCTATGACGATTTCACATTGAAGTATTTTGTATACCTATAGTGTTTATATTACCTAATACCTGTACATACCAAGATGTCAATCCTGCAATAATATATGAAATTAATATATGTAAATTGATTATTGACATTTTCATTCAAAAGGTCTAAGGAACAGATGTATTGCTATATTAATGTCCCGGTTCCGCGTTACATTTTCCCGGAACTGCTATGAAACTTCAATACTTAATATTCGAATAATATTGTGATTTTCTAAGTATAAGTAAAGAAAAAAACAATAGCGTTTAATAATTCTCGCTCACTCCGATTTTCATCCTTGTTCTACTTTTAATTTATTCTTCTTCGTTCGACCTATGCGTTGAAAGTTTAAACTCAGTCGTCTCACGGATTTAGTTTTGACATTTTGGATTTTTAGTGTAACGATGACGCTATTAAGTTTTACTAAGATATTTACCTTTTTTCTTAGAAAACACTTTTTCGGTTAGAAAAAAATATTTTAAATTATTCATACTGAACGTTAAAAGATGCGGATATTTTTTTACTTTATTTGATAAATGTCTAGATTTCCAGTCTAAAAAAAAAAAAAGAACTGACAACAAGTGTCGATACATTAATTTTGGCTCTTTTGGTTTCTTGGTAACCTTATGGATTATACAAGCGAAAAGCACGATTAATATCACTTAGAATCGGTATTTGATTGCAATAATTTATCGTTACTTTTAGTGAAATATATGAACTTAATTACCCATGTATAATATACCTCCCAAACTTTCCTGCACTTACAACAGTGCAGGCTTACCTATGGCATGAACATGTACTGTATACGACTTTTTAAAATCAACACTTTTCCAAATATCGGCTTAACTTTCAATAATTTTTCATCTCTCGATTCTTTTTTCATTTTTGTTAGGTTTTGTGTGTAGTTTAGAAGCTATTAATTTTACAATAATGTGTTTTTTTCTCAGATTAAACTTTTTCTGTCAGAAAAATGTTCCGATTTTTTTAGCTCATTTCTTTAATTTGTGGATTTTTTGACTGATAGAACTTTATTAAAACATCTATCAAAATGTTTAGAAATTTATCTTCTAAAACCTATGTTATTATTTTTTTGAAATTACAAGTACCTAGTATCAACATGTAAGGGAAACAGGTAAAAAAAGATAATCAAAAAAGATACAGGTAAAAAAGGAACAGAAAAAAAGACAACAACGATATTCATTTTTAAAAAAATGGTTTAATTAATTAAAATGGTTAAAAGTTAATATTTTGACAAAATGAAAAATTAGTAAAAAAAATGAGTGCTTATAAATTATTAAAAAATAAATTAAATCAAATTTATTTAAATCAAAATCACATATTATATGAATTTGCATTTGAAAAATTACAATTGACCGATTTCTTTCTTTAAAATCAATACAAATTGAATTCAGTGATTTTTTAATTTTCTCGTAAGTGTTTCTTTTTTACGATATCATAACATTTAGATTCTATTGAGCCAATTTTGTTTCGTCTGTAGGAATTTCAAGTAAATTTTTTTTTTATAATAGTCCCTATACTTGCATGGTTATGACCCACTAATTTAGAGAATTGGTGGTTCCAACCTTCCGTTTGATTTTTTGTTCATTCGCCATTATTTAACATAGTTTCATACACATTCCAAGTAAAAAGAGGGAACATAGGTTGACATTTTCTTAATTTGTTTGTTTTTTCTTTTGTAATAACATGTCTATATGTACCGTTCACGTAGGTCATATCAAAAAAATCTACTAGATCTTGAGCACCTTCGGGCATAATTGTTTTTAAATGAATCATGCCTTCCACAACTTTATTTTCTGGTAAAAATACTAAAGAATCAAGTTTAGCACAATAAAATCGAAATTCATTGTATTCTCTATATAATGTTTCTAGACCAATATTTTGAACTTTTCTATGTGAATTTTGTGTGAAATGATAAAAACAACCACTTATTTGTACGTGATCTCCTAAAATACTTTTTGCCGCTTGGATCATAGATTGTTCAAAATCCATGTGCAATTTTAAAGGATCTGGGTATAAACTTGAATAGCATTTTTTCGTATGTTTTTTATTTTTTTTTACATAATAACATATAAACAGCAGTAATAAAAACGGATTTAATCTGTATTCTAAAAATATAAAACTGTTTAAATTCTTTAGGAGATAAAGCAAAATTACCATCCAAATACCATTCATTGGATTCGCTCAAAAGTTTTAATCCATCGTCAGTAGTAAATATCGAAATTCTATTTGTTGAGTCTACCCCTGTATCGTGTAGTAAAAGTCGTGTATAGTTTGGTATACCAGTAGTCGCCGAATCATCTAGTATAATTTTATTGAATTTATTAATAGAATTTATTTATATATATATTAATATTGTTGATATTTAAATAATCGATTACAGATTTATTTCAATTTATTTTTAACATATTATATTTTTGCGCGAAAAGTTATTTTACAATTTGAATAAAATTACTAGCCTTCAATAACAGTTTTTCCGGGTAGAATAATTTTAGATCGTTGGTTTCAGAAAGTCCTTTTTACAATGTCTTCAACTGGAATTCAAATTTTACATGAAATCGAAAGTAAATTAATTCCTTCTGCATAAATTTCAACTGGATTTACTTAGGTTGATTTAGCTTTTTCCTTCATTTTTATTAAACATTTTGAAACTTGAATATCGTCTTCATTCGGTCCGTGGTTGTGTACGATCCCTACATTAGGATCTAAATTATTTAACTTGGAGTATATTATTCCGGGTCATTTAATGACGAAAATGTATAGCATTTCCAAGTTTTTTATGTCTTCCCAACGTACTTTATAACATATATGTGGACTTTCCAATAACATTTTTCTTTATTTTTCTTTGATCAAATAATTTCCATAGCGAAAAACCCAAAATTTTACTTTAAATTAAAATAAACAAGACACGAAACAACTGAAACAACTAACAATACACTGCACGAAATACACTATTTCGAACTTAGATTTAGATAAGTATAATATTTAATCAAAAATAATAAAATGTAAAATGTAAATATTAACTAGTTTAGGTACCTACTATATTACTATATGCGCCTTTATAATAATATATAAGTTGGAAAATACTAAGATGTAGATACATAATATTAATAATTTTAAAATATTATTATATAGATACCTATTAACACTTTTAAAAGTAAAAATTGAAAACAAATGTGTTTTTTATATTATATTTGTCTTTTTTTAGCTGTCTTTTTTCCTAGACTCCAATATAGGTAGTTGAACATTATACTGATGTAATATGATGACTGCCGTCGTTATAAAAAGAATTACATTGAATACTAATTTATAAATCTGAATTTTAAAAATAAGGATGAGGGTGTATATAGGCTCTTCTCAGACTATGACCATAACCTGGTACTAATTACGGTATTTAAGTGTGTATAATAATTATTACGGGAGTATACTAACATACTTAACTTTTTTTGTCAACTAAACCTTGTCCAGCTATATCGTAAAGAATGACACGGCATAATATTTTATTCGTGTAACCAAGTTTTTTCCATATATTTATCGTTACTTCAATGATTTAAACAATTACTAGATGTTTTTATTTTATTTGTTCATTTAAATATATATTAGGTATTTCTTATGTAGAAATTATTTATTTTTTTAGAATTGTCTATTGTTATTTAGTTGTGTTGTCACTTATATAAAATGAAAGACCCAGTAAGGTGTGAGAGAGAGAAGCATTGACCTATCAGACCTATCTGCTTATGTAACTACGCTTAATTTCGCATATGCCTTTAGAATAATTTTAACAATATTAACAATATAATGTATTCAATCACGTAATAAAATACAATATACATACAATAATGCCCTGATGTTGACATTTCAAAGCGTTGTGAAAAAATAAATCGAATGTCGTTAAATAAATGAAATAATTAAAAAAAAAATTTTAATGTACCAATACTAAAAATCGATAAAATTGGCACGGCGATATCTCGACAGTAACTAAGATACATTGTAACACGTAGACGTATTTTAAAAAAAAAACTATTTTTTTTTTACCCGCTTTGTATCTTACTCGTAATTCTGAAACAAATATACGATACGATTACTTTTTATCTTAATAGTTATAGAACATAGTTGACTAAACACGGTCGATATCAAAGTAAATTAGAAATAGGTACGTGTCGGTTGTTACCATTTTCAATTTATAACCAATAATTAAACATATTATCTGCATAAAATATGTTGTAGGTGCCTGCTAATCAAAAATGTAATATTATAATAATTGTTACTATTGTTATTATTATTGTTGTTGTTGTTATTTTCATAACCGATGGCGTATTTTAAGGGAGTGTCTCCCATCTCTAAACATCTCCTAACTTTAAAAAAAAATAGTCCAACGTATTAATATTATCATTACCCATTTCTATAAAAATGCCTAAAAAACAAGGTATGCGGCTAATAAAATGTATCCCTAGGATATAAATGCCCCTAAAATGAATATATATGATATTGCATAATAAACATATTATGGTTATTACTTAACTTTTTAGAAACTAATAGGGTTTTATCTTTTTTTATCACTGTAAAATAAAAGCATATTTTTTTAAAACATGTTTATTAAAATTAAATAATACATACTTTTTACAATCAAGCCGCCTTCTCTTCCTTACTTAACTTATAAATGCAATTTTTATTACTATTCCTAATCTATTAAATACTCGTAGAAAAAATAAATTAAATGTAAAAAAAAAATGCGCACGTTTATGATCAAAATATCTATATCAAAACTGCAAAAGTGGAATTAATTTCATTAGAGTCGACGACACGTTTCTAGGTATTTTTTTTAGACTAGTTTACAGTTTATCCATTATTATTGTCACTAAATTGTTTGCCATTTATATTTTCGTCAACCGTCAGCACGATCGTACCAGATCCAAGTGTTTACTGAATGAAGTAAGTATTTATTGGACAAATAAAAAAAATTAATTTACGCGTTGGCACGTGTATTTTATTTTAGATTTTTGGGTTCTTTTATTTTTCCCGGTATGGTGATATTTTGTCAAACTACATTTGATGAGAAAGTCTGGAAAATCCGGATGAAAAATCCGTTGAAATTTCACCAGAAAAAATCTTTAGCTAATATTATTACATAGATATACTACATAGGTTAATTATATAGGTATACAATACTCATAAAACAAGAAAGTATTATTTTTAAAAAAAAGAGACGGACTGACGTAGCTGTTCCACCCCCTGGAACGGAATTCAGACATAATTGCTCCACCTCCGAAATTTGAACAATTTTACTAATTCGGGAATTGCCGATTTGTGTGCGCCGCCGGGTATACTCGTGTAGCCTATATGTTGAACACCAGTATTTAAAAGCATTTTTTTTCTCGGTAATATTTTTAAATACACTAACTGTACTATGATGGAAGTAAAATCTATTTTAATCTCATATAAATGCTCAAATACAGTGGAACATTGATAATTCAAAAAACTTAATAAGTCGAAATAAATACCGTTCTCTTACGAAAACTTAGATAACTCGAAAGAAAAATTATAGAAAACTTGAATATTCTATGACGAATGATGATTGATAATTTTTATAATCATTTGTCTAATCGGCATGTGCGTCTCATAATTTAACCTAATCACGTATACGTATGAAAAAATCAAGTAATGTGGACGATAAAGTGCACTATCTCTGCTCTAAATGTAGTAGAAAATGCTATTGACAATAGCATAGTATGCTCTCAAATTCTAAGTCAAAGTAAAATAATAAATTATTTATTGCAAAGCTGCAACACTATAGTATACATTTTTTATTGTATTTTTTTAGTAATAATTTGTTTTGTTTATATTAATTATTTAATCATTTTTTTAGTATAATAAATTTTTAGGAATATAATTTTAAAAATTGAATTTCGACTTATTGAGGTTCCACTGTATATATATTTTCTCAATATTTAGACGGAACACGTGAACGTATGATCTATAATGTTGCTTTGAATATTTCCATTATAAATATCATAATTTTAAGCATATGAGATGATTTCATGTACATATAATGCATAAAATTATAAGAGTATTGGACCCAATGCAATTTTGGTCGCAAATACCTTGTACGATACTTTCATTATTGGTGTCACATCGTTATCACAGCGTCTTTTGTGCGACGTCCGCTAGTAATCAAGCAGCGGAACAATTAGGTTTAAAGAAGAGGCGTTTAGATGTTTTACAATAAATTTACTACAGTTTCAAAACTGTTGAGTTTACAATAATGTTAATATTAGGACGTAATTTTTAAAATAAATGTCAGTAACTACTCAGTATTAAATAATAAACTTCAATTTATCTATTATACTATATACCAGAGTTTCAAATGTAAAATTGCTTGTCAAGTGCTGACATAGTAATTTGGAAAAAACCAACTGCAACAATTTTGTAGACCTCCGAAAAATCGCCCAAAATATTCCGCTCACCATAACTATCATCGATCTAAGGCTGTGATGATGGTAATTTTATAATGGAATAATTCTCAGTTTTCATTGTTCAGTTCGAGTATGATAATGAGATAACAAAAAAAAAATAAAAAAATAGATGATAATTATACTACCAACCAAAATTGTGAGATGACTGAAACAAGAACTCATTGTTAAGTCTTGCACATTCAAGGACATTGCTGGGGATTTTCCTACTCAAGACGAACGAATACAATTTATCGTTTGTAATATTATAATATATAGGTTTATTATTATAAACGGATAAATAATAAAATAATAGGCATAGGTAATAATCTATTGTATAATATAACCCAATTTTTCAATTTTCTGAATAATTATTATTGTATGTAAAGCGCACACAAACATTCGTTCGAATAATTAAAGAGTTTGTCCAAGAGTAAACCGCTTGTGAGCGAACTTGTTATTTTAATATTAAATAAATATGTTTAAAAATTACAACCATGTACGAAACAATCGATCATTTTTAATATTCTCATATAGTATACTGAAGTCGTGACTAAGAGGGATCCCCAGTTATGTGACCTAACATATGGTATTTAAATATGCAATCTATAGTGAATAACAAATGAACAAAGAAATAAATCGCAAATCAATAGAGCTGTGAACAAATATACATGTATGTACATGTAAACAATATACATAATGCATATAAAATAATTATTAAGTAACACACAAATAATAATGAATTATCAGTATGCGGACCCTTAACAAATTATAATGAATGTCATGGTGTGTATATAGGATAGCTAAATAAACTGAAAATTAATAATTGCATTGATTAGTTTAATTTAATGTCATGGTTCGAATATTTTGTCACGAATATTTATTTCCAAGGACATATTATTATTATAATATTAAGATACTTCAAACTACAACGGTTTTAGTATTCTACCAGGCACCAGCCTTGTTTTGCAAATTTATAAAACCAGTTTTTTATAAATGTCCATTTAGAATATCCGTAGGTACAGGCATCGTTGTTAAAAGTCATTCAACTTTGCTATAATATAAGTTTTATAAAAACTTTGACCCAATACTTATTGCAAATATTTAATAAATTATAACTGTTTTTTTCCACGTGTTTATTTACAGTTAAATGTATGTGTTTTATAATATAAAATTAACCATACCGGTTGGATGAATCATTAAATTACTAAACATTGTAATTCGATTAACTCGTACTTAGAGCGATTTAAAAAATAACCATTTTTTTATTTAAAAAATGCTGTATGTGCCTATATAATATTGTTAAACATATTTTATAGTTGATGTTAACTTCAAAGTAAAATTTTCCTCATCACAAGATATAAACCATTCATTTATACCATACAGGTGAGGCCTAACATAATAGTTTGGAAAATAAAGAATCTAACTGAACGTAGAACGAAATAATTGTTTAAGCCACGTAACTAACCAATGCCTATTACTATAATATTAATAACAATACCTTGATGAAAATCCAAAATAATTAACCAAAAAGTATAATTCTTTAATTAATTTAATATAAATTCGTCATACTTGTTCAACCCGTAAGATTTTTTATGAAAATGAACTATCGATTTTGCAAAGTTTATAGTAAATTCAAATAGGCACCTACTTTTATAGCTTATAAAAACAAATCGAATTTATGAAACAATATAAAAAAAAAGCAAATATATAGATATACTCGAGTTACATTAATTAGTCTAAGTTAAACAGATTCTATAGAAAACAGAATTAATTAATATATTTTTTATCTGAGTCGTCGAAAATGTCGAGTTATTGCGAGTAGACTATAATTCATGCATATTCTTCACACGTGTACCTGTACATTATGATTATTACGTGCATTGTTTGTTAAAAAATTGTTGAGAGACTAATACGATTATTTAAGAAAAAACATATTGAAGTTACCCGGTCAAAAGTTGATATTGAAGGATTTTTGAGCACATAAAGAATCTATTTGTCCGTGATTTCCAGAAAATTTTGTTAAGGAAGCTCACGCTTGGATTTTGTCATTGTGTTTACTCAAATTTAATTTCTTGGGTTATTTTGGTTATACGTAGGGAAAAATCATTTATTTTATAATATAATAATAATTGTATGAGTAAAACATAGTCATACGAGTTAACATTTTTTTATTATTTACTTTCTTAATATGTACTAAAAATACACTATAATTATTTTATTTCGATAAATAACCTAGTGTGAAATGATTTTAAAGTAATACTTTTGAAATTGACTAAAATAATCGTCTACTACGAGTGAACATTAGTTGTATAATTTGAATTACTATATAAATGCAAAAAGCAAATATCAAACAAATCGTTGATAAACAAAAATTTTAATTTAAAAAATCAGGACATAATTCACACTATGAGTAAACCACTATTGTAGATTGACTACTATTGAAATTTGGAACGTATACATATACGTTGAAAACGTATATATATGTATCCAGTACATATACATATACGTATATATACAGGATTTAGGGCAACATAGTTAGTATATCAAAACAAAAGTAAATCATTGTAATCAAAATCGATTCTGAGGGGCGTTATTATTATATTAATCGGATTTTTCTCCGTAATCAATCAATACAAACAAAACCAATGCAGTTGTTGTATTACTTAGTAATTCATTGTTAATTTTTTATTTGAAGAAAAAATGTTAAAAATCTAAAAAATATTTTCAAGTAACCACATAGTGGTATTTCCACATCATTTATGGCACTACATTTACCAACTTTTTTTCTGAGGGGGGAGATTAAAAAAAAACATTTTAGTAGAAACAATTTAAAATACATAATATTACTGCAGATCATCTTTAAGAAGTATTTCAAATAAATTTAAATCAATTATTGTTATCTATAATATATCTACTATAATCAGCTTCTATTGCCGATAAAAATTTGTATTGATTTTTTTTTTGTTAATAGTAAAAAGATGCATACCTGTTTACGTTAATAAATATAAAAAATAAGGCTTATACTGCTAATGGATGTTTCACTGTTTGAAGTGAGGTTATATAGTGTAATTCAATTTATATCTTTACTCAATGAATTGCTAACGAAAACCGTTTCTGAGCAGAGAATTATTAGTCATATGTTTTTCCTTGTTGCCAAAGTAACACAGATATCAACGAAAATTACACAAACAATTGCTAGTTTTTCCCGTTTATTAAAAAAACTACAAAAAAAAAATGACCTCAATGGACCAACTAGATCCAAAAATTCTACAAGAAAGTTACCATGTTTTTAATAAGAACAAGATTTCTAGTAGAAAATTATTTACACGCACAAAACCATATTAAAACTAATAAATTTCTCGCTTTACTCAGAATTTAAAAATATATAATTATCCGTAATATACTAGGTACAGGTATTTCACCACATGATAGACGCAGTTTAGATTTTGAGTAGAGCGAAGAAGCTTTATGGTCTTACAAAAATTCGTACATTTATGGTTTTACAAAGGTCATTTTTCAATTTCCTCAGGAGTTTTCTCATCAAATGTAAAAACTGAGGAAAACCGGAGAAATTTACGAAATATATTAGTAAAATATTACGATTTTTTTTTATGGACAACTTTTCTACCAGCAATTTTGTTCCAATTTATAATGATAGCAATTTTTCTTAAAGGAAATTTGATTGAGGGAAGTACTTTAGAAAGGTCGTTTAACGATTTTCTCAGGAGTTTTCCCAATATATGGGAAAAACCATGGGTAACTGTAAGAAAAACGAGAAAATAAGTACAATATTGAACAAATGTTTTTAAAGAAAATATAAATTGGCTATGTTAACACATATATTTTACCATGATATGATTTATATATTGTCAACAAAGCAACCACACTATCAACTGAACTTCGCTCAGAATCGTTTTTTTCGTTAGCAATAGTTAATCTTTGCTGTATCCGTCCTCATTATCCTAGGACGTCTTTTTTTTTGTTAGTTTTATAATAATTATTGGCAACTATGTGTATGTTATTCTATACAATTTCAAAAATTATTATATACTTTATTTGTTTTATGTTAACGCAATGTTGTACGGGTATAGGATTAAATTAACAGAATAAAATATTTCAAACTATTTAGATTCCGAGCGAGGCGAAGAAGTGATATTAATATGGGTATTAGTTTTACTGTGAGACGCGTTATTAATTCACAGTGGTATTGGCTTTATTATAATTCGGCATGTATTACAATAATAATCGAAAAAGCGTAAAAGACAATAGTAATTATATTATATAGGACTTTTATAGGCATATATCGATGTAATAATACTTAATTAAGATATTTATTAATTATTGCGTCGGTAGAGTATCACTAACCTGTAGCGGAGTGTCCGATGTCCGTGTAGTAGACGCGGCACGCGAAAAACCGAAGAAAAAAAAGTGGAATTCAGTTGCACTATCCCGAGGTTCGCGACTGCGGCAACCTCGACGACACCGACTGGCGCGGGGCGATGAGAATTTCGCGTTTTGCGCGCGCGTTTCTCGACGTTCTGCGGGCCAGCACCGTAGTCACTGGAACGGAATCGGTTTTAAAATCCGGCTATATACCCGACCGCCCGAGCCCAGACCCACGCGCCGTGGCGGAAACATTAAAAACAAAATTCACGCGGCCTTAGTGGTATTTGTGTGATATACACGCGTACAATCACAATATTAAAACTGTTGTAATGCCCATACAAAATTATTACAATAATCGTTCATAAATAATTGAAAACCGCAATCTTTCTGACACGGTAAATATTATACATTTAATCTATTTGTCGATCGTCGGGTGGAGGGAGAATCCGCACTTCGAGTACCTTAATAATAAGGTAAAGGTATTATATTGATAGCTGTACACTTATATAGCTGTTAGCAGTTAGTAAACGGTCTATTTGTTGTTTCGAGAGGGGCGGTTCGTGACGTGACCAAAGGAAACAAAATAACATTTTGAACGCACGTCGCTGCAGTAGCACGAGTACCTACTGTATACTTTACTCGCAGGGAGGATCTTCATTTTTAATTATTATACGTTCGAATGTTTGTTTTCACGATGTAGCCCGCGTATTGTATATTGGCACCGGCCGTTTACGTCCACTACAAACAGGACATTGAGATTATTTCTATAATATATTTTATTTTTATGCAAGTATACGTTCGTTGAGTAGGTGTAGACGAGAAAACTAATTTTTGTTTTTATCTACCTGCACTTGGTTAGCGTAAGTATATATCATCGTCCGATCTTCCGTGTATAATTTACGTGTGCATCGTGCGCGTTACTGCGACAATATTATAACTCGATCGAAATATCATTTATGTACACCAGTGGAAGTACATTCAAAATCTGTTTACAAAAAAAGAAGACGAGCATGCTATGCTTGGCAACATATTTCTGCCACAGTAGTAGATGAGAAGTTGATATGGTAATTTAGTTTAGGTATATCAGTACTCAACGATAAACCGTTGTAAGTAAAAAACTATTTTAAACTGTGCTCTGGAGTCTGTGAAACCTGTTTTGATAATTTTAAATTTTAAATTGTATTTGTTTGGAACTAAAAAGCAATTTAAATTATCCATTTTAAATTAATGAACATTTCTATAAAACCAAAGAGTTTAATCCTCATAAATCTGGAGACAGTATTAGTGGAGTCAGTAGGTATTATAGTCTGTAATTCTGTACATAAATAAAAAATAACAATTATTAGGTAATTATTTTTAAACGTGCCTATTCCTTTATATTTTAACGTTTTTCACAAGTTTTTTTAATTATTAAGAAAACTACAAGAAAAATAAAAAAATTGATCTTAATGAATCAACGAAAAAAATTCTCCCAAAAACTAATCCTGAGATTGGTACATCGAAAAAAAATTTATAGATTTTGACACACAGACATTTTTTTTTTAAAACACGTTACCAATATACTAAATACAATAAGTGACTAAGCCAACAAACACTCAGAATTTAAAACAATACGTTAGTATTATTTTAAAAGAACAAGTTTTCTATATATAATTGAAATATAAATTCGTACTTCGTATAGTAGTATTCATATATTTATTATTTATTATAGATTATAATTAAACCACCATTACTTCACCGTTACTTAATCGAACGATTACAAAAAGCACAATTCCTATACCAAAGTGATTATAATTTTATTTTGGTATTTAATTCATAAAATTAGACGTGGTTACAAAACAATATAATCTGTTTTTTTTTCTTAATATTATAGTCTCAAAGGGTAAAATTCTCGTAGCCACATAATCTCGAATTACATATTTCATAACACACACATACCTATTAATTACTTCAGTTTTGATTGTATTCTTCAAACATGAAATTATTAACGATATGTACATCATGGTATGTTTGTATTGTAACTAATAGATACTGTTATGTACAATATAATGAACAAAAAATTATGGTCTAAATGCCTAATAGAATAACGTAATTGCTTAAAACGTAGGTAATTATTTTAAAGGAATGATACTTTTTCAATATTTGTAGAGAATTGAAAAAGCCAATTAAATAATACAATATTTTAACATAGTATTATCCACCAAATTTATAGTTATGCAATTAAAAATACAAATGATTCCTTAAAGGCTTACAAATGTATGTAATTTTTAGATTTTCTCCACAGTTTCCTAGTTTTTCAAATGTTTTAAAAAGAGAAAAAGTTATTATTATTACATATCATTTGACAATGTTTAAATTCATAAATAAATAGGTAGTTTGGCTCAAAATCTATTTTCAAATGTATTTATCTATTATTAATTTCCAATTTTAAACAAATATATTCAACCAATACCTGAAACCTATATATTTTATAAAATTTGAAAAAATAAAAATTTGTATGGGTTATTTACTTTAATGTGATTAAATTTATTTTCAAACTAATTTGCGTTATATTATGTACAATTTTCGGAAACTGTTCGTTTATTGGTTTAATTTATTACTTATTATCAAAATAATAAATTTGTATTATTTTTTCAAGCTGAAAATATAAATCTAGTGTGCCTATATATCATGTTATATCTACGCACGTTATCTTAACAACACAAAAATCTTATACCTTTTAGACTATTATTAGTGGTAATTTCAGAATTGTTCATAATTATAGATTATCATTTTTTTAATAGATATAATTATTACATACCGTCATGCCAGCAAAAGATGATAGAAGAGCATCATAATAATACTATGTAGGTAGGTACTTCAAATGAAATAATGTCCGTAGTTGATAGTTTGATACATCAAAAATCAACGTCGTATGTGTTCGTTTATACATAGGTATATTTAATTTAGATAAATAGATAATTTATGCTAAAAATAAATTATTATTCATTAGTGTGTAGATAAAACAAAAAAAAAACATTACTACGGTTTTTTTGAGGCCTAAAGAGAATTTCAATTAGACTGTGTAGGTATTGTATATGTGCCAGTTTACTAAACATATTATTATTATAATCTAATAAAGATAAAATATTTACCTAGACGTTTCCCTAAATTTCCTAATTATACAAAAGTATTATAAAACTCATTTACATTATTTTCAGTATATAACATTTTATTTTATTTTATAATGAACTATATTGTCAACAAAAGAACGTAAGGAGAAACTTTCAAAATGTAAATTATATATAATATATACCATGAGTCATAACACAGATTAATTATTATAAAAAGTAGGTAATAAAGATTTTGATTAGACATAAAAATGCCTACGATCAGAAATTTTAATTTCAATAAGACTAATATAGAACAAACATAACTATAGACAATTACAATAGTTATGATAGGTAGATAATTGGTCATGATAATAGGTTTTTTTGTAAACAAACCACTTCTATTGGTTTTACAATGTTTATTTTTTTTTTGTGAACAACTTTTCTACCAGAAATTTAACTCTGATTTTTAAGTTCAGCACTTTTTCTGAAGGAAAATTTTTTCAGGGGTGATACTTTAAGGAAGTTATTTTTTTCAAGAGGTTTTCATAATAAATGAGAAATAACGTATGAAAACGGAAAAATGTATAAAGTTTATTATTTTAAAATTATAATTATTACGGCCTTTCAAAACATAATATATAACCGAACTTTTCTGCAGCGATTTCATCTTTTAAGTAATTATATTCAATACATAATTTTTTTTTATTTCATTTATGAAAAAATCATTAAAAGAAACATCACACATTTCATCGATATATTTAGGATGAACATTTTTGAAAATATTGTATTATATTCTTCACAAACACCGGCAAAATAGTTATTAAAGATATTAGCAGCATTAAACGGTTCATCTTGAGAATTAATTTTATAATCATTATACAATCTAGGTTACTTTTGAATGTATTATTTTACAATAAGTTAGTACAATTTACTGCGAGAAAATATAGACATTTTAAATCGTCTTTTTATACGTAATAACTTATATAGGTACCTATACTTAAAATAAAAACAACCAACGGCCAATTCCCGTGTATAAAATATAAACTTTTTATACTTTATACTACAAAATATTATCGGTTAGATTCAGATCTCATAAAATGTAAATCATAACTAGTATAATAGATGATCTAATTATCGATTCAAGTTATTATTATAATATTTATCGTCGTTTTCTACATGTTGATAATAGGTATCTATTTAACTCGCAACAAAATCAATCGAACGTTATCTAGCTAGGTAAATTTTGTAAACCAATAATAAGCCATATAAAAAAAAAAAAATACCGTGAACGAAAACGAATTCTATAATTTTTGACCACAATATATTATTCTTAATTGTATATCTATTTATTAGGTGTTACCTTACTCAATATCGTACGATTAGAAAGTTTCTCCACGGAATACCTACTCAAGATAAAATTAGAAATCGCGAAGGTTTAAAAAACGGAACGTTTAAATTTATTATAGGCAATAACAGTACCTATAATAAAATATAATTATTTTTTAGGTAATGACACGAGAGTTCATTTTATTATAAATATATCTATTCGATTTCAAGATCGCAAAAACCGTATAAATATAGCAACACGTGTTTTATTTTTATATAAATCGATCATATTAACATATCAACGTATTTATGCGATTTAGCTATTTTATAGTAGTAGTAATAGTAGTAGTAGAAGTAATAGTAATTATATCTACAACATCCGTAGGCCGGGTATCACGTGTAAGTAGTTAATAATCTTTCAATCAAAGGTGAAAACAAAGTTCACACACTATAATAATAATAATATCAGTCGTACGTCAAATGTTCAAACTTATAGCTGTATATAATAATAATATTGGTGTGTAACCATATTAACCAACCTCATTTTTAATGCTCGCGTGTACTTCCGAAAATATTGAAAGCGCAAGACGTGTTATAATAAAGAAAATGGTTTTAAAAAAAAAAAAAACAATGGATAGTTATGTCGAGTGAGTACCTAAATGATTGAGTAAGCAAATGAAACTTAAGGTTCGATATAGGAGCTGTAGCGCACGTTACCTACCAACATAACATTGATGGGTAATCGACCGTTTAGTTATGTATCTACCTATAAGTTTACAGACACAATAATATTTGATAATACATTTGTACATCGTTTAATTTTATTAGTAAACATATTAATTGTAGTTTGTACGCGTGTATGCTAATATCGATTACTATCAATAAGTATTGGGTACCTTTTCTAAACAACTACGACATCAGCTAGACATCACGTGATTTCGGTAATTTAGTGAATTTTAAGTAAGTACCTACCTACAATTTATGAACACATGCAGATTGCATTTTATTTATAATATAATATTATCAAAAGTCATCATATTAACACCGTCGACGTGGAGTGTTAGCAAATAAATTCTAAAGTTAACGATTCCAAATTATTCACATCGTAAAACCAGATGCAGAATTTTTACCTATAGGTAGAATAGTTGAAGTTTTTTAAAAATTAAAAAAAAAAACTAACTACAAAATATGTTGCCACATAACTTTTATTTTTATCGATTTCTGAGTTAAATCGGCCTCAGTTTCGTATCCAGGGGGAGGCGCTGGGAGCACGCGCTTCTCCCCCAGAATTTTTTTTTTTTTTATGATCCGTTTCATATAAGAACGCACAGCTTGGCGCATCCAAATGTATCGCGGAGCGACGTTCTGCCCCCTTAGCTGAGTCTATTCGCTCTACAATTGGTCGCCATTAGTCGGCTGCACTAGTTTTGACCGATTATTATCTGCCGCCCGGTGCGTTCTTATTTGGAACGGAGTAAAGTAATTTAGGCTATTTTGGTGTTTTTACCATTTTAAAAAGTAGTAGGTATTTAATAATACAAGCATTAATACCTTAAATCATATACAAATATACAATGTATGTAGCAATATGGATATTTGTTCGTATTCCGAGATAACATTGCTGATCGATAAATATTCAAGTAATGAATGCCTTCTTTTTACAGTATTACTATTTTCCGTAAATAAAATGATGTACTATACTTAGGCCCGTTCTCACCAACGTAAACGCTGATTTTTAAACGGAATTTTTAAGATAATCGACCAATCCTGGACGGTTATCAGCCATAAACTCAGTTTAAGAATCAGATAAACGCTTTTTTTACGTTAGTGAGAACTAGTAATGGTAAACTGCTAAAAAATGTTTAGCAACTGCTAATAAAATTTCTAATTTAAAATAGCAACTATTGCTGTTTTTATAAAACAGCTGATAATATGATGTATAAATCGTATAATTTTAATTTCCTTTTTTACTAGCAGCTAATTTTTTAGCAATTAGCAATACCAAATAACCTCGTAGAAGTATGAATTGTCATTTCACTTATCTGCTCTTGGCCTTGTCAGCGAACAACATGGGATTTTAACAAATTTTAAAAATATCTGCTAATATTAACAGTAAATAGCAGTCTTTTATTGCTATAGTAAAATAGCAGTGCTATTTTAGCTGGTACTGCTATTTCTACCATCACTAGAGAAAACGGCCCTAAGTTATAAAACTAACAGTTTCTTCAATTTTTATTCTAATATTAAAATTAAATAAAAACACAGATTTTAATACTTCTACTACTTCTTTTTTTTTTTTTGTCAAAATTTCAAAATAAACTTAATGCAACTTAATACACGAATAATAATACTTTATATCTGAATATCTTAATTCATAATTGTCTATGACTTAATATAAATTCGTAATAGTTATATTAATAATATCCATCATCATTGAAAAGTAATATTGACGTGGTATAGAATGTTATTGTCATTATTGATATACACTGCTATCTATAGGATAACTCATCGTTAACTTCGGATCAGTGACCAACGGTTTTGGCTTCATACTAATACCACAGTCAAGATCATAGACATATAATAAAACCATGAAACAGATACCATGGTATGCTATGAAACAGATATTTCTTGTTTTTAGATTCTGAATGAAGCAAGGAATATATTGGTTTTACTATGTGTTTTTTCGTCTGTGAACAACTTTGATTTTCTAAAAGGTTTTCAAAATAATTGGGAAAAGCCCTAAAGAAAATTATAGTTAAAACGGCAAATATTTACGGCGCACCTCGGCGTTATCATTTGTATTGTTTTTATTATTTTTGCAACCTATGTTTTCTACTAAAAATATTGCTCCAATCGAAAAATTACGCGAGATTGATTTTGTTCCATTTAACATATTTATAGTCGCATACATATTTAACATACAGATATAATATCAATTTTACAGATAATTATTATTTCTCTGCTTGGTGTAAATTTACAATTCATTTTTAGAAGCCAAAGAATCCAATTTTATCGGCAAAATTTGACTGTGGGTCAGAGGACCCCCTACTGGATCTTATTTTACTTAATACTTTATTTTAAAATAATTTAAGTGCATACTTTTAATTTTCCAATAGACACCCTCCTCCTTTTTAAAACACTGATTTGAATAGAGAATATTTTTCTAAAAATGTTGATATGCATTACACTAATATCAGATTTACCGATTATGAATTATAACAGTTTAAAGTTTAGATCAGAGGAGTAGGGATGGGTAATAAATTACTTAGCTATATTAGGATAGAATTAAAAATGATTTTAAAATAAAGCTTAAACCCTGTATATAAAAGTGAATCCCTATTTACCTTAGTCCTCGCATCACATGAGAATACGTTGAGCGATTTTAACGTGGTCTTTTGCAAAATGTTCCGCATTTTTCAGAGAAGGTTTATAGCTATTGAAATCCACGCCTATTGAATACCATCCCCTAAAATTCAAGTTATAGGTAATTTTAGTTCAGAAATTTAATTTTTTTGTTGAATTATGGGTTTCCGGGGTAACACATATGAAAAAAAAATTAAAATCCATTTACTAATGTGGGTGGTTGTCTATGAAAAAATGTATTTATCAAATTAATTTCTTAGTGCACTGCAGTTCTAAACGTTTATCCAGGTTTGAGTTTTTTGAGAAGTATTTGTTCATCGCAGTTAGTTCATCGTAATTTACAGCTAAATTATATATTTATGTATGCAACTTGCAGGGATTATATTTTTCCAGGAAAGTTGGAAATTTGAATGTTATTCAAGTTATGACGTCATTAATTTTGTATTAATATAAATTGTCGGCAAATACGTACATAAAGGTATAGAAGGAACGCCGTGCCATCTGCAAGTGACGACCATAATACAGTGCACGCGCTCTTCCACTGCCGAGCGTCCCAATTCCCCGATAGATTAGGTTCAGATTCATTTCCTTTGAAATCTCCTCCCCCAAAACTCAGCGTTTAGATATTTTTAGTAAAATAATCATGAAAAAATGCTATAACAGAACACTTTTAGTCCGCCGTAGGTGAACTACCCACTTTCTATGTATTTGTATTTATTCAATACCGACGCGGTCAATATTAAAAAGTAATATAGGTAAACCAAATAATAAAAAATTGGCACGGGCAATAACGGTCGGTACAGTTAGTATTATATAAAAGATTAAAAGTATCTAGGAACTTTTAGATTCGGAACACAAAGGTGGATCTGTTAGTTCTACTACGACATCATTGTGCTTTCTGTGAACATTAATACCAGAAATCTTGTTTCGATGTATAGAGTATTTTCTAAAAGGTAATTCTCAATTTGGTACATTGGGGTAGGTAGTCATTTTCTAATTTTCAAAGGAGTTTTTAAAACAAATTGGGAAAAACCCGAATGATATGTATAGGTAAAACAGTAAATATTTACAGTGCACCGCAGTTACCTACTGATTTAATTGTTTTAATTTTTGCAAGCTATATTTTCCACCAGAAATATTGCTCCAATTGAAAAATAACCAAAGATTTTGTTTTTTGGTATATCTAGCTACTGATAAAGAAAATAATGTTTTTGATATTTAAAGTAGTTTTCGTTATAAATGACAAAAACATTTAAACAGGAAAACGGAAAATGTACGAAACGTATTATATGCAAATCGTAAATATTAGATACTTTCAAAACATGTATAGTCAAACTCCACTCAGAATAGTTTTTTGTTAGCGATAATTAATCTTTTCGTACAGATATACATTCAATTTCCTCTCTACCTTCCCAACTTCTCATCTACAGCAGTGATCCATCTATCATGCGAAGTATGTCCGTTTGTTTTTAAGATTATAATGTGTCTTTACCAGAAATCGTTATCCAAATTTCAAAAATAGTATATTTTCTAAAAGAAAATGTTGTTTAGTTTGTGAGTAAGAAAGTCGTTTCTGATTTACCGTAGTTTTCCTAATAATTACGAAAAACCGGGGGGAAAGATAGGAAATACGGCAAAAAGTACGGAATTTGATTTTTTTTTTCACTATTGCGGAGACCTGTATAATTTTCATAAAATTATTATAATAGTCCTTTGCAGACGTAGTAAAATTATCTTTAAAAATTACTTTTTAGATATTTAATATTTTTATTTTTTTTATGTATCTTTTATTAAAATTATAAAACATAAGGAAAATATTTGAAAACTTAACACAAGGTACATTATAAGTTGTACTTAGTTTTCTAAAAAAACGGGTTTGAATTTAATGCATTAGTTTTTTTTTTTCATAAGCGTTTTATAAAATAAAAAAACGACTTTATTGGTCACCAACTAGATTAAATATTCAACAAAAAAGATTTCATGTTGTTTTTCTATTAGAGCAATATATCTGGTAAAAAACGGAAATCGTCAAAGTTTAAAATAATGAAATCATTGCGCAAATAAATCGTATTTTTTGGTTTTTCCTAATTATTATGAAAACTACTTTGGATATCAAAAACCGACTTTCTTTGAGAGTGGCTATATATTGAAAAGAACTAAATCGACCTCTTGTCATTTTTTAATTGCTGCAATAATTCTGGTAGAAAACAGGTTGCAAAATTAAAAACAATGAAATCAATAACGCCGTGGACTCGTAGTAGTGTACCGTAAATATTTGCCGTTTTGGTTTTCTAGTTTATTATTTTTTTTCTGCGGACAACTTTCTACCAGAGGACTTGCTTCGATTTTTATGTGTAGCTCCTTTACTGAGAGAAAATTGGTATGGGGAGGTACTTTAGAGAGGTTATTTGATTTTCTCATAAAATGCGAAAAACCCGGAAAAACGGGAAAATTGGTACAACATTAAACAAATATTATTAAAAAAAAATATATAAAGCATTTTAAATTATTTTACCATAATATGATGTATTATGTATGATATATATATATTGTTGACAAAGCAACTACACTATCAACTGAACTCTGCTCAGAATCGATTTTTCGTTAACAATGGTTAATCTTTGCTAGCAGATATATCTATAACAGCGGCTGCATCTGTCCCCATTATCCTAGGACGTCATATTTTGCATTATTGCTGTCAATCTTTTTTATTTTTCATGGAGTTAATGATACCATGCATAATAAGAAATTCTTGTTTAAATATTTTTACTAAACTCATAAAATTGATTTGTAATAGTATTTCCAACATTTTTCAATCTGAAAGGCAATACATACATTTTTTATTTTTATTATTTCTATTATTTTTAAAATAATATAAATTTAACCAAAATATTACAAATTATGCATTTAAAAATCATTTATATGCAATGAAAAATTGTAAAATACAGAAAAATGCAGTACATGTCAAAAAATAGTAAAATATGTAAAAATATGCAAAATAAAACTTTGTACTTCAGTTCTTTTGACTATAATTCAAACATGTAGTTTATCTAGCTACTTTCTGAATTGTCTAGAAACATTTAAAATATCAGTATGATCCCCCATGACATCATAATGGACTTCTAAGAAAATGTTTTACTACACCTGTTACCATTGGTGAGAATTTTCTCCCAATATGAATTCTTCACTGTACATTTTTAAAGTGCTATTGTAAGAAAATATTAGTTTACACATGTTACATTTTTAAAGATTTTTCCAGTATGGGTTAATTTATATTTGTTTAAATTGTACTTTCTTGAAAATCACTTTTTACAAATGTTGTTACATTTATAAGGCTCTTCACCCATGTGCGTTCTTAAAGTTTTTTTCAGGGAAAATGTTTTCTTACAAATGAAACATTCATAAGGCTTTTCTCCAGTATGAATTCTTTGGTGGGTCTTTAAATTGTATTTATTAGTAAATGACTTCTTACAAATGTCACATTTATATGGCTTTTCTCCAGTATGAACTTTTTTATGTGTTTTTAAAGCGCTTGAGACAGTAAATTTCTTTTTACATTCTCCACAATTATAAGGCTTTTCTCCAGAATGAATTCTTAGATGGGATTTTAAATGGGATGATTGAGAAAATGTCTTGTTACAGAATTTACATTCGTAAGGCTTTTCTCCAGTATGAATTCTTTGATGGGTCTTTAAATTATATTTATTAGTAAATAACTTCTTACAAATGTCACATTTATATGGCTTTTCACCAGTATGAACTTTTTTATGTTTTTTTAAAGCGCCTAAATCAGTAAATGCCCATTTACATTCTCCACAATTATAAGGCTTTTCTCCTGTATGAGTAAATTTATGTGTGTTTAAATTTTGTTTTCGAGAAAATGTCTTCTCACAAATGTTACATTTGTAAAGTCTTACATTGCTATGAACTTGTATGTGATTTTGTAAAACAGATAAGGAATAATGTGATTTATCATATACTTTACATGAGTATAATTTTTCTTCGCTGTGAGTTTTTATATGACATTTTAAACTCGAGTTTGATAAAAATAAGTAACCACAAATAGAGCATTCAAAATATTTTTCTTGAAATTGTGATTCTTGATACAAAATGGAATCAATTGGATCAGTTTCGATGGTAATTTGGCTCTCATAAACACAACCTTCAATGATGTCTACTTCTTTTTTAATACGGATATTTATTTCTTCACCTACTTGTTTAGAGTTGTATGTTAATCTGAAAAATATAATGATTATTATAATCACAATTTACATTAAAAACAAATAAGAATTTTATAGTTAATACAATAAAATATATTTGAAATATAGCTTGAGTACATATCAATATTATAAAAACCATATCTGGGAATTGAAGGTACTTTATCTCTAACAGATGTAATAATAATAACATTATGTACCTATTACAATATATTTACATAAATCAAGGAGGTACTATAAACAACTATATACAACAAAAAGACTGAGCAAATATGTATGTTCCTGTTGTAAATAGAAATTCAGTAAATTGAACATAAAATCTAGGATATAACAGCTATAAATCTCAACAATCAAATAGTTTGTTAAAAGCATAAAAATTTTCAAGACATCTACTCTAAAATTATATCGATCTAGGGACTTAAAAATTAATAAAATGTAATAATGTTAAGAACAACATATTTTATATAGAATAAACATGAGAAAAACCAACATGGAAACGAGACAAATTTGTTACCATTTGTTTTTGATTATTTAACCGATTCATAAGGTGGTTAATGCTATTTTTGGAGTACATCACTTTTTAAGGTAATAGTAATTTTTGAGTCAATATTATCTTATAAATTCAACATAATGTCAGTGCTAACATTATAAGATTATATTTGAAGAACATTATAATTGAATCCATATTGAATATATTTACCTATCTAAATATGTTTTTTCACTCTATTTTGTAAATAAATATTATGGGTGCATTTAGAGACCGGCTTGGTCACTTGCTTGCTGAGCTCACTCAAATTGTTTTAAACGAAAAAACTTTCGATTTATTGTGCAAAAACACATCAGATAGGTAACAAAAAAAAGTAAAAAACATTATAGATGAACCTAAAGACCCGGCAACATATTAACATACTGCACCCAGGTTTCACTATTTTCAAACCAGGTCAATTATTATGCTTCACCCGATATGTAATTGTGTTTTAAATATTTATCATCATTAAAAAAAAAACTACTCCAATGGAGGGAGAGGTAGAAACATTTTTATGTTATTTGATAATGTAAATGTTTGTTACATGTAACAAACACATATTAATATATAATAATACATGTAAATACTGTACATCACGTATCTTGTGCAAGTTACATACAGAGATTAGAAAAGTTTTAATGTACACAAATTTAGTTAGATAACTAGGTATTAAACCTTACACAGACATTTCTAAGTCTGACGTGTAATCTGATGTACCACAGTCAAATCTGAATACCAAAAAAAAAAAAAAAACTAGATATTTAAGTAAAACTGTAAAAACGACTATCTTCAAATTTCCGTACTTCTTTAATAATGGTTTCCGCAAAAAATATTCAAAATCAGCATTGAAAAACACATATTTTTAAAAATCGAAAAAAAAAAATAAATATATTATATCGGTTTATCGGGAACATAGGTGCGGGATAAACTAGATTCAGTTGATTAAGGACCCCATGGAAACTGGTAGAGAAGGGGTATTTTTTGAACGTGAGTGAGTAGAAAATAAAATGTATTATTGTTATTATTATAATGTTGACAAATTTACTCACTTTGAATTAAATGCAGAATTTTCAAAGCTTTTATTAACTTCCATAATTGATGAGTTTACTTTAATTATTGTTGTTAAATACTGTGAACATACGCAATTAACTAAAATTAATTAAGTTAAGGTATTTAAATAAATTATAATAAAACCATTCCATAAGTGTAATAGGTTATACAATTTCATCAGTAATAAACACTAAGAATAATCACAGCCAAAAACAATCACAACTAATCACTTAAAAGGAAAATAGTTTTTCAATACATACCTACAGGTATCTGCAATATTCAGTCTGATAAAATCCTTTTTCAAAATATATTAATCCTAACATTAATCAGTAGGTTTTAAATAGGTATCAAAATTTAATAATAATTAATAAATATTATAAATTTATATTAATTAAATATCTATATTATTAAACAATTTCTCAAAAGACCTTGACAAACCACCTGAATAAAGCCTATAACTGGCCTCATGGCCTCATGGGACATAAAAATTAAAGAGTCCCTATGATATAATATATATTATAATATATTGTCTACGTCTGGTCTATCCAATATCCATAGAAAGGATTCCGCTATGGCTCTACCAAATACAGCCGCGTGCTGACATAGCGGCATAGCACAATGATGCTGCTCGTCTATGGAACAGTGTTACCATGTTACCATAATACCGTGTTTCAAAATTTGGAATTTTTTTTTTGAAATTGAAGAAAGATAGAAAGTTGGTTAGTGATGAGTCAGTAGCAGCGACGTAACCTAAACCAAAAATTGATGTGCAATAATGAAGATGGCAATTCTAGTAGCTACAAAACTTGAAGTTATACTACGTTATCTAGTAACTAGTGATTCCTAAAGTCTCGGGCTAGTTGGCCATTAAATGAGTGGAAGGTTTTGTATTCTCATCATAATCGGATTAGCCTGCTTCTAAACCGGCCAACTAGTAGCTTGTTACTCACTCAATGTAATTAAGGTTTTACACTAAGTATACTATGTCTACTTGGAATTCGAGATAGTCGTAGACCAATTAAATTTATAGAGCCTGTGAAATAAACATTGATGGCATCATCACAGTTCTTTCCGTTTTTTGTGTCGGATTGTACCACTGTACCTAATTATAATTATCATCCATTGTGTTTATTTATTTTGTTTTGTCATCAGTATGAGCATAACAATACAGCATACAACACTTATAAAATTCAAATTCAAATTAATCCTAATCAAATCATTAATATAAGATCTTTGAAGGTATTTTGTTTTATGGTTCTAATATTTTATAATAAAGGTTAAAGTTTTGAATTAATATTTACACAAGATATCTTTTTGTTGACCCAGTGTTTTTATAGCCAAATTCGACCGGAGTGAATTATAATTTTTCATGTAAATCGTAAAAAAATTTAAAATAATGGAATATTAGAACCATTTATTTATCAGTTTTATTTTATTATGGTATGTCATTTTGGTTTTTCCCAATTATTATAGAAAATCATTAGAAATTCAAAAAATGACCAAAACAGACAAACTAGATCTAAAATACAACAAAAATATCTGCAAATTTTAAAAAATGACATAAAATAGTGTTTTCTGAAGAGAAAAACATATCTTAATAAAGCTAATAACTTATTAGCTACACTCAGAATATAAAAATGTTAATACTTCATATTTTATTTTAATGTATAAAAATATTTGTATCCAATAAAAAGTTAAAAGTTTTCAATAGATTATTACATTTTAATTATCTTAAAAACTAATGATAATTTGAAGATATTGTTTTGTAAAATTTACAATAAATTACATCAGACTTGTATGTACACACAGAGGTTATCAGCTATCACAATATATAACACGTTTTCAGAATTGAGGTATTTTTATGATGTTTGGAATGTGGTTCAACAATTTATTGAATGTTTCATAATTTTTCATTGTGGTTACATCACCTATCATTATTAACTTGAGTTTTGCTCTAGTTATTGCCACAGTTATTCTTCTTTTGTCACTCAGTATACCAGCATCCTTAAAAATATATTCATAAATAATATCAACTTAACATAGAATATGTATATTTATCTATTACTATAGCAGCAGTATTTTTTGTGCATGAGTATATTATAACTTCTTTATCTCTTCCTTGATATTGATCAACTGTATTAACTTCAATATCTGAATATATAGAAGATATGTTTTTTTTCAAAAGTAATACTTGTGCTCTATAAGGAGCAATGATACCAATTGATTTAGCTAGAAGACCACCCTGTTTAAATAAAAACATAAAAACATGGACTAAACTATTATTATTATCAATTTTAATTTACTTCAATTAAAACTAAAACTATTTGTTTGATAATTTCAACTTCTGTTAAATTTGTATCTGTTGAAATACTACTATTCACTGTTCCAGTGTCAAAAAATAAGACAGATTTCTCTATATCTGATGATATAACATCTTTTAACCATTCATTACTGACCTAAAATTAAAGAACATTAATATATTAAAGAATATCTAAATATTAAACAAATGTAAACTCACATTAAATTCAATTTTATCATGATTGAGATTTAATGTTGAATACTTGACTTTATCATTTGCACAATTTAGACTTCCATTATAAGTATACTTGTTGGCAAGTTCTGTAATAGGACCATTCATTCGGTATTGTTTATGAAGAATAGCAGTAACAGATGGTCTATCTAATCTTTCAAACATACTGACATCCATACCTAACTCTCTAAACAAATTAAAATTACAAAGAATTAATTTATAATATTCCTATGATTTTCAGAGAACTTTTTAAATTTTACTTTGCTCTTTTATTTTTAATTAAAGGAGGTAACTGTTGTGGATCTCCAATTAAAATAAACATCTTTGAAGAGTAAAGAGCTGCTATAACTGATGCTTGTGTTACTTGAGTAGCTTCGTCAACAACACATACATCAAACGTGCGTTTCTGAAGTAATGGATGGCCACATCCAAGACACGTTACTCCAACAACTTTCTTAAACAGATACAATTTTCTTATAAAATACAAAACTGTAATATTATTATTATTATTAACAGTATATACAAAGTGTTTCATTGAGCAAGCTCAACCCATTTTTAGGGGTAAATTATGCATACATTCAAATTCAGATTTTTAAGTGTAATTGAAAACTATATTTTTGTATACTTGGATCTTTTACAACAATTAAGGAGTGATTACCAATTTTGGTTTTTCAAATGAGAGCCTATATTAAAAATAAATGTTGCTATAGGAATTTTTTTATTTCCATAAATTCTTTCACGAAATATTCCACTTATAAATTTAGACAGGTGGAGAGTAGTGGAGCACTTTTCAAACACCAAGCACTGTTATGATATACAAATTATTATGCTTTACTATCAGAATTTGCATATGTATAATTTACCCCTGAAATTGGGTTGAGTGTGTTTGATGAATCATTCTGTATAATATACTATATATTATACCACTTGGTTGTATAAATTTGATAATTTTTCAGGTGTATCACAATTGTTGAAAAATACACTTTCAGATTTTCCCAGCAAATCAGGATGAATACGGGTACTCGAACCCAATCTCAAAAAATCAACTCCAGATTTATCCAATAGCAACAATAGATTATCAACAGCTGAATGAGTGTGGGAAGTGACGATTACTGATCGACCCATCAGTACAAGAAGTTTAATAAGAGTAACCACAGTCGATGTTTTACCAGTTCCGGGCATACCCTTAATGAGAACATAGTTTGTTGCAGCTAAAGCCTTAACAATTGCTGAATTTTGTGATGAATTTAAATTCAAAGACAATCCAGTACTCTTAATGAAAGAAAGTATGTGACTATCTGACGATAAAAATGAAGGTATTTCTTTATCAATAATAAATTGCCTTAATCGTGCTGAATTTTCACTAGGTTCTAATAAAAGTGCCAAACTAGAAAAATTAAATGATATTATCGACTGGGACTCATACTTGTCTAAATGGTACAATGATGGTTTAAGCATAGTTAAGTCCCTGAAAAATAAATATAATTAAACAAAAGTTTAAAATTTAAAATTGTGTTATTTCACCTATCCAACAAAAGATCAACTGATGATTCAGTCATAGCTGAAATAAAACCAGTGGAAATTGCATTTCGATCATTTGTACTAACAACTAAATAATTATTAACAGAAAAATTTGTAAGTTTGAAATTTTCTTGAGAAGATTTGTCTGATTTTTCCATTGTATGTAAATAATATCTGGATCCCTGTTCTTTAACAGCCTTTGAAATTTTTAATGAAGCGATACAATGTCCAGTCTTTACGCTAAAAATTAAGAAAATTAGTAAATATGTTTATGGTAAATAAAATGTAATATTACTAACCGCTCGTCAATGGGTAATGTCCATATGTTACTAGTTTTTGCAATTAGATTAGTGTTTTCAGAACAATTTTCTAACTGTAAAAAGGCAGTCCATTGCATTACATAATTAATGTGTTCTGGTTTTAAATGACTTATAGCTTGAGGGCCTAAACTTTTCAATGGATTCTGTTGATCTAGCTTTTCAAAACCTTCTTTACTATAATTTTGTTTTTACAAAAAGGTTTAAAACAAAAATAAATTTAACTACTGAAACATAATTATTTTTTGAATATATATATATATATACATAAGAATTAAAGTACTTAGTATTATAATATAAGTACATTAAACCATCTATACACAGTGATTTAATAGGCTATATTATTAATTTCCCTAATAATATAGTTGTTTTAAAACTTAATAACTAAATATTTATTGAATAGCAACACAAATAATATTAGGTAATTTTTCTTCTTTACCTTAAAACTGCGCTGCATGTGGTTAAATATGGACACTTTGAACATGCATTATGATGGCTTATGGGTTCTGGCAAAATTGGAATATAGTTTTCAATGGAATCTGATACTATTTTATTTGCATTCAAATAGTGGACAAGTCGGTTACGTAACATTATTAAATCTCGTTTTTCTTTATGTTCAACTTTGACCTGGGTCATTATATTTTCTCTATTATCATAAATTTTGTTGATGGTAAGTACAATATAAACAACTAATTTTATTAGTATTTTCAAACACAATATTTAAAATATTTACCTGAGATATAACAACAAACCAGAATCTACATCCATGCCTAATTCTGTCATCATCATTACATACAAGATTACTTGACCACGGTGCTCTGCACTTCCAGAAGCTCGACCGGTTTTTAATTCAATAGGCATTATTTTTGATTTACCATTATATTTTGTTTTTACAGTTATATCTACTTTACCTTTGATACCAAATTCAGGAACCCATAAGTTTTCTTCCATATCTAAAATTGATACTATTTCACCTTGCCAAGTTGTTTTATCATTATTTCTATAAATTAAAAAAAATAATAATTTAGTTTTAAACAAATTTTAAAACTTGGTTAATATGTTGACATGTTATATATTATATCATATATTTATATTTTATATTTATAATACTAACCAAAGTGTATTCATGTAAATTCAAATTTTCAGTAAAATATAGTATACCATTATAGTATATATATATTATTCATGTTAAATTATTGAAATATAATTTTCAACTTACGACTTATAGCCAACCATATAAGTTCTAATAAAACTTTGTATTTTTGGTATAAATTCAATTAGTTCCTTTTTAGTCGTCTCTAAATTCATATCTGATTCATAAAGAGTATAAACAAAACCTGGACTACTAACAATTTCATCTACTACAGATTTGATGTTCTTGTAATCAAATTGGTTTTTTTTTAATACCTAAAAATAATTAATTTATAATATTTGTTTGGAAAAAAAAAATAGGAATAAATAAAAATTAATATAGGTACTGTCTGTAGTAACTGATGAAGAAGTGTTCCCATAACCATAATAGCTGAACAACTGTCAAGCCCTTTATAAATATCAGCAAGAACTGAACGTCGTGAACAAAATAGTGATCCAACAATAGTTGTACCAGATACCAAAATATCAGAATGTCTGGTAACATATCCGTGATTATTATTTACTGACCAGAGATCATTTAATTTTTTTGCCAACACGGTTACAGTATCTCCAACTTCAAAACAACTTTGAAGCCTATAAATAAGTATTAATAATAAATATTTAACATTAGTAAAATATAAATTTAAAAAAAAACTATAAGAACGAATAAATTAGGTATTCAAAATAAAATATTTACCAAATACCACTGAGACAACACACACACGACTCGTCAGAATTTTTACATGAATTTAATGTCAAGTTAATTTTTGCATAATCTTTTTCAATACTTTTTACAATACACCGATGAGGTATAGACAAATCAATATCTCTAAAGTGTTTTTAAATATTAAATTGTTTAAAAAAGAAAAACATAAAATATGTTATTACTTTTGAGGAGGAGAATCATTCCAGTCATCTAAAAACAAATCGGAACAAAAATCAGTTTCATCACAAATTGTACTTGCAAATGATTCTGAACAATTAAATGACTGATTGTGGACTGCACTATTGACTTCTTTGGATTTGTCTGGAGTTTTTGTAACTAAATCTAATGATATTTTAGAAATGGGAACAATTTCTTTATTTGTTTGGAGAATTGATGATTTTTCTTTAAGTTCATCATCATCAACTTTCACATAATTTAAACTTCGTTTTGCTTTAATCTTTTTCTTTTTCTGTAACACTGGAGATGGTGGAATGATATCTGGACTTGAAAACAATTTTGAGTTGGGTGTTTGATCATCATTATTATCTGTAGTAGTTTTAGCCATTTTAGGTGACTCGTCTGATATACGTGAAAACATTGAAGTGATTTTCATCTGCTTGGAACTAGTTGAATCACACTAAAAAGACAATTTAAATAATTAACATTATAACATAAATATACTTATTGTTTTCACAATATTTTACCTTATTAACTTTACTGCTAGTTCTTTTCATTTTAAATGTGGACCAACAGTTAGGTAAGTAATTATACTTTATGAAAAATCAAGTATATATCAATATAAAGTAAGATTGGTAGGGCGTAGGTAATAAAATTAATGAAATAATTCAATGACTTATAATTAACAAAAATGAAACAAATATAATAAAAAAAAACTTAAACATAATTCACAAAAATAAATAACGCTACAAGGACTGTTAAATAATAATTGTTACAGGAACATCGTTTTGAGGTAGAGTCGTTAAGGTATAGAATTTTAAATTTTTAAAGCACATCTGCATGTATCATTTTATATACTTTAAAGTAATATCACATAGTATCACACTATCACAGAATATTATTGAGATTTGTGATAAATTAACAATACTGGAGCATGTACACTAACACTGAAAACGAGGCATGTTTTTAGACGATTCTCCCGCTACTGCAGGACAAGAAAATAAAGTAATAATATACTTCCATATCAGTTTACATCGTCTACAATTCGCCATTGGCATTCAAATACCAATTTTTTTTTTGTTTTTGTGTTGAATTTATATTTGTTTCCCATTTCCTGCATTACCTATTTAGTATTTACCTAAGTGTCTATGTAGATTTTAAGCTTATTTATTAACATAACATATTATTATTAGTCATTGCTAACGAAAAACGATTTTGAGTAGAGTTCGATTAATATTGTTGCTTTATCAATAAAATAATATTATTTAATATAGAATATTTCCATGGTACTATTCGGTTATCTCGACTACACTAAAATTCATGTTAAATAAATTAAAATTCTTTGGTGTTCCCTTCATTGACGTTTATGGACACAGGACAGTAATTACATCTATACAGTAACTGATGAAATGAATACCTATTTAATAAAAAATTGCACATTACGTTGACACAGATTATGACGCGGTAATTTACGCGTTTTTCTAAATTGTATACCAAATTGTATTTACGTGGGAGTTTACATTTATATTCAAATATTCAATTTTAGTTAACTATATACTAAGTAGTCGAGATGACTGGATAGAACCATTTTCTTTAATATTGTACATATTTATATTACGTTTTTTTCATCTATTATGAAAACATCTAGGTCAATCAAATGACCTACAGTACTACCCCAGCCAAATTTCCTTTCAGAAAAACTGCTACAATTAAAAATAGAGTAAAATTGATGGTAGAAAAGTTGAAATATAAATATCATAAACATCATTTGTAAAACCAATACATTCCTCGATTCCCTCAGAATCTAAAATATTAACTTAATATTAATTAAACAAATAGTAAAATATAAATATAATATATTTTTTTTTAACCTTTTCACATATTATTAATATCTATTTGATCACCAGTATCCTTTTTTACTTCCAAGTTCAATCTTTATCAGCAATTGTTTTGTTGATCTGCCACATGTTTTTATTAACTATAATTTACAGAAGTTATTTCATTTGATGCAACTATTACAAAAATCAACATCAAAAAACAAATTTGATTAACATATGATAAAATATGTTTGACTTTTTCTGTTAGTTTCAATTCATTGTTGAACTGACTTTGGAGATGAAAGAATCATTTTAATGTACTGCTTTGTAAAACTAGAAAATATATAAAAGACTATACGAGTCAATATTTTTCCTATCAAGTGAATTTTTTTTTCATATTTCACTGAAATGCATTCACACCAAGGTACAATATGTTCCACCTGAACAAACTAATTGAAAATACCTAATGTATTGCTAGTAGGTAGCTTGGATATGGACATAGTGACCAACATTTGACGGGATACACCAAATTTGTGGTGAAACACCTGGTCTCATAGTCTTCTATTTACAATGCTATTTTAGCCATGCAATTATTTTCCCACTTATTTTTTGGTCCGAAAAATGATAATGTCAACAAAACTATTTTATTTTTAGTTATAAGTAGGTTACCCCATGAAGATTTTAATATATACACATACATCATTACATCATTCATATAATAAATAATGTAAGTATAATAATAATTTATAAAAGCATAGAATATGTATTGTACATTGTAAAATATTCATTATGTCATTATAAAATAATTTACAGACCATTAAGAAAGTTTAAATTCTTCCAAAAAATAAATATGAAAATTAAAATGTTGGAAAATAATAATAAAAAAAAAAAAAAATTGTAAGGGATAGCCTAAACCAAATAAAAAATAATACAAATCAAATGCAAGTAAAATTTAGTTTCATAAATTAAATATTTAACAATAATCATACTGAAATTTACAATGCATAATGTCATCAAAAAATAATTTTAATAAAAAATAAGTTACCTACTTTAAATTCAATTCATATGAATGCACAATAAAGAAATAAAAGAAAATAAACTAATTTTAATTACTTACAAATATATACAAAATACATATAATATATTTATACAAATTTGAAAATGTTAATCATCAAATATTTCAATTACTTCGATTGGTTCAGATTTAATTTCAAATGGAGACAATAATTTAGTAGATTCTTTATTTTGACGAATTCTTTTGAGTTTTTTCTTTACTGCTATAGCACCTATGTAATACAATACAAATATTTGAATGACAGTGATTAGTTTTGAAATATTTACAATATGTAATGAAGGATTTTTTTTTTAAATACGGGTGAAAATCAGAGATTAAATATTTTTTAAATTGTAAGACTAATATTATTTTAAAGTTAATACAAGATAAATAACAATTTATAAATGGTTTTCTATCATGTTTAACTTGAAAATTATACTAATGAAATTAAAAATAATTATATAGATAATCAATACAGTATTTGTTCAAAAATGGGTCATTAAAAAAAAAAAAATGAATCCTAACATTTGAAATAAAAGTTTGATAAATAATAAAAATGTATAGTATATTATTATAACAAACAAATAAAAAAGTAATAGTCAATATTATATTACCATTTTATACATAGGTATAATAGTGATACATATTTTTTATAAATTCAAATTAAATTAGTTTTCAGATATTTATAACTTATATTTATATTTTTTTTAAATTTATTTTTTAAGTAGTGCAAAATATGTTATATATATATAAATATAGTTACATTTAGTAGACTGGTACAACATTGATAAATTTTCTTTAGATTTATTTTTTACAGCTATACATCTAGAAAAAATCACACGAGATATTGTAACAAGAATAAGGATTTAGTTACCAATGAAAATTTAAAATCTTACGAGTTTTTAGGTGATTCAAATAATCTAAAAATACCATTTCCACTTGTTGTTGACATGTTTAAAGGCTATAACAAATTATCAAAAATTTAGTCAGTCAAAGTACTTAAAATAAGAAATATATAATGTTAAACATTTATATTGTATGAAACATACACTATCCTTTAGTTCAATAAAATAAAATACTACAAGACTTAATAACATAGTTGCTAAGGGTAGTCGATTATTATTATCCATTCTTAGTATTTCAATTGATGACAACACGATAAATGGTACTAAAAATAGGTAGATTGATATCCTGTAAAGTAAAAATAAGTACATTTATATAAAATAATTTCTTTATAAATAGATAAATAATTTCTTTTCATACCATATAACACAGTGGACAATAAACTGCACAAAGCTCAATATTTTAATAATCATACTATTAGTTCTGTTATGACAAACTTTTAATAGTCTGGCAGCTTCCAATGTTCCAAGTGATAGATTAGACAGGCCAAGAAATACAAAACCTGCTTCTGTACAGCTGTACAATTTTAAATACTTTTAGTATTAAATTTTAAGTGATTAAGTCACTTTGATTACAGTCTAAAAATCTGTATTGATGTTCTTCAAAGTACAAAACAGTTATGATTAAGATAAAATAACTTGAATTACCCAAAACAGTATGTCGAAGCAAAAAAACCTAATACAGCTGCTTTTTTTATGGTACTTAATATTGGCCGCTCATCTAAATGATTTGTAAATGATGTATACACATTGTGCAGTAAACATGAATATAGTATGATAAATTTAAAATTTTTAGATGGATCTAAAGGTTCTGTAATTGTACAACGATTCATCATATGGCGAAAAGAATCTAGTAGCCAGTACATTAAAGATGAATCAGAAGAAGAAGGTTTAAATGTAGAAAAACATATAGGAACACTGACAAAACAGAAAATTCCACTAGTCAGCGATTGTAATAATACATTTACTTCTGGTACCTTGAATTTGTGTGATGAATACAATGAAATACATTTCTAGAACAAAAAATATGATTTTTAAGTAATACCTATAAATATTTCTATAAAAAATAAAATTGTTTACCTCAAAGAACCCAGTGATTCGTTTGAAAAGTAATAACCATATTATAAACATACTAGGTATTCCGATTCCAAACATAATAATATTATACTCATGAAATAGTAATGGAAACATGGTTAAAATTTAAAAGTGTTTGTTGTAATACAAAAACATAGGATACATACACAATCTAGGGTTAAAAAAAAATACAAAAGAGCAAACAAATAGTTTTATTAGAATACACGAAAAACGCACCCCAAAAGTTGACTTAAAGAAGTACAAATGCCAAAATGCCAAATAAAGCCTTTCAAAGTTCAAACGAATAACGACAAATAATCTTTATTAATCTTCAATATGATACGTTTAATAAAACTTAAAATTTGTTTGATAAGTGATAATATTATAATCTACTAACCACACATTACGTCATAACCACGATTATACCATTTTCGAAAAATCATGGAAAAATTTATACTGATCGATATAGATTAATAAATCTTAAAAAATTTATTTAAAACATTTATTTGTATAATTAATGTTTTTAAAAATTAATTTAAATTTAAAATACGTTTTTAAATTAATTTATGTAGAATTACATACATTTTTTTTATAAAATACGAATGAATCTAGTTTCACGGCTAAATATTCCAAGACTGTGCCGTATGCCGTTGCTAGGTTTGTATCTTCAAAGGTTATTACTTTTTCTTGCAGTATCACCGCGGATTAAACAAATTTCGGGATCTATATTTCCTTTTGTCTATTATTGCCTTATTGGCGTTTTTGCTCTATTCTTGTAATTTAAATTCTTATTTTGTGTACGTTTTGTATTTTCGTGTCAGCTCTCAGGTACGTAAAACTCAAGTATTATACCGGTTACCTACTCTTAATTCTATTTGACTGCTTTATGTTCGGCTATATATAAGTTATAAATACAATTAATACAAATAACATTCTAAATAATTACTTATCACAATATAAGAGACAAATCGTATATTTGTATCGCTACTTTGATCATTAATTTTCATAAGTAATATAAGAAATATTTGTTTCATAGTTTTAACACTATATTTTCATGTTGGGCGAATGGTTATTACATAAGTCATATTATACATAATATACCGGGTTCTTTGTTTAAGAAATTTACTTATTTGTTAATTGGGTTAACTTTGAGAAATTATTTCAAAATTCAACAAAATTGTTTATAAATATAGTAAAATTTAAAATAAATATATTGTAAGCATAAACTTAACCTCCATAAGCAAGTGTTTAAGTGTTAGTTTTTTTTGTTACTGAATGTTTAAAATCGGTATAATAGATATGGGGGTTTCAGCAGCTATAAAGGATGCTATTTTTTAATGTTATATAGTCCTTTGTCTTTTATTTTTCAATTTAAATATTGCCAAAAATCCATTCAGAATTGCTATAAATTGAATTTATTTAAAAATAAAAAGTCTAAATTCAAGATTAATAATATTAATGTGTATATTTAATACTTATGGTCATTTAATGGTCTCTTCAAAAAAAAATCACAGTATGTAAATTAGTGTGTGAAGTATATTTTTGTTTACGTATTTCAATTCTGTATATCATTTTTAACTTACCTATCTCCTTTTGATTTTATAAATTATAATTTCTTCAATATTGTATTGTGGAAATATGTAGATATGGAAGTTGATGAAGAAGATGTTGAAGCACCATCATCAAGTACCACCAGCCGTGGTGAAAAAAAAAGATTTGAAGTAAAGAAGTGGAATGCTGTGGCTTTGTGGGCTTGGGACATTGTTGTAGATAATTGTGCCATTTGCCGAAATCACATTATGGATTTGTGTATTGAATGTCAAGCCAATCAAGCATCTGCAACTAGTGAAGAGTGCACAGTTGCATGGGGTGTGTGCAACCATGCTTTTCATTTTCATTGCATATCACGTTGGTTGAAAACAAGACAAGTATGCCCACTTGATAATAGGGAATGGGAATTCCAGAAATATGGACATTAATGAAAATACAATTTTAATTAATATTTTTACATTATTTTTATGTCATCTAAACACTTATTAAAGACTTAGGCTATCAGTATAATTTTTAAGGCATTCCATTTGAATGTCAGAAATCAATTAAAAAATAAATATATTAGTTTGGCTAAAAATACTATAACTCAGTTCTATTTTATTATATTAAATCCTGTAAAATAAAATTTTCTCAGTAAATAGTGTTGTACTTTTTACTATACAAATAAAATTAATATTTAAATTAACTGTATTTTTATTTGTTAGTACTATTGTCTTGTGAGTAAATAGTGGTACTTAACTAATATTAAGTTAATATTTCACTAATACAATTGTAGATACATTCAGAATCTAAAATAATTGCATTTGTAACTCAATTATATTTTGTATAACATTAATTAAAACATGGGTTACAAAGTTGTATTATCATGGTTATTAGCTGTTATGCACTGTGTTTCTTTAGTAAATTTAAAAGTTTCACTTTTCCTTAGTTTGTGAGTAAGCATAGATGAATGAAGGTTGACAATAGAATGTAATTGAAAAATATCATCGATCAATTTTTGAATACAATTTTTTATTTTTTTATTTAATTTTTATTTAATTATTACGGGGGAAATAAGAACTACTGATCACTAATTCTTTTGACATTGCCATGTTAGTTAATTGTGTTTCGTTGTCATTACTAATTGCATGCAAATTGTCTCTGTCAATTGTTGGCCTATACATAATCTGTTCAATTTTGGCATTAAAATCTCTTAAAAATATTTATATACTGTGTCTAGGTTGTCTTTGATACATTTTTTCTAGATTCTCATTAAATTTGTCTTTCTTTTCTTCGGTTGGACCATAACAATATATTACTGCAATACGGAAATACTTGCCCTTTAAAAGTATATATACTGTCATTTACTGGTTCAAATATTTTTACATTGTTTATAATTACCACATGTATAATACCATGATGGTACAGTTGTTTATCTTTTTTTTTTAATTTATGCTATGATAGCAAAATTAGTTAAAAGCCAAATATTTATTATTCATATTTGTATGCACTACAAAATTAAATAATTCAATAATCTATATAAAAAAATAAATAAAATAAAACTAAGAAAATATTTAAGTATATGACATTGTGTGTTTTGGCAATTTGTTCATACGTAAGTGCCACATACTGTCAATTGGAATTTACAATTATGATTAACAAATAAGCAAGGTAAATATAAACTTTTATTGATTTCTTAAATGGAGAAAGAATAAAGGGACATTTTTAGGGTACTTAAAAATAAATAATATTATGTAACTTTATAAAATGATGATTTTTCAAAAACTATCAATAGAAAATTAAAACTTACAAGATGTAACAGATGATTTGAATGAAGAAATTATTTGGTAAGTATAATTCTAGATTGCAATATCGAAAACAGATCCTCCATTGCTGTTAGTGTAAACATAAAAAAATAAGTTTACGATATATACATATAATATTACACCCTGAAATATAGTAAAAAATTAAATCACTAACATTTTGTTTATTAAATTGTAATATTTTGCTAATTGGAAATAATAAATTATAAAAAAAATTTGATGAAAATCTTATCAAAATGCATAATATGGTTTAAATTGTTAAGAACAAGAACTTTGATTTAAATGTAAATATCATATGACCACTATTTTATAATTCACATATTAATAAACAACTCTGAAAATATAATAATTTAATGGAAATTTAAAGATTATTATTTAGATTTAAATAAGTATGAAATTAGTATTTAGGCTAAAAAATTACATAATTAAATAGATAAGAAGAAACTGAAAATAGCTATACTTATACATACAGTACCATAAGTACCTACTTGCATAAACTTATTTTAATTCTAGAATTTGATTAATTTAAGATTGTTTAAATTTAAAAAAATAAATATTGACAAGATTTCTTTTAGTATTATGTAGAGATAGGATACTATAATTATAACTTGTTACATAAAATTGTTATTATATGTATTATTTTTAAGCTGCTTGCAGATCTACACTATAATTTAGGTGTTATGCTATAAAATATTATATCTAAGAATAATTAATTTTTATTTAGACACCTCACATTATAAAAATGAGATTTTTGTTTATAATTGCTCACACTTGAATTTTATACCTACCTAATGATTTCTTTTGGTTAGTGGTTACCAAACATACCTTACACAAAAAAAGATCAATTATAAATAATACTTATTATTAGCATAATTTTAATATGCTTATCATGATATACATATATACATATTACCTGAGGGATTTAAATATTAGTTATATCATAGACAAGAATAATATACCTAGTGCATATCTATGAGTATATTATATCTATTAGGTAAAATACTGAGTGTAGTTAAGTTGAATGCATGATGTGTTTATTTTTGGTCCATGACAGATACCTAATAGATGGTGAGATGTTGTGTTATCTATATATGGAGGCTAACATTAAAAAATAAATTGAAGTTGTAAAGTCTGAAATAACGGTATAGTATGTAGGTATTAGGTTTTTACATTATTAAATAATTAGGAAGTGTGTGTAAAAATGATATATTTGGCTAGTGTTTATGTGCATAGACAGGTTATCTAATTTTCAATTGGTCATATATAAAAAAAAAAAATTGATACTAGGGACGGGTATCTTATTGTTATAGGTGGGATGTTGTGATTGTATGATACATAGTTATTTAATTTATATCTGTACGCAAAAATAAATTTATGCTAACAAAATGCTAGAGTTTAAACGTGTTTTGAAATTACTTTTAAGATTTTATTTTCTAATTTTTAGTCATAATCCAATCAAATTATTATGAAATATTATCTAAGTTACATAAGTAAATTGATTATGAATTTAAATAACAATAGTATGTGTTTGTAAAAGACAAAATAAATTGTTATATTTTAAACTTTTTGGTAGGTATTGGATAATAAAAATCCAATGTTATACCTAGTTTAACAAAAATTTGTTTATTGCATACATTTGTATTCAAAATGTATTTATATTTAGATAAATTATGACAAAATAAATAATGGAATATAAATCATGACAAAATGGTAATCAAAATTGTATTCCAAAACTGAAAATACCCAATTTTTCATTTTTTCATCTCTTCCTTAAAATAGAGGATGAGGGTTTTTTAACAATGGACTATTGTACTGTCACCCGTATTTTACTACACAGTACACTGTGATTAAAATTTCATTATAATATTATACCGACTATGGTAAAAAGAAGTTACCTGGTTGTAAAATTCCACCAAAAGAAAAATTATTTTTAAAATTATAATTGTAGCCCTCACTCTACAATTATATAATATGCTAGTTAAAATCTATAAAGAAGATATATATTTTATTTATAGATCTTGTATTCTTGAATACTATAATACCTATCTAGTATCTATCTAAAATCATGCCCACGATTTAGAGAAATTCTCAACAGTAGTTAATGTTTAATACTTAAATGTTAATCTGTAATCTATACCTATCACGAGTGTAGAGCGTTCAGCGTAGGTAGATACCTATTAGAGCATTTAAATTATTATTATAATTAGAGTATATTTTGGCCGTAATGTGTTATTTGGATTTCGTTTAAACTCTCAAAGTTTAAACATATAGTTAATACGTAGTATTATATGTATTATATTATATTAAACGTCTTTATTACTTACCTACAATCTACCTATCTATCGTTTTACATAATGACGAATTATTGTGTGACACACGAGGTATATTCTTGTTTCATGTGCCTAAAACCTATATAAAATGAGTAATGAAAATAAGAATTGAATTAACTGAAAACCAATTTAATAATGTGTGCTAAGTACTAATTTTAAATCCGAGAATATAGGTAACAACCATACTTATTATCCATATGGGAATTTGGTACAGGTTTCAATAATCTATTACGGTTTTTCATTCTAAAATAAGAGTAGTTTTACTTTTAAAACATATTTTCAAAATGATGAAGTGTGTGTGTAATTTATGCTGATTTGACATTTTTCCAATTTAAATATTAAATAATATAATAATGATACATTTTATATACCTACTTGATTAATGATTTATGATAAGAGAACGTCCAAAAATGGGATGGATAGATGGGATAATGCAGGACTTGGGTCTTGGAGTAACTAGGGATAAGGAACTTGGAAGAAAGAGTGAACAATGTGATGAGTGAAGGAAAATGGCGGTGCTGGCAAAAACTCTTGAAGAGTTGTGATACCGAGGAAGAAATAGGTATAATAAAAAAGCTGTCCTAGGATAATAGGGACGGGTGCAGCCACTGTTGTAGGTGGGACGTTGAGAAGGTAGGATATAGCTGGTCATTTAATGTAGGTATATCTGTACGCAACGATTAAACCATTGCTACCGAAAAACAATTCTAAGCGGAATTCAGTTGCTTTGTCAACAATATATAATACGTCATATTATGTTAAAATAATTACATACCTATACATTTTCATTAATATTTGTTTGATATTGATTTTATTTCATGTGCAGTATGTTAAATTTAATAGGTATGTGACAGGCCGTGTTTCCGTGAATGGTTCTTATAATTTTTCGTACCATTACTATTTACTAATTAGAACCACAGAGGCACAGAATAGATTAATTAAGAACCATGTACCGGCTGGTATAATCGTACCACGGACTAAGATATCATAGTCTGTGAATCGTGCCATATTATCTATATTCTATGACTCGTCGATATTATTATAAACTTATAGATTTATACCACGAATTTAAATTCTCTACAGGCTACCTATAGTTAATGTAATTCGTGGCTTATAGATATGATGACCAGATATAAAAATCTAAAAAAAAGTTCATTTTTAAATTTAAGTTCTATATTATATAAAAAAAAAAACTTCCTTGTAAGAATTGGTGAATGTATATACTATTTTACCCATGTTGGCTATAGACCATCTCCATCTATATACTTTTTTTTTTATCTAATCAGATAAAAAAAAATCTATTATTATTATTTTTATTATTAACTAAAAAAAAAACTTTATTTTAAATCATAATGTCAACTCATTTGGTTTGTATTTTTATGATGAAAATATGTTGAAATTTAAGAAATTTTAAGTAAACTTAAAGTATACATGTATAACTTAGAGGTATACATATTTAAATAAATACAAAACTTTATTAATATGTTTCTAGTGGTTATGATGTTAACAATATTTTCTTTCGTCCAACCATTGTCAGTAACTTGCAAACGTTTCTAATGTATTAGATCAAACCATAAAATATTAAAATATAAATGAATAATCAAACTATACAAAATCATAAACAAATGTTACCCTATATTTTCAAAAAAAAGAGTACAATATCATGTACTTAATATTATTATTGAGGACATAGGACAATGCATAAAAAAAGAGTACTGTCCTACGAAAACGAGTACTTCTGTTCACCATACTTATAGATGTATAAGCTGTATAATATTAAGTATGCGGTCTAAATATGGGTTATATCATAGACAGTGGCGTACATAGGGAGGAGGTTAGAGAATAAGGGTTGTCTCCCCCATTGACTTAAATTAATACAAAACAAATATGAGTAATTTAATATCGAAATGTATTTATTTCAGCCAAGTAACGAGGAAAAGTTTTTTATAAGTACCAATACGATAAGTATTTTAATTTTTAAAAAATGATCACCAACACTACATTAAGAATGAATTGCTTATGTAGTCATATGCCAACTGGATAGCTCGATATGTCTAGAGTGCCTCTAGATATGTCTACAGTGATATCACTGCTAAGAGTAAATACCGTGATATCAGATAGAAAACCAATTTACTTGATAAGGACGTGATTGAGATAATTGGGTGGGCTCCGTTGAGTTTTGATGGCTAAGAATCCCAATCCCTTCCCAATTTGCGACTTTAATACCTATCTACCTGAAATAATACGTTTTGGTTTGCGTAGATCGAAATTAAATAGGGACTAAAAATTTGTATCCTAAATAAACTTGCTACATAGTAAATTAAAATATCAATGGTACTATTCTAGATTTTAAAATCAGCACGACAATTTAGCGAATATTTCGATTTGTTTTAAGTATATTTTAGTAAAGTATAATAATATAGTACAGTAGTGAAAAATGAAAAAGTATTAATGTTAGTTGGCACGATAAAGTTTTTCAGACAGATGGCGGCACCCGGGAACAACTTGCGAATTCGACATGGTTGAATAGTGAAATGCTTACCATCTGGCAGCCCTGTTGTAAATAAGTATTCCGGTAACTACAACACTAAAAACTACTACCTACCTACATTACTATATTATTATAGTAAATTTCGGTTTTAGTTTTAGTTATCAATAAAGAGCCGGAAGTTTCGGTCTCCGTTATTGTGCTCAGTGTTAGTTAGATAGTGTTGTGCGTGGTCGTTCTGTTCGTCTGCTGAACTGCCGGTTTTTCTATAGATCTTATTGTATTTTTTTTTTTGTAATATTATTATTATTAATACGCCACAACAATTGTGTACTTATTTTTTTGGCGTACATAAGTATTATTTTCTGGACAAGAAAGTAATAATTAGGAAAACATTTAATTTATTGTGCAATGGGTTTATTAACCGAAGGGCAACCACTCACTTGGGATGAGACCAAACAATTGGCTGATCATGTAAGACAACATGGAATCATTCAGTTTGTGAATCTATACCATCAGTTACTTGACCGTAAAGGAGATGTTCTGAAATGGGGAGACGAGGTAAATTAATACACATTTTGATTTTTCATTACTTAAAGTCTACATAAATATATAATACTATTTGTATGTTTTGGTTGTTTGTTATACATTTCCAGGTCGAATACATAATCGTTAAATTTGACCATTTGAATAAGACTGCAAAAGTTAGACTTTGTGCACAAGAGGTATTAGATCAACTCAATGAAAAAGAAGCAAATGACCCAGAGTAAGTGTAATTGATTGAATAAAATATTGATTCTCCATAAGAATACAAATACCCATTCTTAATGTTAAGTATGTTAGTAGGTAACACATAAATATTATTGATTTAAATAGCCATTCAATTATTGAATATGGTAAATAACTACTTATACCTTGACTCATATTTAGATTTGATGCCAATAAAAACTTATTTTTTATTAATTTTCATTGAAACCCATAATTTACTTTTCTCTTGGCATTTGTTGTAGGTAGTGCAATTTTTTTAGTAATAAAAATGTTGAAAAAATTATATTTATAAATATAAAAAGACGGACATAGCTTGAATGATGGAGGGGGCCACTATTTTAGGTGAGTAGTTGGAAAGGTAGAATATAGAGGGAAGTTCAATTTATATCTAGACAATGGTAAACCATTGTTAACGAAAAGCGATTCGGAGCAAATTTATTTTTACTTTTCCAGTTTTTCTTATATTTTTTCTAATTGTTACGAAAACTGCTTGGAAAATTAAAAAATTATTTCATTTTAGTTATCACCCTGATAAAATTTCTTCTCAGAAAAGGTTCTTAGTTCATTTGAAAATATGAGCAAGATTTCTGGTATAAAAATGTTCATAGATTAAAAAAAATATGTATGTACATAGTAAAACCAATACATTCCTAACTATGCTCCGAATCTTAAATGTAGGTACTTAACCAGATATAAATATCTATATAATATTTAAACATATTTATGTTTTTGTTCGGTTTTTTTTTTTTGGTGTTTGAGGTAGAAAACTTAAACTAAAATTGATAACATAAATAATTGATTGACTTTCATCTTTGTTTTAAAGGCTTAATTTATGTAAATGTTTGATAAATATTTTTATTAACTGTCTATGTACAATATATATAAAATGTGTTTTTAGTTACAGTGATTTAACCAAGTTTAAATTAATATAACAATATACACAAGTTTTATTTATACATCATAATTAAATATATCTAAGTATTGTAACATCTTTAATTTAAAATTTATTTAAAAAATTAATTATTTACTTGTGTTCAAATCTTTAAATTATAAATCTATCAATAATTTTATAATGTAGGTTTGAATTTTATTATACTTTTAGACAGTCATCATAGTTATAAAATAACTTTTTACCTATGATTAATGTACTATTCAATATTACCAACAATTAGTTAATTAATTTGAACAAATATGTAGACATAAGGTTTAGAAATATAAATTAAATTTAAGTACACAATTGAATTATTTAGATATATATGATACTAAAAATTGTATAAAACTTAGCAAATGAAGTAAGTAAGTTATATATCAATTAGTTTGAGATACAAATGTTGTATAATATTACGTCTAGAGTGATAAAAATAATTCTTAAAAGAAAGTTACTATCATATTAAATTAAATGAAAAGAAATCTGTCTTATATTAATGTATTATATGTATGTAGCCAAATAACAAAAAAATCCCATATTTGTTTATAATTTATTATGATCAATAATTGTATTCTGGTTTTGAACTCCCACAAATTTATTTTATTTTAACAGTTCGAAATGTGTTCCATAACGTAGAAGTTTATTTTCATATTTGATGGTGGTATTTATTTATTGTGACTAATATATACTTACTTATTTATAATTAAATTGGTATAAGTATAAATTCCCTTATAATAAGATAATAAAGATTTTTTTTTTTAATTACAATTAGTTAGTCATAATTATAACTAAAATAAAATCTAGTAAATGTGATAATAAACAAATTGAATTTTACTGAATAAATAAACTTGTCGAGATAACCTTTGTGATAAATTAATTACATGAAATAGGAAAATGCTATTAAAACAAGTTAATTACGTTGATAATTATGCTTTGGACTGATATTCATAAAAATATGTGTAGGTACCTTTTGTTATGCTTTTTGATATTTTATTATTACTTAATTCTTGAGTTAATTTTAAAAGTTTGATTTCAATATGATCAAAAATGCATGCCATTTTTTACTGTCAATATAGTTAAATAAAAAAAGTATTGTATTTATTTATTTATGTTATTTATTAATGGACATAAGACCAAATTCATTGATAAATCATATAATAATGAACACTTTGATAGTATCTTAAGATTAAGTAATAACTGAAAGAATATAAACAAATTACATTAAAGTAACTTAAAATTCACATTTACAATTAACATTATTAATTAGGTTTTCCATTATATAAATTAGTAAAGAACCCTATAAAGAAAAGAGAAAAACAAAAAATTATCTTAACTACATGTAAATAATTTTTCATTTGAGAATGTATAACCGGTAGATTGTATTAAATCAATAGGAGAACATACTAAATATTGTTTAGAACGTTGTGGGACATAAAAGAGATTCTTGTTACGTATATTGTAATGGTTTGTTTTAAAGTTTATTAGACTTAAGAAGAAGAAATTATCAATCTCATTATTTAAAAGTTTTTCTAGGAACATGGCGTAATAATTAAATCTTTCAAGGTTTTTAAATTTAATATTTGAAAAATACTCTCATATCCAGAATACAGTTGTCTGGTAATATTGCATTTATAAGTTACATAGTGAAGAACTTTATTTTAAATGGATTCAATTTGGTTGAGTATTGGTTTCCCAAATTAGACTAGTGTACTCTAGATGTGATCTAATAAGAGAGGAATAGACATTTGAATGTGATAGGATTATTGAACTGAAAACAGATCTATTTAACTGTACCAAAAATCGCTAGATATTTTTTTGGTAATTCCTAATAAATGTAAATTAAATAAAAGTTTAGAATCAAAAATGATACCAAGGTCTGTTATCTGAAGAGCTCGATATAAATTATAAGAATCTGAATTATAATTAAATGTTATTAGACTACGTTTTTTGAAAGTTTAAATTTAATTTCAGTTATTCGTTTATTTCTTTATTTCTTTTTTTTTTTTATAAATTATGAATTGTTTAGTGACGTCAATTATCATTTACTTTGGAGTACTCTTAATTAAAATTTCATCCTAATCATTGATTTTACCTCTTACAAGGAGTATTATATTTTAAAGTAGGTATCTATGTATATTTATTTATTTTGTAAATATTTGTTTTTGTATGTGTTTTTAATTTTTCTCTAATGTAAGTACATGTAAGTTATAATGTTTTTATTCAGAAATTTGAATAGTAAAAATGTATAGAATGTCTTGAAGACTTTATTTTGTTACAATATAAACTTCATTAGAGCTTATATTATGTATTGCACTTAGATATTTTTATTTTTTTGATTATTATTTGAATTGTGAAGAAAATTGTATCATTAAAAATAATGTGCATAGTGTTAATACATAAATAAGATGTATGAAATTGTATTTAATAGATCATTATCAATTTATTGATAAAGGTATTGATTATTCTAGTATAGAATATGCGAGTGCTTTTATTTTATTTTATCTACTACTTATATAAATTTTTTAGATTATAGTTCTAATAGACTAAATTATCTTGTGAAAAAAGGTTGGTTTTCTCTATTAATAATGAAAAAAAAAAAATAAGTACAATTTGTTTAAATGTATATTAAACTAATATGGTAATAATCAAATAATAACAATAATAAAAAATAAAAAAAACAAGTAATAATCATTAGTTAGTTTACTGGTAGGTATTCTATACATAATATAACCTTCAAATCATACCTATTAATAAGAAGAGTTGTTTTTAAATTTTTAACTAGTAGGAAACATTTTTTCTATTTGACAATTTAAGCTTAAAGAGAAGTTGAATAAAAATACACAACAAATATTGGTATGTAATTAGAGCACCGTATTGTCATGTCGACACAAATTCATTGGTTAGGTCAATGAAACTAATCATCATTAATCATTTATCTATTCAAATATTGATTTCAATTGAACCTATTATACTTAGAATACCTATGTTATTTTGTGTACATTAGGTTGTTTTTTTTTGATCATATTATGATTAATTTTTTTTAATCGATTTTATGCAATTTTTCTAGAGTAACGAATTAAGAATTTTAGGAAAAATAACTATACAAGATTTGTCCACTTTTTAAGTCGTTAGGTGAAAAACGGATTACTTGCACTATTGTAAATGCATACTTTTCTATGAAAATATTGTTTAAATATTATGTAGGTTATCTACCTACATACTTTTTATTACCTCGTTATATTTCCGAGACGGTTATCCACCGGTCTTTAAAACATTGTTATTAAATTAATGGACGAAAATTGACTATTATTTTTTTACATTAGCTTCTTGAATAGAATCCGTGAACAATAACTTATAATGTTATACATAGTATTAAATAACGAAAAGTTGACATTTTTGTATACGAAATAATATGAAACGAAATAGATATTATAACGTCGTAGTTGCATATACGATGTACGGTATAGTAAATCTAAGTAAGGTCACGACTCACGAGTATAATATATTATTATTAATAAAACAGTGCTACACCTTGAAAAATCATTTACATAGTCATTAATTCAATTATTTTCTTCGTTTATCGCCCATATCTGCTGTACCTACATGTACTGACGAGAATTATAATATTCAGGCTTGTACCTATAAATTGGATTTGGACTAGTTAAAAATAATGTATAATATGTTATTAGTATTTTTAGAAATATGACTTTATACTAAATATTCTCGACGAACATGTAATGACAATAAAAATATTAATGTATTTAATAGGTATACCTAGATAAATGATTTTTTAAGATATGTAATAATTATTAACTCTATCTATTTGTTTATGATTCTGAGTGTAGCTAGGAATGCATTGGTTTTACTATGATGTGTGTGTTATTTTTTTTTTATTACGATTTGCTTCCTTCTGTCTGTAAACCACTTTTCAACCAGAGCTCTTATTTCGTTCTAAACAATTACAGGAGATTTTTTATGTTGTGTTCAGTATTTAGTTGTTAAGTAAGTCATTTTTTGATTTCCCAAGCAGTTTTTATAATAATCGGGTAAAATTGGGAAAAGATGTAGAAAGAATAGAAAAGTTTACGAAAATAACGGTTGCATTATTTTCAATTTTGTTTTTTTGTTGTAATTCTGTTAAAAACTTTTAATTTTTACAGAAAATTTATAATGGCCTTTTATAGATGTGATACATTTTTAAAAATATTTTGGTAATGTTTGAGCTAGCTGTTTGTACCTTATGAGTTTACAATTGTTTGGCCAAACAGAAATTTTTGAAAATTAAACATTATGTTAATTATAAGTTACTTAGTAGTAAAAAAAAAAGAAAATTAAACGTAATGTAGTAGTTTTTTTTAAAGTGTTTTAAGATCAAATTATGAAGAAAATCATACAAATTACACCATTTAAAAACCTGTTTAACAGAACTTTACTCAGAATCGTTTTTCGTTAGCTGTGGTTTATCGTTGTTTATAAATAATATTAATTAAATAAATAACGCATCTTCCAATTTCCCATCTATAATAGTCCAATGTCCTATGCAATATTTTGCCATTCCATGAATTAGGAAATTCACTTGCCCATTTCATAAATTGAACAAATTTACCTCTGGGGTATAAAATATACAGGGTATCTCACGAAGATATAGGTACTTATTACGATATTTCAGAAAGTATTAACTTTATTCGGAATTTTTTTGTTTTGATAACTTAAGAAACAAGCAGTTCTAAAATGTTACATCACCATAATTTTTTGTCGCCTTATATTTTGGAAGTTGAAATGACTTCCCAATATTGTCTTTCAAACGACAACTTATATAAAACAAATGTCATGAATAGATATAGTGTTAGTTTAAATATACTTTGGTTTTAAATTTTGATTTCCATCAACCCATTTGAAGAGATTTTTCTTTTTTATGTGTGGGTGGGGGGAGAGTGTTGGAACATTATTCAAACGACGCATGTCATGCTGCCATACAATATATATAAATATTGTATTATATATAACTATATAAGAAAAAAAAGATGGACATACTTCACACGATGTGCAGTTCTCTGTTGTAGGTGAAAAGTTGGAAAGGTAGGATAAAGAGCGAAATTTAATTTATATCTATACGTAACGATAAACCATTGCTAACGAAAAGCGATTCAAAGCGAAGTTTTTTTGATACATGTTGGTAAATTTTCTAAAGCGAAAACCGTTTAGAAAATTAAAAATTGGCATCCTTGAAATACTACACAGATAAAATTTCTCTCTCTGAAAAGGTACTACATTTGAAAATCGCAGCAAGATTTCTGATATAAAAGTTGTTCACAGATATATATGAAAAAAAATTATATTAAAACCAACATTCTTCACTACGAGCTACGCTCCGAATCTAAAAACAACTAATAATAATAATATGCAGTTAGTGCAGATTGCGTTTAAGGTGTTTGTTTGGTTTACGTCTACTTTAAAATTCGTAGCGGTTAGGTTAGAAAAAAAACCATTTCTTTTTTTTACAAACGTGGTCGGTATATACCTAATACAAATTCGCTCGAATAATAATTATCGTTCCGGAATCCGAATTAATGTGCTGTTATTCGCTATAATCGTACTTTGAGTGTTAAATAATGCTAATTTCATTTAATGTAATCGTTTTCGAATACAATTAGATAATATTACGCATCAACAGGTCAGTTGGTAGGTCGATTTTGTCTGCGTTTATTTTACGGTTCAGTGCAGTGTATAAGACAACCGCGGTCCAGTTTAATCTATATTATGTATAAGTTTGATTAATCAGAAACGTGAATCTTGATTATTCTGACCTCGCATATCTTTTATCTGCTCTTACATCTGTAATCTTACATAGTTCAACAAAATATACAATTCATTATAATGTATCAATGATTATTTAGACTCTCTTGACTCTCTATATCGTCATTATTACCCCGCGAGTGGTGACGAAATTTAAAATTTTATAAATTAAAGGCGCGCCTTCACAAGTAAAAACTGTAGTTAAAGTTAAAGATATAATATAATCCGATCGGGTCCGGTTTATTTTATTGACGTTATTGTTTTACTGCCAAAAATGTTGCTCCGAATTTCAAGCGTAGTACCTATCTTTTCGGAATGAAAATTGTATCTTATTTGTGTATCGAGCAATAGTTTTTCGATTTTAAAAACATTATGCGGCTTTTTTTTTTAGGCATTTGACATTTCTACTTTTTTTATTATTTGACTTAATGTAGATAAATAATTGTGGCCGAACAGAAATACTTGAAAAATTTAATTTGAAGTTCAGTAAAAGTTGTATATAACGATTGAAAAGAAAAGTCTGTAATGTAGTACTTTTTCTTAATATACGCGTTTAAGTTAAATTTTGGCGAAAATCGTAAATATCATGGAATTTTACGTGTTCTTTTTCGATTTAATTAAATACAATTTTAGCCATGGCTAAAATGTTTGAAAATTTAACACAATGTTCATTATATTTTTATTTGTTTGGGGAAAAATAGTTGTATGTAACGTAGTGATTATTTCAGAAGTTTATTATTGGTTAAAATTTTAAAGAAAATCGTAAAAGTCACGGTATTTTAAAACATATTTAACCGAATTTTGCCCAGAATCGTATTTCTTTTACAGATATTTACAGATATAAATCAAATAACTTTATGTATCCTACATGCCCAACTTCTCACGTACAACAGTGGAATGCCCTACCTTAGTATCGGCTTTTTTTACTAATCAAATTTGATATTATCAACATAGATTGATTGATAATACACGTGAAGTCAGCGTAACCACCAACCCCAAACAGCCCATCGGTCTAGAGAGATGTATAGTCTCTAAGATATATGATATAATATGTTAGATATATATCTTTCATGCCCCCATGGTCAGTCCGCTATTGTAATAAAGCACCACTGACAAAAACCGAAGTTGTCTAGTACGTTATTACTTTATTAGTCATTATGTATCACATTACCTTAACATTTTATAGAATTAGTAATGCTTTTATATTTAAATAAGTATATCGTATATATCTAACAAACAGAAATAACATTGAATCATGATTCAATGAATCATTGACCAATCGTGGCTTTAATGAAAATCACGTTTCACGACTAGATAGCTTCGAAAACACGTTTTCTCTGGCTAAATAATAAATTAGTTTGTGCTTGCTCATAATGCATAGGTAATTATTTTTTTATCAGATGTTCAAATAAGAAAATTACGTTTATCTCTTTTTGCAAACGTATTAGTCTATCTGGTTAATTAGTCATTGCGTTATTTTTAATATTATATTGCGTTATCAATGGAAATAATATATTTGTTCCATTCATTTAGCTATGCATTTTAATTTGATAAGGATAACGTTTTTTATGTAACATATATATATGTATACCTATTCGAAATAATTATTTATTACTATGACGACTAATTTTGTGAATTTCGAAACACTAGGAAGCTATAAGTATAGAGGGGAATGGGGAATACTAGTCACCTAGGCAAGAATTGTAATTAAAAATAATATCGATTTGCTAAATTCACTAATACTTGCGAAATGACTGAATAATGTAATTTAATTACTAGTTGTAATAACTAATAACGTATAATATATAAATAATAATTAGACATTTAAATATTTAATTAAAAAAAACATTGATAAGGTTTGATTAGGTTTCAACAAAAACGCGTTTATATGTCCATGCGATAAACTGTTTAAACGGTTTTAATTTCTGAAACTACCCAATGGGAGTGTTTTAGTTTTGAAAACGATTAGATGTTTTTAAACCGGTTTTGAAGTGATTACATGATAAGAATACGTTTTAATTTCATCATAAACGTACTTAGTGACATGTTTTACCCACTGATCGGTATTCCCCCATTCTCTCTTACTTGGAAATAAAAGCCTAATAATGCTAATAGGTGTGTTAAGCTGCTTACACACGGAGCGTCAGTGGTCGCGATCGGGCGGTTTGAATGGATAAACTGCTACCACTGGTTGCTTACACACGGAGCGGTTCGTAAAAACTGTTTTCCTTGATAAGGTTTTCTATTTTAATATACAGTGTATATTAGGTACATTAGATGGACGGGATTTTAGATGATGTTGAAGCCATAGTTATAGCATATTCGCTGTATATACGTCACTAATTAAAAAAAGTAAATATTATTAAAAGACGATATTGGGTACACCCAATTGATTTAAAAAGGTATCAAGAAGGATAATTTATTCTAAATTTTATGGTATTGCCAGCATACCCCGAAGAGTTTTTTAAAATAGTTTGTTCGTAGGTAATTGTAAATAATCGAATTGCGTGTCAATAAAATAAAGTGGCGTATCGATAAGCGCGTGAATGATAAAGACAGAAACAAAACTGTAGAACCGCCGCGGTTAGAACACTACGCGAGTATGGGCTTATTGAGAATACACAGTTGTCGACCGTTTGAAAATCAAAGACGCTTATCGACTGTTTTATTTTTGGCCACTTAGTACAACTTACAATGAACCTCCTGTTTTTAAGAATTTCTGTTTTGTCAAACAATTATATCTACATAGTATCTACTAAATAAAAACTTCGTAAAAAACTCGTAAAATTGAAGTACCAATTATGGCTCGAAAAATCGTTTTTAAAATTTGACCACGTCTAGTAAAGGCAAATATAAGTTTGCTATCAACATTTCAAGTCTACGATATTTTAAACTGAATTATGATAAAAACAAAATTGAAAACCCTTGGAAAATCAAAAAATGATCTCCCGAGTACACCAATTAGATCAAAAATGCAATAAAAAAGGTGTCTTGTCATTTTTCGATTGAATGTTCACCTAACCTAATAAAAAATGAAAATGAGAAGTTAATACCTACACCAAAATTTATTAAATCTTTTAAAAGTAGTTTAAAAAGTACCCCTTGGATCTTTTATACCAAAGAATGGTGGCTTTTACAAGGATGTAAAACTTACGAATAAGTGTGGTTGAATACAATTGAGAGAAGTTTCATATGTTTTATGTGGCATGAGGATTTCATTGAGACTAAAATTTAAGTTTTACAGGAGTGCCTTGAGACATATGAGACAGAGTGCGTATGTTATGTGGTTGGAAGTGTTGGGTGCTAGACAGTAAAATAGAACAAAGAATGATTGTAGGAAATGCTCAGGTGGATAAGTGAAGATAGGATAAGGAATAAGTACATACAAGATAGCATTGGGGAAATTTTCGATAGAAGACAAAATGAGAAGGAATTAAACTGACATGGTTTAGGTATGTCATTAGGAGAGAGTTATCTGAAGCAGTAAGAATTTTAATGAAAATACAGTTTTTAAAATAGACGCAAAAGGAAAGAGGGGGAGAAGAAGATCGAAAAGGAGTTAGTTGGATGCGATTGAGAATAATATTAGAACGTCGTGGAGGATTGGGTCTTGTGGAAATTTAGGATGAGGGTGGCTAACTCCAAATAGTCAGAAAAAAGGTAAAGTAGAAAAAGAAAAAAAAGTGTTTAAAAAAAAAAAATTATTTAAAATCTAAAATTAACCCAATAGGAAAACAAAAATGATTTAAATAGTATACGTTTATTCTTTATACAGGTATATGTTTTATGAATTATTGTAATAATTAATGCTATTTTTGTCATGCATACATTTTAAGGGAAGTGACTATCACAAACGGAAGCAGGTGTATAAATAAGGCGGAATTGCTTGTATCTACGATCTTGTTTCATTATCTAATTAAATCTAAATATGTTGGTAGCTACCCAACAGTACTGGCTTCCAGCAGATCCATCGTTTTGTGGAATATCGGAAGAAAATGTTATGAAACAAAAATTACATTCGAACATCACCGACGATTTAATATGTGATAATAATACACCGAAAATCGTTAATTTCCGTGATAAACATGTATAATATTAAATAGAATTTTTATTTAAATACGATTATCGACTGTTTATCAACATATCAATATAACTCCACCGAAATTATTGCTGGGTTATGTTACAAAATTATGTTACGATCTCAGTTGTCGAGCATTTAAGTACCTATAGTATAATTGATTTGATCAATTGTATAGTCTTTAAGATATTCCTTTAAGCTCTTCCGACAGACCTAATCTAACCGTATGACAAAAAAAATTCTTGGCAAATCTTGTACAAAATAAATTCATTCCAGAGTACCGACTACACACGTTCGTGTGCGTCGTATTGTATTTTAGGATCGTGTCTGCAAAGTTATGTTCGCGTTTTTACATATACATAATTTCTGCAATAGTTTTGAATCGATAAAATGTTTGACCGGCTATTATTTCTGACACCGCCGCCGCCGTTGTTGGCATCCAAGGACGTCTAGTTTTCACTATGTATATTACCTTTACTGTATTCAAAAATATTTTATTTATTAATGTATTATTTATTTTGTCGTTGATTTATCGGTTTTTATCTTGGTTACAACGTGTTTAGCGACAGTAATATTGTATGTAGGTACATAAATGATTGTATTTAATGTATAAAATTATTTTATTTATGACCTATTGTTGTATTTTTGTGTAGTACTCTAAATATTTTGAACACAGATCGCATATAGATGTAAGTCGTGTATGAAAACCATATCGTCGTTGGTACTCAAAAAATTCAATAATTGCTAATATAAACATAAAACTAGTACTCACCCATTTATATTATATACTTCTTTCCCCCCCCCCTCAAAAAAAAACGATTTAATTTTTATAACAATCCAATTTTAGATGAGGTTCATTGTAAGTTGTATTTAGTAGTAAAAAAAAAAAGAAGGTAAGCGTAATATTTTAGGTTAAATTTTAACGAAAATTATAAAAATTATAGAATTTCTAAACATATATAACCGAACTTCGCTCAGAATCGGTTTTTCGTTATTTTGGTTACATTGGTTTATTGTTGTTTATATTATAGCTATAAATTAAATAATTGTATGTATCCTACAAAATCCTACCTTCTCAACTTCTCACCTATAACCGTGGCAAACCCATATTAAATGTGACAATTAAAAAGCTTAACACGTTCTAAATCTTAGTCTAAATCGATACATCTTATTATCTATATTACGACAGGATAATATTAATTATTATAATGGTTTGTATAATAATTGTAATATAAGTATATCAATAAACAGATAATAAAATAACAATATAGATATCTAAAAAAAACCAATTATAATTTACAATGTGACGTGTCCGATTTGCCCGACCGTCAAGTGCGTTATTGCCGTTGTTTTATAATTGTTATGGAAAAGTACACAAAACCTAATGGTCATGTTGCGACGAGACCGCGGAACTACTTACTACCCATCACGATTTTGTGACTTAACACCTGAATTTTGTCTTGTGGGGGTTTGTGAGGATACACTGGTCTATCGGAACAAACTTCGAAATTTGGCGAAACTCAAATGAGAAATTCGATGCGTCATATGAACGGTTTTGATAGGAAAATGTGGAGCGAGTGGTGATAAATTTTATGGACCGTATAATCGTTAGTATGTGGCTACGTGGCTACGTGCTAATAAGGCAGGTCATATTATACTCGATGTTGTTTTTCACGTTTAAACCTCAGGACCACCTAATAAACAGTATATGTTTTTGTCTCTGGAAAAATAAAAATAAAAATATGAAATGAAATCACCTTACGGCTGTATCATAAGGCCCGCGAAATATTTATTTTATTTTTACATAAATGTATTAATTTTTTTCTAGTAACGTCAAGTCTTTGTGGAGGCCCGAGTACGGTGCTTATATGATCGAGGGCACGCCTGGAAAACCCTATGGCGGCCTGTTGGCTCATTTCAACATAGTCGAAGCCAATATGCGGTATCGCCGAGAAGAAGCGCAGCGGTTATTGGGCCCGGATGAAGTGCTAATGACCATTACGAATTTCCCTAGGTGGGTAGGATTTATATTCGAAGTCTGAATTATTATACTCGCCATATTTTATTAAAACACGGTCGGACCCATGTATATAATAAATCTATATATATATATATATATATATATATATATATATATATATATATAAATATGTATATACGTATATATATACACATACATGTATACATTTATATGAATCTACAAATACGATGAAAACTATTATTATTGTGCGTGCTGCACGACACATTCCGGGTGCGTCGGCGCCAGTGTCGGTGGGTGGAGAAATTTCGCGGGAGGCGCTCATTAGAGTCAGTCTCCCCTCCGTTCCCCGTAGCCGATGATCGGCGGAGACTTACGAAATATATTATTATCATTTTGTTTGAGAATTGTCCTCTATAGTTGTTAATATTCATCCCGGATTTCTTCGTCTATAATACACCACGTGCCTTCGTACATCCCTTCCACCAAACGAAACCGTCGTCTTATCGTGTCTTCTTCTCTCGGCACGGCCACCATATAATGTGCCCAATAAACGGTATGTCGCAATATTACGTGTGTAAAGTATAATATAATATTGTTCGGGTTAGGTAATATTGATGAAAAGTTTTTTGTCGGTGAATTTGCGGGGTTGTGGTGGAATACGGGTGTGGAGAATGTGAGAGACGTTAGAAAAGGCTATGCACTTCGGTGTTTTGGGATTGTAGTTTCAGATCGCCCAGACAGATATAACAAAATATGCACGAATGGGACGCATTTGTGTACGCAGGCTTGGATGTCCGGAATTCACGTGGCCCGTTGACGAACCGACACCCAAAGCCGGCGTTTCGCGTTCGTTGTTCATACCGGACTCGGCGATCTTTAATGGGCATCCGCGGTTCGCCACCCTAACCAGGAACATACGGCAGAGGAGAGGGGAACGAGTAGCCATAAACATTCCGAGTAAATATTTTAACACTTTTTGTTTTTCTCTTTAGATACCTACTCGTAATATTATTGTATAGGTTAAATTTAACAAACGACCAGAGAGAAAGTAACAGGTTTTTTTTTAGTATTATAAAAACGATTATTGGCATGTTATACAAAAATTATCTTGGTGGTCATAGTCGTCCTATATAAAAAAAAAAAAAAAAAAATCAAAAAATTAAATTTTTGTATTCAGAGTACAAAGTTCAAGTATTGTAATCCTGCACATTATACAATATAGAGATCGAATTTTGAACATTTCGCGCAATTTTTGGCTGGAATGTTATGTTTGACTAAAATATAGTTACCAGAAAAAAAAAAATGAACAAATACCCCCTTTTCACACTCAACAAGAGTAAAATCGAAATAAACGAGTTTGTTTTATTTTCATACATTACCGTGTTTTACGGCGGTTTTATTTTTGCATAATAATATGTTAAAAATATGAACAAATCGTTTCGCGAAATTTGTTTCTTCGTCTCTATTTGTGGTCATAATCGTCCAAATAGTTTGGAAACCGGATTTACGTGGTTATTTTTTTTTTTTATTTATTTAGCACACGAGATTCATGTTTATATTATCATTATAATAGTATTGACAATGTACTCGACGTAATTTTTCCCATTCTCGATGATACGGAATGTTGCCGTTCGCCGTGAATTATTTATCTTCGGCGGATTCGTACTGGTTGTAAATTACCATTTTAACAAAGCCACATGTGATCGGCGAATGCGCACACAGTATAAAATGCAGTGTGTTTCAAAACGATTCGTCCGATTTCGGTGGGCTATAGACACGGTTGGGTAGTATCTGAAATACGTAACTATCGTAAATACAATTGTATCTTATATCGCGATACAGTACTGAAAAGTATCGAGTATCTTGTTTTAAAATATTGAAATCAATGTATCATGTATCGAGTATCTAGATATTCACTTTGAAGTATTTCGCCCATTGGCAATCTGGGTAATATTTTCCTTTGACCTTCACCGCATTTTTAAGATAGTGTATGCGTGAACAGTTTTATTAATATTTCAATTTTAATATACTGAATACCTACATAGTATTTAAATACATAAAATGTAAATATTGCGTGTCTTGTATTGAAATACTTGTTACATACTTAGTTATTCATTTTCAAGTATCTTGCCCATCCCTACTATAAATCTCGAACACGTAGTTTGTAGTGAATGAATTACCGACCGTCTGATAGGGAATTTTCGTGTATTGCATTGAAGAATACATTAGAAGTGTTGTTAACGTTCCTTTTAAAAAGCAATTCGTTACCATTCCTCGTTCCTATTGCAAAAAAAGAACTCTTCCCAGTTCCTCGTTTCTTAAAAAAAAAAAAACTTTCTTTATTTAAGCTTCCTTTTTGATGAGCGAATTTTTTCTCCCTGAATGTGTTTTTAAACACTTTTCAAAGAAGACAAAAGAATTACAATATTTACTTTTCTGTTCTTAAAAATAAGGAAGTAATTCCTTAATTCGTTCTTCTAAAAAAGAATCAATTCCAGGAATCACTCCTTTAGGAACGCGTTTCTTAATAACACTGCAAATTGGTCTCTGTATTAAAGTCTACAGATTTAGAGAGTTACTATTCATCGACTCCATCGATCGTCGTCGTGCTCACGACGCGACCCTGACGAAAATTCAACCTTAACAGGAAAGTCGTATTATAAACGTTATCGACTTGATTACGGTCCACATACTTCGACGGATTTACGAGGATATTTAATGTAAAATATCTTCGTAAATCCGTCCAACAAGAAGGTATTAAACTTATCGTAACTTATAATCATTCAAATTTTACAATAAATATTATTATGATAATGATTATAATATTATATTTTTTATTATCTGATGAAATATTTTGAAAAGCCCCGTAAAACGTTTCCTGTCCGTGTGACCTTGTACCACCGCTGTCGTGGTTCTATCGAATGGTTTGACCCATCCGCCTGCCATGAAACAATATTATTATGATTGAATTTGGTACCTATGACCTACATTACAACGGGCGAAACGAGTTTTATAATTTTTAATTTTATTATGTTTGTTTTACAATATTATTATTCATTTACGGAGTATCTAAATTCCAATTATATTTTAAATATAGACATGAATATTAAAAAAATTTAAGTCAATTTACGTGTACATATATTGTATATATATATATATATATATATATATAAGTATAATAAATCCATGAAGAAAATCAAGAGTGAAATACATATTTATTCTTTATAGAATTTCCTAAAAACATTAAAATATTAGACTGGGAGTATAACATATATTTAGTTGATGTTTAGGTATTAGCTGATTTGGTAGGTAGAAAATCAGTTTGTGTCTAGATTTATAAGAGTTTATTTAGAAATTTAGTCGTTCAATTAGTTCTGGGAAATCTATAATACTGTTTAATAATTTTTAAAGAATTTAAATTTAATATTTCAAATCTTTTTTCCAGCTGTGAGATAGAAAAAAAACATATTGTAATCAAAAACGAGGAACTCTTTATATTTTACATTAAAAGCTTGAAAATCTTTAACAAAATTATTTTGAATTTGAGAGAGATCTTGATTTTGTGTTAGCAAATCGGTGTGCTATATCAGATTCACATTTTCCAGCTTAGAACGTAGAGAAATAATTATAATAATTTAGGAGCATGGGTATCGTGAAAGTAATATCTCCTGCTCCAGTGACGTGATGAGTAATAATTGATTTGCGGGCAAATAAAATTATCTATTCCACATCACCCTTAAAACAAATAGTTTAATTGGAAAACTAACTAGTAATTATATTCTACTGCATTTTGAATAATTTCCATTTATAATATTATCATATGTAATTATAATAAACAAATTTTTATAGGCAGAGCTACGGGGTATGCTGGGTATGCTTTAGAACCACTTTAAACATCTACTGTCCAAATTTTTCAATTTTAAAAAACTTATTTTTTATATACTATATGTATTTAAATTAATGCCTAGCCGAATTCAAAAATAAAATAATAAATAATAATTGTCTACAGTAATTTCGGGTATTGACGACATTTCATAAAAATAATGAACTAAATAAAACATTTTTCAAGTAAGTATTAAAATCACTGTATTTACTTATCCTAACAACTAAATTGATTTTTAAAATAAATCGCCTATATTATAGTTTATAGTAGGGATAGGCTGTTATCACTTTTTACTGATATCCGATATGTTCTGATATAAACTCGATACCCGATATTTGAAATTAAAAACCACGAGTTAATATTGAAATTAACAGATATATTGGCTGTCAACCCGATTTATTAATACTGTTTTTTATAATCCAAAGACATAATAGACATTTTTCTTAGTAAATATCAGGTCAAATATCAGTTTTGTAAAAACCCGACACCACCGATATCGACTGATGTCAAGTATTATTTTTTTCAATTGTATAATTGCACTTTATTTGAATACTTGTCACAATCAGAAACTTCAAAAGTGCTTTTTTTATAACATTTTGAATTTAGTTGATACTTTTTGAAAATAATTTTAAACTTTTTATTTTGCTCTGAATAATGGGGAAAGATTAAAAATGTCGTACTAAGAAATTAGAATCAGACGGTCAACTAAATAGAGATCAAGTGGCTACTATGGTGTATTTGATCTGCTGGGTTGTGCGTAGCCATTATTTGAAAAATGGTCGACAGAAGGGTCTATACGCTTACGTTGTGAACCATTAGTATTATTTTTCGATTTTTGATTTGCATTAAGGCTTTTTACTTAAATATTGGGTAGTAACGTGGCAACTTATATTTGATTTGTGGGCAAAGACAAATGTTTTATAAATTCAATACTAATATCTACCCCTCTAAACAAATTAGTTCATTGATCTGTGGACGCTAACTCTATGCTATTGCATTTTGAATACAAGATAGTACTCAAGTGATATTTAAATTTAAGTGGTTTAGGTATTAAATGACTTGTTAAAACTCTTATTGCATTAACAATAATATTTATTATCTTGTCGCATATTATAATTATTGTTTATTGTACATATTATAGGGTATTGTAGACAGTATATTTTATAAGTAATTCAATAATCTACAATATAATAGTCATCACATCATGCTGTAGTTGTTAGCGAGTTATGCATAGTTAATTTAATAATATGCACTCGAAAAAAAATCGGGTTTAAAGAAATAGTGATATAATTATTTGATCAAATTGATCTTTAATGGTTTCTTTATCATTTGTTTTGGGCTACTATTATACAAAAATATGAATTTTTTTTATTTATTATTTATTTGTATTTATTTTATTTTATTAAAATATAGTTTTCTTTATCAATTTATTGTGATATATAATTGAAAATTCTGATTATAAAAATGCAATTACTTTTTATAGGCTGAAAAAGAGACACTGTTGATATAAGAACAGTTAAAAGTTACATTCTTTGGAATAATGTTAATTTAAAATGGACAAAACATTATATACTGAAGTGTTTTCAAATATACTGTTTATTGTGAGAACATTTATATTGAGAATTATTGTTAAATTTGACTGAGAGTTAGGTAACATCAATTGGACATATTAATATTAAACAGTCTCAACTTTTAATTGTCATTAAAAATATGACCTATCGGTTATTTTTAATATTAATATGTTATGGATTTTTATTCCCAAGGTTACGTATTAAATTCATCTAAAACATGCACGCCAGTTAATTGAAAATAATTTATATGAAGCTTTTTTGTTTATTGCATTCATATTTAATATGGGTTTGTCACAGTTGTAGCTGGGAAGTTTGTAAGTTAGGATATATAGAGTTATTTAATTTATATCTGTACACAACAATGAACCATTTCTAATGAAAAACTATTCTAAGCGAAGTTCGGTTGTACATGTTTTAAATGCAGTAATTTATACAACTTTGTAAAAATTTGATCAATGAATATGTATAAAAAAAAAAAACTACTACATTACTTTCAACTTTTTTGTCATCACTAAGTTAGATTTAGGGTTACTATTAGGTGCAAGTAACAGGTATATCGTTTTTCTTTTGATGTTTTCAACAATATTTATAGCTCAACATTTTATTCATGGCAATGTATTCTCTATTTACCCCACTCATCTTTATTGGTATTTTGTTATGCATGTTATTCTTATCTTTGATATTAGTTCCCAAGTATTTGTAACTTACTTAAAAAATATATCGCCCTACTTTTAGGTTTGACTTGTTGATGACATGACGTCTGGATTTAGTTTTATTTTTTTTACTCTAAGGTTTCTTTTTCTACTAGAATTTATTAGGTTTTTCGTGGGGCTTATTATTTCGTTTTTAGTATCTACCAGTATAATAATGTTATCTGCATAGGATATCATGATAGTTTTTCTGTTCAATTTCATTTAATGACTTATTACTGTGATTTTGATTACTTTTTCCAGTGCAAGATTAAAAAGTTTGGGAGATAGAACATACCCTTATTTTAGTCCAGATTTCACTTTAAACTAGTTGGACAGTTCTCCTCAGTATCAGACTTTACTGTAGGTGTTACTTACTAGTTCGAGTTATAAATTTTAATAATTTGAACAAGCTTTTCGGGTGTCCTGAAGTTTATCATGGCTATCCTGTTCAGTATTGGTCAAATGATTGTCATATTTATGTTTTGAAATAAGCTTATTGTTCCATGCCCATTTGATTGGTTTCCGTATTTGAGATAGTAGAAGTGTTCTTGCAATAGCTTAAGCAGTTCTAAATTTACTTTATCCTCCTTTCATGTTTTGTAGTTCTTTAATGAGTTAATTATATCTTAGATTTCTTCAATATCAGGCTCCTTGAGTTCTCTAGTTCTAGTGTATGATATACTTTTCCAATGTCTAAGAATCTGGGATTTTTTTTTAATATTATTTGTCACTTTTTTCTCTGGATCTTTTTTGTCAAATTGTATGCTAGTTTTCTTGCTTTTTTATATATTCGTTTACTAATTAAGGATTAAACAAAGTACTCAGCCTATGGCTATGAAAATGCCATGCATTCTTAATATTTGGCATAGTTCAGAGTATATATTGGCTTATTGCTGAAATTAAATATAGATGGAATAATGAAAGGTTTTGTTTAAAAATTATAGGTATTAATGTGATATAATGAATTTATAATTTATTTTTGATTTACAGTTTTTATCGATAAAAACACACAAATTCCGTTCAAAGAAGATTTGATTAGTGTTGGTGGAGACACAGATAGTATAAATGCAGCATTGCCTAATCATGTATATATGGATGCCATGGCTTTCGGTATGGGATGTTGCTGTCTACAGATGACGTTTCAGGTATTATATTGTCTGAATAGTTTAGAAACAATATTGAGAAACTCATTCGATAATAATTATTATTGTTATGTTTCAGGCATGTTGTATTAAAGAAGCACGAACTCTTTATGACCAACTGACTCCCTTGTGTCCAATTTTGGTAAACATGAGATTATATAATTTAAATTTTCAAAATAAATCACATAGGTCATAAAGATAATTGAATGTTTTTTTTTTTTTTAGTTGGCTTTGACTGCAGCTTCTCCTATTTTTCGAGGGTACTTAACAGATGTGGATTGCCGTTGGAATGTCATATCTTGTTCTGTGGATTGTCGTACACGTCAAGAAAGAGGATTAGAGCCATTGACTACAGAAAAATTTGTTATACCCAAATCACGTTATGATTCTACTACTCTATACCTTTCGAGTGAAGGCGAAAAGTAACAAACTAAATAATTATTATTTCGCTATAATGCCTTAATGATTCTTAAATCAATTTATTATATTTTAAAATGTACATGTAGATTTAACGATGTACCTTTAGTATATGATGAACAAATCTATAATAAACTTAAAAATGCCAACATTGACCATCAAATGGCTCAACATGTAGCACACCTATTTATCAGAGACACTGTATCTCTATTTAATGAAAAAGTGCATCAAGATGATACTGTTGAAATGGATCATTTTGAAGTATGTTTTTATATTTTGTGTTCAATTTTATAGAATAAAGTTAATTGATTTTGTATTCTTTAAGAACATACAATCTACTAATTGGCAGACAATGAGATTTAAACCTCCCCCGCCCAAGTCCACTATTGGTTGGCGTGTTGAATTTAGGCCATGTGAGGTACAGTTGACAGACTTTGAAAACGCTGCAATTGTATGCTTTGTTGTTCTACTTACCAGGGTTATTTTGTCATATCAATTAAATTTTATCATTCCCATCAGTAAAGTATGTTTTGATTGCTATTAATTATTAAAAAGACAAAAATGTTACGTTATTGTACAAGTACAACTTATAGGTTGATGAAAACATGTCAAAAGCTCAAAAACGATCAGCTGCTTTAACCGAAAAGTTCTGGTTTCGTAAGAATATAACATCGGCATTTAAAGCTGCAGGAGCTAATACAACACTTAATAATGATGCCGTTTACACGCCAATGTCTATAGACGAAATCATCAATGGAAAAGTAAAATATTACTTCTTATCATTCTTTGTTTTTGAATAATTAAACTTGTATGTGGTTAATTATTATTGTAAACAATTATCATAATAAAACTGATTATTTACAGACTGGAGAATTTCCTGGTCTCATTCCACTGATTCACAGTTACCTATCTAGTATGGACATAGACGCGGATACTCATTGTACTATTCGAAAATACTTAAAACTAATTTCAAGGCGAGCATCTGGTCAGATCAACACAACTGCTAGTTGGATTCGTCGGTTTGTCCAAGAACATCCAGCATATAAGTATAATGATACTATAATTATTATTTTTGTAATTAAATCTGAGAATATAGCGGTTTATTACAATTTTTATTTCTTTATAGACATGACTCTGTTGTTAATGATGAAATAAATTACGACCTTTTAATCACTGTTGACGGTATTCAATCTGGTCGCATTTCTTGTCCACAACTTCATGGGGATTGTTTGTTAGGTGTTTCAAAAACAAAGGAAACAATACCACCAGCTCTACAGAAGGTATATTCTTGTACTCCATAAAAATATGTTATTATATTCTTCTAATGTTATAATTTTTTTGTATTATTTAAATACCATCATACAATACATATTTCTTAACATTATATATATATATATATATTTATTTATATTAAATTTGTATTGTATAATTTAATAAATAAATTTAAAAGAAATAATATACCAGATATTCAATAGGGAATTTTGGGAATTAAGAATAGCTCACATAACTATATTATATATTATATTTTTTAAACTGTTTATTATTTTAATTCTATTGTTTACTTATGAAAATAAAACATATTGTTTGATACACTGTCATCATTAAAAAATAACTTGTTTTTGGTTTTTTCAAATGAGCCAATTTCTTCGTCTGAATAACTGTTTTCTTATGATGATTTTATATTATTACTATTTTAGATATATATTCAATTTCCCCTTTATCTTTCAAACTTCTCACCTATAACAGTGGCTATAACCTATAACACATTATGTGAAGTATGTCTACTTTTTTTTTTCGTTCAATATACTGATACGGGCAAAACAAAATGGTATAAAAGAAAGAAAAGACTAAAAAATTAACATGGGTAACCCTGGTGCATAGTACAGCTAGTAAAAAAATGTTGAAAATCAAAATGTCTTAGTTTTGTTTTTGCAAGCTTTAATATGGTGTGCCCAATTAGACTTATTTAATGTCCCTTATTGATTGTCCACATAAATTAATTTTTAAATTTAACAATTTAATTGAAATTGAAATTTCTTATTATATTAGTAATACAAATAAAAAGTACACAACATTTCTAATAACACTCAAATTCAACCACGAATCATAATTATACTATTTAAACTTTAAATGAGTTTACATAGTTATATTCTTTAATATTGCTATTTTGTTAGATGTCTAAAATTATGTATAAAAAAAAAAAAAAATAAAAAAAATTGGTTTTTACGAAATAATATAACAAATAATTTATATTAATTTAGTTAATTTTAAGCCTATGTTAGTTATGTAATTGTCATAAATATCTCTTTGTATTTTGGAACAAGGAAGTATGATACTGACTGAATGTCGTGACAATGCAGTGTCCCACCACTCTTTAATTCGACTTTCCACATGAGGGATACTCATTATATTTTCATATTCTTATAAAAATATTCACTGGTTAAACCCATGGGCCATATTAACCAAAGATTGATACCAAATTTGATGATATAATTTGATCACTGTATGTTTTATAATATAATATAAATATAGTAATGTGTAGTGTTTATTAGACATTAGTACATAATAGAGTGTAATGACTAATTGGTACATAAAAACAAAAAAAATAAGCATCTTTGTAAAACTATAAGATTCTTTGCTCCACTCAGAATGTAATATTGTTTCTTAAAAAATTTTGAAAATAGCCATTTGTAAAATAGATTTTTAGAAAATTGTATGGTAGTTGATACTTTTGTTAAAGTATGATCTTTTATTTTCCATGATTTTTTGAAAATTTGATTATTTTTTTTTTCTACTAAATTATTAGGTTATTTTTTTTGTTTTATAGTAACTGAATAAATATTGTAATAGAATAACCACAATAGGTAATATTCACATTTGTAACAACTTCAAAAAATCATAGAAAATAAAAGACCATATTTTAACAAAAGTTTCAACCATCAAAAATTTTCTAAAAACCTATCATACAAAATGACTATTTTGAATTTAAAAAAAAAAAATTATAATCAAATTTAAAATTTTTTAATTTAAGTCCCCCTCCCTCTAAAAAAAATGTTCATATATAAACTGTATTGCAGAGGCATACTAATTATTTAAAAAAAAATGACGTCCTAGGATTATGAGGATGGGTGCAGCCAATGTTGTAGATAATTTAATGTATACTTGTGTATACATTTAATGTATAAACTATTGCTTTCCAAAAAAACGATTTTAAGCGGAGTTCAGTTGATAGCGATGCTTTGTCAACAATATGTATGTCATTTTATAGTAAAATAATTAAATAGGCTTTATATATTTTCGATAATAATATTTTGTTTAATGTTTTACCAATTTTTCTAGTTTTCCCACATTTTCCCCGGTTTTTTACATTTGATAGAAAACCCCTGAGAAAATCGAAAAATTACCTTTCTAAAGTACCTTAATAGTGAAATTTCCTTTTAGAAATATTGTTTTAAATTAGAGCAAAAATCGTGATATTTTAGTAATAAATTTCGTACATATTCCTGTTTTTTTTTTTTTTCGAATTTGATGAGAAAACTCTTGAGAAAATCGAAAAAATTACTCCCTTTAGGAACCAACCCACACCAATTTTCTTTCAGAGAAAATTGCTACACTTAAAAATCTGAGCAGGTCTTCTGGTAGAAAAGTTGTTCACAGATTAAAAAAAAAATAAATAAAAAAATACATATCTTTATAAAACTATAAGCTTTTTCGTTCCACTCAGATTCTAAAATATATATCAAAAACATTCAATAGAACAAAAGATATTTCAAGTGGCGGATCATTGTGGAGACACTCTGTATATATTGAAGAGTTAAACGAATTGCAATTATACTTGTTAAGGAACAGTTCTACTAAAGTGTATTTACAGACCAATTTAACAGCTGAAAACAATATATATATATACACATATAGGAATGGACATTTAATACCTACTATAGCTTAAACTAGTTATATTTTACAACTTTCAAAGTTTCAAACCCATATAATATAATGTACACACTGAGATCAACATAACGTAAGATACTCATTATCTTAGAAAGTAGGTATCTATTAACAATTTTCGAAAATTTATTTTTAGATTACTTAAGAAATAGGTAGTTCTAAAATGTTACATTACACTTTTTTTTTTGTCATTTTTATTTTTGAAGGCGAAACCACTATATCTACTTTTAGTTTTCAAAAAAGCAATGTTGATACTAAAATGTGATACTAAATTTCTGTCAACCCATTGACGATGGAATTTTTATTTTTCGGTATAGGTACACTGCTTCAAAATTGTATTTGCTACATTAATTAAAATATCTAATATTGGAAAAGTAATCATTTTAATAGAATACAGTTGTTTGATAAAACATTAAGTTATTTTATAATAAAAAATGAAATCTGACCAAATTTATAATTGATGTAATTTAGTTGGGCCAGTGAATTTTAAGATGGAACACTTAGCCACTCGCCCGCCTTTACTTCGCTGCTTTGTTATTTTCAGAACATTAGTGTAGATTTCCGTCTCAGTTTCGTTAACGTCTTTCTCGTTGTCTATTATTTTAGCTCTACTCTAACACTACTTTCCTAGTGTAGTCCAAAGTCGACTATTATAAGTGATAAATAAAAATCTAGAGTAATAATTGTAAATCGATTTTAATTTAAACAATTAAATAAGTACAGCAAGTTAAGGAGATGCTTACTGAATCTTTGCAGACCTATTGCTGGAAGTCTCTATAGGATGTAAATTATTAGGATATCACTGCACCACTAAACAAGACTCGTTTAATTTTGCGGTGCCACAACCTCCTCCTTTGTAATCGAGTTACTCAACAATATGCTTGCTGTGCTCTATTGAATAAAAATATATAACATTTCCTTAAAAGTAGAAATATTGCTTTTTTACGCGTAATGTGTTTCTTGATATCAATTTATTAAGTTAATTAAGTGAATTGAAACCATCTAGAGAACTAACATAATTAAAGTAATTTGGTGATCTAAACGTAATGCCTTTTGCCGTAGATAATTTATAATTCACGCATTGTTGTCCTATTATAAAATATTCGTTTGATAACTATGAACTAATAAGTAGGTAACAGCATCACACGTGTTTACTGGAGTACATAGTAGGTAGGTACACTATACGTATAATATATTAGGCATATTCGGTTCTTAGAATAGGAACTAGCAGAGTTTGTAACCGTAACACATTACCAATAAAAAGAGTTGATTCTGAAAATGGATGTGCCACCGTTGTAGGTGGGAAGTTGAGAAATCAGGCTACATATAAAGTTTATTAATTAATAACTATAATAAATTAACGATAAACCGATAAACGATAATTGTTAACGAAAAACGATACTGAATGATGTATGTTAAATATGTTTTGAAATGCCGTCATTTTTACGATTTTTATAAAAATTTAATTTTAAAAGGCTTATACAATTTTTTTTAGGAGTTTTTCATCAAATGTGAAAAACTTAAAAAAAAAAAACAAGAAAATGTATGAAATATATTACTAAAAAATTACGATTTAATTTTTTTGTGCACAATTTTTTTATCAGTAATTTTGCCTCGATTCATAATGATGGCTAATTTTCTAAAAGGTACTTTAAGGAAGTTATTTTTTATTTTTCCAAGAGTTTTCCAAGCAAATGTGAAAAACAGGGATAAAACATGGGAAAACCAAGATAAACGTAGGAAACTGGGAAAATCGGTACAATATAAAACAAATATTATTAAAGAAAATTAATTGAGCCTATTTAATTATTTTACTTTAATATGACATATATATTGTTGACAATGCATCACTATCAATTAAACTCTGATCAGAATCGTTTTTTCGTTAGCAATGATTTATCGTTGCTTATAAGTATGCATTAAATTACCTATAATAGTGGCTGCACCCGTTCCCATTATATATATATATGTCGTATCCACTTAGTGTAATCGTATTTTTCATGAAATGGATATTCATTTCATGAACTACGATCATAACGTGCAAGTCAAATTTTAGTTCATGGAACGGACATATATTTTATCCATTTCATGAAATTGAAACTCTTATTTTGCACTTTGTGTAATATTTTAAATTAATTACATCAATAGGTAACTTTTCGTGAAATCGAAATAATAACATTGATACTGGTACGTATCGCACTATATTTATTATTAATAAATTGTAAAGATGAGATATCGACCGTTCAGCAGATAAATTTTAGTCGATAAAATATATATTTAATCAAAATTCAATTGGATCAATTGTATAAGTGTGATACGACCAAGGCATTCTGGAAAATCTGTATATTATATTATTTTTATATGATGCCAGTACGTCCTCTGACTTGAAGCGAGCCGTATATTAGCTTTAAAATGGAATTTAATTCATTTTCTGAATTTTATGAACAGTTAAATGCGTACTACGTAGACAAGCCTGGGAAAAAGCCACCTACTAAAATTGACGTTCAATTAATGATTGAATACATTTTAGCAGCAAAAGTAAAAATGTAAGTAATCGTTAAAATATACAAAATATTAGTAAATAAAAATTATATATTAAGACACTTCAAATAAAATTATTACAATCAGCCATCAGGGCTTGTCTTACAAACAAGTAACATAGCAAATTTACGCTCAGCAGTTCACGTTTTATTCCGTTGGATTAAAAATTAGATAATAAATATTTAAATAATATTATTTAATATTTACATGAAATATTTATTTATAATTTGAAATTTATCTGCTGAACGATCGATATCTCATCTTTACAATTTATTAATAATAAATAAAGTACGGTGCGATACGTACCAGTATCAATGTTATTATTTTGATTTCACGAAAAGTTACCTATTGATGTAATTAATTTAAAATATTACACAAAGTGTAAATTAAGAGTTTCAATTTCATGAAATGGATAAAATATATGTCCGTTTCATGAACTAAAATTTGACTTACACGTTATGATCGTAGTTCATGAAATGAACATCCATTTCATGAAAAATACGATTACACTAAGTGGATACGACATATATATTATCCTAAGACGTCTTTTTTGATTACCAAGATTACCTCGTATTTAATCTTTATTTCTGATCGGCCAAACAATTTTATCCGCATAAAATCGTAACTATGAATTAAATAATTATTATTCAAATTATAATTTTTTTGAATTGTAAACTGTTAATCAGCTTTTTACACGCGTCTGTCTCAATACAAACGCAATAATGCAATATATGTGATAGTTTCTAATTTGTGTGGAAAATTTGAAAAAAAAAAACAAAACAAAACGGTAGTTTTGCTTTTGTACATAAAACCAATAGTACCCACTGAATACACACATGTCTCATCGTCGTAATAATGATTATTATTGTTCTTCTTAAGGGGAACTATAAAATATAAATTGCCAACGAGTACGCATTTAATGGCTCGTTTTCGTTGGGTTTTGTTCCGATTTTTGGGCCGTACAGTACTACGAATTCATGATTATAATAATAATAATAATAATAATAATAATAGAAAACACCATAGTGGTGACGACTACTGCTATTATGTCTGAAACGACTAAAATGAGTTTAACATATAAGTATTAAATGAAAAGACAGTCGTAATTACAAATTATCAGGTGTATACGGCACAAGTAGATTATTATTGCTTTAACTGATTGTTTCAATAGTCACACACACATGTTGAATTTTAGAGTATGAGTGGAGCGAAGAAATTTACGATTTTACAAAAATGTTTATTTTTCTTTTGCTTTTGTTTCTTTTTTATTTGTGCGCAACTTTTCTACCAGAAGACTCGCTCAGATTTGTATGTGTAGCGACTCTTCTGAAAGGAAATCTATATAGGGAGGTATTTTATTGTTTCGATTTTCCCAAGAGTTTTACCAGCAATTGTGAAAAACCGGGAAAAACGAAGGGGAAACTGGGAAAATCGGTACAACATTAAACAAATATTATTATAGAAAATATATAAAGCCTATTTAATTATTTTACTATAAAATCATATACATATTGTTGATAATGCATCATTATCAACTGAACTTGAATCGCTCAGAATCGTTTTTTCGTAAGCAATAGTTTATCGTTGCTTACAAGTGTACATTAAATTATCTATAACAGTGGCTGCACACGTCCCCATTATCTTTGGACGTTTTTTTTTTATTAGCTAGTTACAAATTACCTTCTATGCGTGAATGTGTACCGTACGAGTAGGTATATATCTTATCCTTGATATTTATACTTTTGGAGATTTCTACAAATTTTATATTCTTAGTACAGTAAAGAAGCTACATTAATAGTTTTACTAAAAAAGTAACTTGCTTTTTTTTTCTTTCGGAGTTATTAATGGTGGTAAAACAAAACATTATAAAATAACACCAAGCTTAGAAAATGTAACGACTCACTTAACTACCAGAAAATCATAGGTCATTTCCAATTGAACGGTCCCTGTCCGGGTGCCAATGACAACGGTTCGCTTTACCGTCAGAATGGGGGAGCTTTATTTTCTTTGGTTTTTCTTCTATATTCACAGACAAAGCGATAAACGTCGATGTTGGGTTTACAATAGTTATTTATTTGCTTACAACATAAAACTATAAATTTATATAATATTATAAATAAGTTGAAAATATAAAAGTGTTAATTGGATAAAAATATCTAATGTCAAAATTGAAAAATTTAAATTATTTTAGTTAATTTAATTTTCGTTTTTTTTCAATATAAAAGTATTTAAATTAAATTGGCATGGAGTACATGAGGTAAAAAATAAATAAATACTACTTCAAAACAATTTTATTATTCAACCTTCTTTAAATTTTCTGCGAAATATACAAATTGGTCCGGTAGTTCAAAAATCATTTATTGTGCATAGTATTTTCCTAGTTATTGTTGGATGTGGCTGAAAATTATTTTGATTTTCAAAATTGCTTATTTCAAATAAAACAGCTAAATCGTCAAAATTAGTTATAGTTAAATACATAGATTATATGTTATACATAAGTTGAAACAGTGCGATAGTAATATGGTTTAAATTAATTATGAAAAAAGAAAATTCAAATAATGATACCGACAAGTAAAAAGTTGATAGTACATAATTTTGTCATTGTCGAATGAGATTGATTTAGTGTTGTTACACACATTTTGAAGGGGTAATGCATTTTTGTACGATTGTCAGCCGTGCGAGATTTCAACATAAGAACTGTCGAATCGAACTCGACAACATCTAATTGACGTATACGCCAAAAAGATAGCTCTAATCGAAATGAATTGACCCTCCGTCACACGGTTACGCTGAGTGACTATAATAATTTTGTCGAATCGCTCAAGATCAGTGTTACCGCTATAATGTGGCGACCGGAGGTGAATGCATAGCGCTCACGTATCGACAGAGCAAATCGACTCATGAGTACTGATGAGTATAGGGGAACATACTCGATTTACTCAATAAATTACAGTCGGTATTTATGCGTGTCCAGCTGGTCAGATACCGGCCGACTGGCCGACATTTGGCTGTTTATTCCATTATTGGTCCGCATGGTATGGCACAATACTTCCGGGTACCCTCCTTTATATTATGATGGTACGCAGGAAAACAATGGCGTTTTACACAATCGTTACGTGGTTTTCAGTTATCGCTTTCTTCGCATTGTAGAGCATTGAACGGGCATTACCAATATCTCGTGGTACTTAATTTCCTAAATATTATTATACATAACTCCGGCGTACGAAAGAGTTACAAAATCTTGACTTTACGATTTTACGAGACTAATGCAATGTTATTATTGGTATTGTCTTTCGTGGACTCCTAATTCAATACCTATAGGTAATGTTGGCCAAACTATAGTTTGGGTAATAAACATATTGTCTGGCGGCCGTGTAAATGTACAATATTTAACAATAATTGTATGTACATTGTACCGACACATAACACTGTACATAGAGCTGCTGAACCAGACGAAGTGTGCCATTATTGTAATATACTCGTAATAATGTGTTGGACGTTCTAAAACCAAATAGGTATGCCAATTGGCAATTAATTACAATACTCTATCTGTAACGCGCATAACAATTTTCAACTGCAATGATCATTATTATTACGATTATTACTCCGAAATTATCATTGCAGCGAACGAAAATAATAATATAATAGCGTGCTTGTTCGTGTGGAAGTACGTTGTGTTTAATGTACTAGAAATGCCACGACCCATTATGCCTACTGCTCTGAAAAATCGGTACCTACTCACCGAGTAAAAGTCTTAAATCTTAAGTGGGTTGGAACACGCCTATTTTTCATACGTTTTATAAGTAGTGAGAAATTAGACATGTACTTCCCAAAGTCCGATTTTAATTTTTAAAGTATGTATGAATTTTTTGAATAATTTTCTAGGTTATTTATAGGAAGTTGATTTTCAAATTTAACTTTTGAAGACTTCTGGATTTAAGAATTTATTTTTGAAAATTTCACGAAGTAACTAAATTATATTCGATTCGTTTTGGATGAACTAAATTTTAAATCGAAAAATCGACTTTTTAAATACCTAACCTAGACAATTTGATAATAAATCCTAAATACTTTAAAAAATTTAAATCAGTTATCGGAAAGTACCTTTGTCCAATTTTCCAGCGTTTTGCTGATCTAAAACGTATATTTGTTTTTAAAAATGGCTCTAACCCCTAAATAATCATCGGGCCTTAATACCCCCTTAATATCCCATTAACCCCTTAATAGTAAAAGATCATTTTTATAATTTTCCAAAATTTGAGGAAATTTGGATAACAGTTATTAATTACTCCTTAAAACAGTTATTAATCATCATTGGTTTTCAACAAGAATATATTTCTTATATATCTAGAGTTTAGACTTTTAAAAGATACTATTTAAAAGTATTTTAATACAAATAAAGATAATATGTTATAATGTAAGAAATTACCGAGAAAAACCGACAAGAAAAAACCGGTTTTTCCCGAAAATTGGAGGATACACAAATTTTAAAAATGACTTGGCAAATTTTAGCAAATTATTTGCAAAATAATAACGTAGGTTTGAAGTCTGTAGCACGGAGTGGTGGAGCCAACTTTACGAACATGGATCAATGTTACGATAAAAGTTGTCCAGGGAGGGTTTTCTAAGTCATATGGATCAATTTACCGTAGTTGAAGGTGAGCACTATATATATGAGGTATTTATTAATACAAATTAAGAAGACTGGTTGGTTTACATATATTATACATTATCTTGTATCTTAGTTAGGCCCGAGCAGAGAAGTGACCATGTAAAGTAATTAATGTCTAGTAGGTATAAGTAATTAATTTATAATATTGTAAGTATAATTTACTATCAGTATATGTAACGAATGTTACACGATTTAGGAGATAGTAGTGAGGAGACGAGAATATAATGTTTACATTTATTCCTCAAATGATTAAGCAAAATATGTGTATAAATACTAATTACTTGTGTGCATATTTTATTGAGAAGATCTATTTTCGATGTGTACAATTTTGTTCAACTTTATAATATGAAAAATACCAATTTTACGGTATTATGATAATATTTAAACTTTTAATGTCTACTACCTACTGTATAATATGTATACATATGTTAAACGAATATTTAATATATTTTTATCCGGTAAAGCTTTTAAAAAAAAAAAAAAGTTCTTTGCTTATCCCGAGATATTGCTATATAATATTATATTTCAATATCTTTTGGTTTTCCATAAAAAAAACCTTTTTCATTTTCCATCAATTTAAACGTTAGTAGGTATACATAATCCTATTTATTTCCTTTTTTTTTTCTGGCACCGCACAGGTATCTCGTTAACGATTCACCAATGAAATTTAATCTCGAACAGCAAACGCTGCATGAACACCGTCAACTATTAGTGATTAGTGAAGATGGAGATTCCATTACCAAGCGTATAATATTATGCTTACAGGATAATTTATATTTTATAACATATAGGTATAATATTATATTTTATTTTAACGTTAAAAATCAAGAAGAACGATACCTAAACATTGTACTTGTTATTAATGAGCTATCGCTTAAAATAGCAAGGCCACATATACGAACGATTTAAAGTAAAATAATTAATATAAAAAGCTGTCCTAAGATAATGGAAATAGGTGTAGTCATTGTTAAATCTAATTTAATGTATATAGGTAAGCAACGATAAACCATTGTTAACGAAAGAATGATTCTGAGCGGAGTTCAGTTGATAGTGTTGCTTTGTCAACAAAATATCTGTTAAAATAATTACATACCTATGCATTATATATTTTTTTGAATAATATTTGTTTAATATTGTATTTATTTTCCAGTTTTTCTTTTGTTTTTCTTGGTTTTTCCCATGTGTTAAGAAAAATTGAGAAAATCACAAAATTACCTCCTTAAAGTACCTCCGCAGTCCAATTGCCTATAAGAAAAAGTGCTATCATGGAAATCGGAGCAAAATTTCTGGTAGAAAAGTTATCCACAGAAAAAAAACACCATTATAAAACTATAAGTTCCTTGGCTTCACTCAAAATCTAAAAGAGCTAATACTGGGGACGGGTGTGCCACTTTTATAGATGGGAAACTGGAAAGGTAGGATACAAAAACTTATTTAATTTATAATAAAATAATAAAGTAAAATCGAAATTATTAAAATGGTTTATACTTGTAAATAAATAAAGTAAGTAATAAACCCGATGATGAATTTTTATTTGAATCCGATCGTTATATTACACTTATCATAATACTTCAGGCGACGCATTCATTCATTTATTTATTTTATTTTTATGTATACATTTTTTATTTATATATTTATTTACTGTATTTATTTACTTTATTTATTTAATTGATATTTGTAAGCAACGATAAATCATTGATAACAAAAAACGATTCAGTTATACATGTTTTGAAAGGACGTAATATTTTTGCTTTTTGTCAAAATTCAATTTTAAAACTCTTATAAAAAAATATACTACATTAAACTCAATTTTAGATTTTCAGCGGAGCGAGAAATGTATTGGTTTTACAATGATGTTTGTTTTTGTATTATTTTTTTTTTGTGGACAACTTTTCTACCAGAAATGTTGCTTCCATTTACAGATAGAAGAAAAACCGTTCCGAATTTAATACACTGGTATCTATACCAAATTATACATCACAATATTATAATTTACATTATAATATTATACAGTCTCAAAACTGACTATAAAGATGAGCTATAATAAGCGGCCGTGAAGTTAACTGCCGATTTTGTTGTAGGGATTCTAAAACTGTGCTAATATTTAGAAACCTCTTTATAACTTTAAATAACAGACATTCAAAAATGTGCAACCTTGGCCTTCGTCGCCAAAATAAACGTTCTAAAATCATTTTTTGAAAATTGGCCCGTTACAATAATAGAACTACTATCGCTTTCCCATCAAGGCACCATTTTACAACCAAACCATGTGTGGTGTTTAAATTTAGCCTTTAGGAGCACTTTTCCAAAAATGTATATAAATTAAACCACGTTCCAACAAATGATAGGACCTATTCAACAAAAACTGTTGTTTAAGTTATACGCTTAACGGCACAAAGCTCTCCTAATTTGAAGTTTTGTCGCATGTATCGTGATACATGATTATTGTGCCACACAACAAACTTTGCCTCGAAAACCCAGCTTCTATATAACTAAGCGAATTATTAAAAATTTGAGTCGCAACTATAATAATTTACTATAGGAAATTACATTTAATTATTGTACGAGTAAATATATATTTGGGATACGTAAACGGCTTTGAGAAGATATATTTCAAAGTTCAAGTACCTATAAAAACAATCGTGAATCGACCACACTTAAATATTTAAAGTTTTTTCAACCTTAACGAGATGTTTATTTAGCTAGTAGGTACAGTTAAATATCTAAACTTTGAAATTTCAATTCACGGTACAAAATTGGTTTTACATTTTTGACGAAAAGTTTTAATTTTGTGAAGTGATAAATAATTCCTGACATAAATGTTGCTAAATATTTCCTTAAGTCCGTCGTCTATACAAAAATGCAGGGAAATGATTCTCCGAAATATTTTCGTAGCAAAACTCATTAAAAATAATATACATTTTAGGTTGCTATTAGTTGATAGGGCAAATATTGCCACAAGTACGAAGTCGATAGGACAAAGTTAGGGGTTTTGCAAAGTTGGTCTCCCCTGTTTTGAAATGTTAATTTTGGTGACGAAGGTCTAAGTTGCATATATTTTAATGTTGGTTGCTTAAAATTGCATAAAGATTGTTATATATCGGCGTAGTTTTAGAGTCCCTACGATAAAGTCGAGGAGGGGGGCAACTTTCGTTTAATATATAGCAGTTATATTAATATAGGTATAAAATATTGTATTGGGCACTATAAGTTTTCATAATTTTTTTAAAAATTCGATCAGGTGCATTTAGCTAAATGTTTAAATTAATATTAGTTGTAAAAATGATTAGTTAATAACTAAAGGATAACTGAACAAACATTTTAAAACTTAAGTAGAAATATAAAGAAACAAATCAAACCCGACTCATCACAGTAAATTTTAATTATTATGAACATTTACAATAGGTTTAATATGTATTTAAATTTATATTAGTAGATATACAATTATTGTTATTAGGTAAAATACATGCAATATCATTTATACTATACACATTGCATAAGTATATACTATACAATAAATAAACGAACACTTTATGCTTTTCTTGTAGAATTAATTAATACTATTAATAATTCAGACCTTCTTAAATACGAAATTATCGATTTAAGATCAAAAGAATTGACACAGCACAATTTACTTACATTGACGAAGATTTATCCGTCAGCTGTATTCCAACTGCTTCCAGGGCAGTGAAATTTTGACAGTTGCCACACATCTCTGCAAGTCTGGATTTTGTACAATGGTCATGACAAAAACAAAAAAAATCGATTGGATATAAAAGACGATACCTATGCAAGTCGTTTTGGAACACTGTCAAGATTTTAAGGCACTAATTATATAATTAAAATTCCAATAAATGTCACACTGAAACTCGTTTGTATAATAGGTAAATGTTATTATTCACAATAATTGAATAATATAATAACTAAATCTTAGAATTATTATCAAAAAATAATTTAAATAAAAAATAATTTTGTTATTAAAGTGTTAACCATTAAAAATTCAAAATTTTTTCACTTTGAATCCCAAAAATAAAAATATTGAATAAAACAAAAGTAATAACTCTGCATCATATTTCAATATCACGTAAGTAGAATTTATAAAATCAATTTTGATCGTGTAATTTTATTTTATCGCGTAGCGATTTGACACGGAATTTTCTTAATGACTTATGTTGACCAAACTCTGTTAATATTAAAATTACTCGCGTGACATTTAAAAACAAAAGTCGGACAATATAATATAATATCGATTTAGATATTATACTCGTATTAAGTGGCTTGCCTAGACTGGCTTGCCATTTTCAATGGGTGGAGGAGATGTAGTAAATAATAATCATGATTCACGAATGAATAGTAGAATAGGTATTATTTTTTTATGCTTGACCCGATAGTAAAAATTTGAAAGTCGAATTCCAAAAAGCCAATGTGAATTCAATAAACCAAACTTTTTTCCTGGTATCAGTGCTAAAATATATCATTTGAATAAAATTAGCAAATAAACAGTTGTTGTATATTTAGCTAATTGGTGGGAGGAGGGGGTTTAGTTTTTACATATTCCATGCGCACGCCACTGCTCGTATAATGATACGAAATAATATGTGTAGTATAATACACTTTCGAAAATATTTTTCGTTTTTCGTCGGTATTCTAATCTAATTGTAATCGTGGACAACATTATTATGATTATTATTTTACAAAATGCAAGCGGGAACCGCCACCACAATCACCACCGCCGCCGCCGTCACCGCCGGATAAACCAATGGCTACACTGCGCTCCCAGCGGTTGTTTTGCACACCACCACCGTCGCCTCCGTCGCGGACGACGCGCGTTCACGTACGTTTTTACTGCCAGGGACTACAATCACTATGCCCGTAGGATATCGAATCAGTCGACTACGGACC